TATTGGATGGAGTATTTTATAGATGTCTGTTAAGTTCATTTGATCTGTAGTGCAATTTAGATGTTTCTTTGTTGATTTTTTTTTTTCCCCACTGCATGATGTATCTATTGGTGAGAGTGAGATAATGAAGTCTTCCACTATTATTGTACTGGGGTCTCTCTCTCTCCTTTTATGCCAAGTATTTGTTTTATGAAATTAGGTGTATCCATGTTTGGGGTATATAGATATATTTATAATTATTTTATCTTCTTGATGAATTATTTCCTTTACCAATATTTAGTGACTTTCTTTGTCTTTTCTCACTGGTTTTGGCTTGAGGTATGTTTTGTTGTATATAAATTCCTGCTTGCTTTTAGATGCCATTTGCTTGGAATATCATTTTCAAGCCTTTTGCACTCAGTCTGTGCATGTCTTTGCCAATGAGGTGAGTTTCTTGCAGGCAACAGATTGTTGGATCTTATTTTTTTAATCCATTCAGCTGGTCTGTGTCTTTTTAATTAGAAATTTAAGACCATTTACATTCAGAGTTATTAGTAAGAGATATGTGGTTGTTTCTGTCATTTTCTTGTTTTTCTTCTGGTTGTTTTAAAGAATCTTTTTTTCTTTCTCCTTTATTCATCTTAGAGACTTTATGGCATACTGAGTTAATAATGTTTGACTCTTTCTTAATTCTCACTTGCTTTTCTGTTCTTGTAGTGAGATTTATTTTTTCCCATATTGACATGATTGTGTTTATTTTGCTCCCCTTTCTGATTATAGGGTTCCGTTAAGTGTCTTCTGAGGTAACACACATGCACAGGAAATCAATGCGAGTCAACTCCCTGTATAGCTATCCTTATCTCAACTAGCAAAAACCCTTGGTCCTTCCTGTTACGGCTTATACTCCGTCTTCAACAAAATTAGAGATAAGGGCAAAATAGTTTATGCCAGGTAGCAAAGGGTAAGGAGGGGTAAGGGAGGGGGTGGGGGGGTAAGAGAGGAGGTGGGGGGAGGGGGGAGAAATGACCCAAACATTGTATGCACATATGAATAAAATAAAAATAATAATAAAGAAATGCAAGGGGCTCTCTAGAAGCTGGGAAAGGCAAAAAAAAAAGTGTCTTCTGTAATGTGGTTTAGTCATGAATTACTTTACTTCACACTTACCATTGAAGAAGGTATTTATTTCTCCTTCAATTTTGAAGGTTTACTTTGATAAATATAATAATCTAGGTTGACAATTATTTTTTTTCAAGACTTAAAATACATCTTTTTATGCCCTCCTAACTTGTAGAGTTTCTATTGAGATATTTGCTATTATTTTGATAGGTTTGCCTTCATGTGTGACTTAGTGCTTCTTCCTTGTAGCTTTCAATATTCTTTCTTTCTTTCATAGTTTTGGCAATTTGTAATAAGTCAAAATATGGTTCATTTCTGGTCATGTCTATTTAGGATTCTAAATGCATCCTATACCTGTATGTCCTATTGTTTTCCTATATTTGGGAAAATTTCTTCTGTTACTTCATCAAATAGGTTTTCTGTGTCTTTAGCATTTCCAAAATTTCAGTTTAGTTCTTTTTCAGAATCTCTATCTCTTTACTGAATTGCTCTTTCATTCCCTATATTTCTTAATTTGTTCAGCTATTTATTTGAATTCTCTTTGAATTCATTGACCTTTTTTAACATCATTCTTTGGAATATTTTTGTTGGACATTTTATCCACTAAATAGTCAGTTATTAGAATTAATAACTTTTAGAGGATTTTTATTGCCCTTTTTTTATATTTCTTATTTTTCTGTACTGAGATTTGTGTATCTGCTGGGATGGACATCTCTTCCACTTTTATGTTCCTAGGGAATGGTTTTCTCTTCATGATGTGTCCTGGGATATATCCATTTGTTGTGTAGTGTTGAGTTTAACTCCAGTTGTATATTTTCTCTGTTGCTTTTTTGGCTGTAATTAGTGGTGTTTTATGTAGCATGTAGTTTGTTGGTTCTTGAGAGTCACACTTTCTGTGTAGTTCTTACACATGGAGTAGTTTCTCCGGCATTTTGAGTATGTTGTAGACAGTGGAGTATATGGGGTATGCCCTCTGCAGTTACTCCCCCAATCTTGTCAGCACTGTGCAGCCAGACAGGGACATAGGAGTGCTCTGTGCTAAGGCCTCTTACAGTTGTCATGCCCACAGTCATAATGGTGTTTCTCTCTGTTGTTGCTGTGGGAGTGAATGTCCAGGAACATGTTTTCAGGTACCCTCTAGCAATGCCTCCTTGGGGCCAGGTCTTTGGTCATGGGCTTTGATCTCCACGATTTTTTTTCTTTGTTTCTTTTTTGGTGGAACTATGGCTTGAATTCAGGGCTTTGTGTTTGGCAAAGCGGTACTCTATTACTTGAGACACACCTTCAGCCCATTTTGCAGATGGAATCTTGCAAACTATTTGCCTGGGCTGGCCTTGAACCGTGATCCTCCAGATTTCAACCTCTCAAGTAGCTAGTATTACAAGCATGAACCACTGGCACCCAATATCTATTATTCTTTAAACTGAAGTATCTCCTGAAGTTTGAGCAGAGCTGGGTGTGGGTGGAGTAAGGTGTGATTTCTCTTAGCTGAGCTGGGAGTGTAGCTCTGCAGCATTCCCAGAAAAGAGAGAAACAAATATCAGTAGCCATAACAAAGGGAAGCAAGACACATACAGAAATAAAGTAACAACCATGTGAAAACTACAACAACCAGTACACTAACAGTGACAAATGCTGGAGGCAAAAATTATATAGAAGAAACTGACAAGTTAAAAAAATGATAAAAATAAAATTAAGAGAGAATGGAAAAGAAAAGTTAAAGACTAGACACTGGGTGCCAGTGGCTCATGTGCACAATCCTCGCTACTTAAGAGGCAGAGCTCAGGAGGATCACAGTTTGAGGCTAGTCTTACACAAAAAATTTGTAAGACCTCATCTCAACCAATAACTAGCACAATGGTTCACGCTTATTATCCCAACTACTGGAGGAAGTAAAAATAGGTTTGCGGTTCAAGCTAGCTCTGGCAAAAAAACCAAAACCCTATTTCAAAAATAGGAGCACAAAGGGCTGGAGGCATGAGTCAAGTGGTAGAGTGCCTACCTAGCAAGCACAGAGTCCTGAGTTCAAACCTCAGTACTGCAAAGAAAAAGAAGAAAGATTAGAAAATTCAAAACTGTATGAAAGAAAGCTGGAGAAAGGTAGAATGAAGTAAAAGCAAAAATTAAAAATGAAGGAAAGAAAATTAATATGGATTATTGAAAGGGGAAGGAGAGATAAAGAAGAAAAAAGTCTTAATAAAGAATGGGAGCCAGGAGCCATGACTCATGCCTGTAATCCCAGTTACTCTTGAGGCAGAGATTGAAAGAATTGCAGTTCAAGGTCAGCCTGGGCAAAACATTAGTGAGGCCCCATCTTAGCTAGTAAACTGGGCATGGTGGGGTGTATCTGTAATCCCAACTACTCAGGACATGTAAATAGGAGTATTGTGGTCTGAGACTGGATGGGCAAAAACAGACGACCCTATCCAAAAAAATAACTAAAAAGCAGAAAGAGCAGGGATAGAATGCCTGCCTAGCAAGAGAAGATCCCAATTGCAAACCCTGTAATGTGGGGAAAAAAAAAAGAATGTCTCCACTGATGTGGTCAATCGTGGATGCTAGGATGAATGTTGACTTCCTATGCCAAAAAACATATTTTCCTTGTCTTCTTAGTCTGTGAGTTCCTGTAGAAAGCAAAGGCTGGGTATTATTCACCCCTTCTTATGTTTGTGTTGCTCACTAGGTAACCAGCAGGTGTGCTGTGGGACTGAAAGCAGTTTGGAGTAGTGAAAGTTCCCCAGGCAGAAATTGTCTGGAGAGATTTGCACTATAGTGTATTTGGGTCTCTGGGGCCATTTGCGAATCCCTTTCAGAAGGTAGGGCAGTTATCTGCACTGGAAGGGGACCCTACACAATCTACTACCCATGCCTTTGATCGTGGGAAACCCAGCCCCCAAATTCTTGAGTCCGTAGTCCTGAGTACCTCCCTGAGAACCAAACTGGATCAAGGTAGATGCTCAGTGACATAGTGTAGCAGAGCTTGATGCAGGATCCTGGGAACAGGAAAATTCAGGGGTTGGAGCAGCAAGTACAGATGTGACCTGAAAATGGCTTTAGAGAACCCCAAGTATACAGTAGGAAGTGTGGAGAACTTCTCCAGCACCAGCATGCTGTGTTCAGACTGTGTTCCTGCACTGTGCTGATTTCTGTGCTGTTTGTGTTTACTGGGTCTCTCCCTCTCTACCTGCCCTGTGCTGTGTTGCCATACATTTGGTGCTGAGGCACTCTTTCTCATTCCCTGTCCTACATTCAAGAGTTTCTGAGTTTCTTCAAGGCTCTGTGTCCACAGTTGAACTTCAGTGTTTTCCCACCTTGATGAGAAGGTGCTCCCTAGTTTTGATTTCCCAACTGGCAGAGAAGCATGTGAATGCTGGTTGTTTCTAATCCACTATCTTGAATCCTTTTCTTTGCAGTTTTAATTTGACAAATAATGTGCATGGTAGTTGAAATGGATCAGTTCCACTTAAAATGACATTTAAGAAAAGTATGTCAATAGGACTCAGGACTGTGTCATTGTTTTAGAATCATGTATTTCCTACTAAACAAGACTATTTGGGAATTAGCTACCATTTGTACACAAGAAGGGAAGTTAAAAGAAATCATTTTAATATAGCCCATGCAGACTCTCTCAGAATTGATAATTTGGAGGAAGAATATTTGTCATCCTAATGTTGGCTTCTCTTTCATGAAATTGAGGTTATTAATGTGTATTCTTTCCGAGTTGTATCATTTGCATACTTTGAAATGTGAGCTATGAAAGATGTCGTGTCTGCTTGCTTTATGCTCATCATTCCCTGGTACATTGCTCATTCTAAATTACACTCTGAAGGAATAGAACTGATTAGGTACTTGGGTGCTTTCTCATCACTTCATAGATCCTCTCATTATTTTTCTCTTCTCAGTTAATGGAGAATCATCCTCATCTGCACTAACTAATAATGCTTGTGCCATGAATACTCCAGTACCATCTGAAGAAACCACTTTGTCTTCAAACTGCACTGTTGAAGATCCTCCTACTCAAGAGTTACTGGCTTCCTCAGAACACAATGAATGCTTTCTTTCTGCCAGTGCAGAATCGGGATCTGAAGCTCAAAGTCTAATGGACCCTGACTCTTCTAATTCTGGTAATAGTTCTGCTTTTGACAAACTAAGGCAGCCAGATGGGTGTGTGGAACCTCTTCGGCAGCAGTCTGGAAATGCAAACACAGAATCTTTACCATCAGGGTATGTTGAAAACAAAATTGGAACATTTAATTTCCATTTAAGTAGCAACTTTTTGATGTTATATGACTATTGAATGTATATATAAAATGGCTCTAAGTGTTCAAAAATTTGAAATCTAAGTTGGAATGATTCATATTATTTGTTTGCTCCAATGAAAGTATTTTTTGGAGCTGAGAACAAGTGCTCATCTAGTTGAAGTATTTGTAATATGAAAGGAAAAGAAAAACCTGATGTTAATTTACAAAACCCTCTCAATTTGATTTTTACTTTTTGGTAAGAGTGATGTTGGCACTCCATATAATAAGCCTAGTTCCTAGCCTTCTTGTGGGCTACTCTCCAGACCTCACACCGGAGAACAACTAACCATCCTTTTCCTCAGCTAGCATTGAGTGCTGGTGACAGCCACCCATCCTTGCCAATGGGCTCCATTATAAACTCAAGGTTTCCATTGCAGCCTAGTATTATTAATCTCCTTTAAGTTTGCACTATAATTAATCAGTTCCTCATGATTTTCTTTTTTTGCAGTACTGGGTCTTGAACTCAGGTCCTATACCTAGAGCCACTCCACCAGCCCTTTTTTTAATGGGTTTTTTTGAGATAGGGTCTCGTGGAATTATTTGCCTGGTCTGGCTTCAAACCATGATACTCCTGATCTCTGTTTCCTAAGTAGCTAGGATTACAGGCATGAGCCACTGTCACCTGCCCTATGATTTTCTTTAAAGAGTATTCATCTTTATTCTAAATTTAGTCATTTGCTCCTTGTTTACTTAGTTGTTTTGACCTTGGCACCAGTGATGCTAATTAATATTAATTATCACTCATTGTCTCTACCTTTAAGAAACTTATTTATAGGCTCAGACTTGAAACCATACACATATAATATAGTTTGAAAGTGTTGTAATAAAAGTGCTGTCAACACAGCTTCCAGAAGTTAGAATGTTGACTTGTAGGTGTTGAAACTCTGCTTCTGCAGGTCTTTAATTACTTTATTGTCTTCATTTTCTAATCACAGTATCTATGTTCACATTCCTTTCCTGTTTTTACAACTGTTTTTTCCTCACTGTGCTTTACTGGCTCATTTGGTTTTACCTACGGCTTAATTGTAGTTTCAGCGTTTGGTCTTCTCCTGGATGTGCTTCTCTTCATAGATCTTATATTCTTATGTTACTTTAACTATTAAATCCTGTTTGTGTAGGGTAGGCCTTTCCCAGAGCTTATTTTTAGCTGCTTTCTGGACAATTCCCTCATCTCATTCTTGGAGACATTTCAGACCTGTGTTATGTTCTACTTCTCCTTCACAAATCTCTTGTCCTGTGTCTCCTGTCTTTGTTAATTTAGTCATTTATCCCGGTCACTCATGTGCCATTCACTGCGATGCAGTATGTAAGAAGTTGTTCTTGCTCTCAAAAACCTCCTGGTATTATGAGAGGTAAAGACAAGTAAACAGTTGGTGACCATTCAGAACAGTGAAAGCTCTTCTTATCAGAGGGTACATTTAGCATGCTATGAGAAAGGAACATGTTGGAGGGGGCAAGGAGAGTATCCTATGCTGAGAGCTAAAAGAATACTTTCTGGAACAGATTGAAGAGATGAGCTAAGTCATGAAAGAATACTTTCTGAAAGAATAGTAGGAGTTAGCCAGGCAAGTCCTGCAGGCCCTAGAGGTGAAACGTCTCATTCTCTGAATAGTTGACTGCATAGTCATATCTCTAACGTCCATGAAGATGAGTCTCATGAACTCAGGAGTTAGTTTGTTGTTAAGCATTTGAGGAAGCAAGGAATATAATGCTGAAGAATAAGCAGTCTTACAGAGAATTTTGTATGTTTGTTAAGGGTTGGAGAGTTTTTCCTGAAAACCATGAAAAGCATTAAACAGTTTTAATCAGGGGAATGGCATAATCATTATTTTATTTTATTAAGATGTTTCAGTGATTGTGGACATATTATAAGTTAAGGAGGAAAGCATTACCGTTCAAACTAGTATATACATAAACTCAATTCTGTGGAGCCAATGACTGCTTCAGCAGGCCTGTTACCACCATTTGTGATCTCTGTATTAGGAGAATTTGCAGTAATTTAGATAAGTGTTTTTTAAATTGTGGGTTGTGACCAGCGTTTGAGCATATAATGAAGTAAATCAGTGTAGGCTAGAATAAGAATATTGGATTGTGTTACATGTAATAAGAGTAAGCAACTAGGACATGACTCAAGTGGTAGAGCACTTGCTTAGCAAGCATGAGGCCCTACATTCAAACCCCTGTAAACTGCTTCCCCCAAAAGGAGAGTCAGCATTGTTTCCCAAAAGTTTTTTTTCCTGATGTGTATATGTATATGAAATCTATAGATAAATAGCAGCCTAATACACAGAAGCTGCTATTAAACAGTATTTCTAAATATGTAATTTATGGTCAGAAAACTTTAAAAGCCATTAATCCAGGGGAGAGAGATCAAGAGAACCTGAAGTGAGGTAGATGCTAGTTCTTCTAGGGTGGTGTTAAGATGGGTCCTGGTAGTAAGTCCTGAGGAAGTTGGAATGAAACCAGGTATATTCTTCTGGCATAGGCAATACCTGGCTGTGTAACTTTCTGAGATAGCAGTTTTCAACCCCACATCATCTTCCCTCTTTACTTAAAAATCTTAGCTCCTATTCCTTTCTTTGGTGATTTACCAGGTTATTTAGCTAAGGATGCCATAGAATCCCAGGCACTTAAATCTTTGTAATGCTAATATACAGCCAGGTTGAGAACCCCTGCTTTTAATTGCTTTCCTTAAATAATTCTCCCTACAGCCTCAGTTTTGGTTCCCTTTATGTAGAGATATGTAGGTGAAATGAAAAATTCTGTTTATCAAAATCTAATTTAAAGTAAAGGTCTAGAAAATTGGGCAATTATATTGTATTAGGTTGCTTCTTCAGAGAGATTAAAAATAGCTTTTGGGTCTTTCCTTGCCCTCAAATATTTAGGCAACTAGTTGGTATGTATATATGACTGAAATAATGTTTACAGAATATCAAACTTGGAGTAGGAGAGGAAAGAGGTGGTGTTATATACTTACAGGGCTTTCAGTTGCTATATGTCACCATATGGCATACTCTGGGATGGAATGCTGAAAAGTATCCTAGCCCAGCTATGACATCTGGGTATTTTGCCACTCATGACTTTGCCTAAGGACCCCTGCTCTAATTTTTGTTTTTCTTCACATATTAGCATGATTCATACTCAGGTTGCTGCTAAAATGTTACCTCATTTCTGTGGCTCTTCTTGACTCCTGTCTAAATCAAGCCCTTCTTCCTCTTATCTCCCTTAAATTTTTCCTCAGCATTTTCTGATGGAAAACTACACAGTTGCAGAAAAATTTAGAGTCTTAACAGTGAAAACCCGTGTATATTAAGCTTCCTTTAATTATGCATCTATTACATCTAGTTTTGATCAAGTATGGTCAATAAATAAATAACAAAAGAAATTTCAAAAACAAAAATTTAAATTTCTCCTGCAAACATTACACAACTCAGTTAATGCAGAGAAGCTCTCAGTCAGTCATACATTATCATCAGTTGTGTTTAAATCATTGTTTGATCTGCTGAGTGTTACCTTGCCTATAATTTTGTGAAAGACTGCCTCCCCAAACCAAATGATGCCCCAAAGCAAGGTAAAAGTGCTTATTTTAAGTGATAAAGTGAAAATTTTAGATTTGTTGAAAGGTGGTATGTCTTTAGCAGAAGTTAGATGAGAATACTCAAGCATCTGCAGTTCAGGGCTGAACGCTGTGAATCCTGAACATTAGCGGTCTTCTTGAAATCTTACATCTCAGGTACTGGGGGTCCTACTGCATTTACGACCACATTCTATAACTGGCATGTTGCTGCTTGCTTTATCTCATATCTCATCATCTCTCTATTCATTTAGTTCTTCAGTGCATTTCAGTAGTTTGCAGACATTAATAGATTCTACTCAGTAGTACTTCAGTGTGCATCTCATTAACTAGAATTCAGTATTTGCTGAAACTTTTTAGGTAAAGTTTATATGGAAGGAAAAGCTCAAGTCAAGTGTATCATTTTGATGAGTTTTGATAAATGCAAACTGTGTAACTGAAACCCTTATCAAGAAGACTGCTGGAATGGCTCAAGTGATAGGCAACCCACTTAGCAAGCTTGAGGCCCTGAGTTCAAACCCCAGTACCACCCCAAAAAATAACTAACATTGAAAAAAAAAAACTTGTGAAGATATAAAACATTTCCATTGCCTCAGAAAGTTGTCTCAAAAGGCAAATATTACTGTGGGTTTTTTTTTTTTTTCTAACAGTGCATCAGTTTTCCCTGTTGTAGAACTTATAAATGGAGTCAGAAGGAATTCTTTGAGTATGGTTCTTTTAATCAGTGTGATGTCAACTAGTATTATTTTCCTTTATAACACTTAAGATTGCCACATATACCATATCTGCATGAGTTATTATGTATATCTCCACTAGATTGAAAAGGGATTTTATTTTGCCTGTTTTTGTTTCCCTCATGCTCAAAACTTTGCCTGCCATATTAGTAATTACTCAATGAGTTAGTGCTTCATTAAATGATTTTGAATGTATAATTGGGCAAAATCCCTGGCTCTCTGGAGGAAATGATTAACAAGGTCAAACGCTAGGTTACCTGGGCTATATAAATCCTGTGGCAAACATAAACAAACAAAAACCAAAAAAGTTACTGAGGAGCTGGGAGTGTAATTCAGAATTGACTATATTTTTTTAATAACTTGGAATTTTGTAAATTACTGAAACTTTTTAAATTTTAGGTATTCCTTCCTCTGTTTGTTAACAATTATTGTTTGAGTTTGCAATACTGTTTTGAAGAGGGAATAATTAAGAGGTTAAAAAAGTACTAATACTGCTGTAATTTTCAAATTTGTAAAATAAAGCTTATTTGTACTTTTTCTGATTGTAAGGAATTGTTCAGATTGTCCCAATCTGTTATTTATTTTTGTATTTTTATTAAAGGTGGGAACAGAGAAAAGATCCTCATGGTAGAACCTATTACGTGGATCATAATACTAGAACTACCACATGGGAGAGACCACAACCTTTACCTCCGGGGTAAGGTAGCATCTTTTGTATGTTCAGTTTTATTTTATCACACACATGATTTTTAAATATGTTTGATACAGCATAAAGAGCATTCTAGAGTCTTTAAGATAGTTCCTGCCAAATTTTTAGGCAGTAGGTTTAGTAAAATAAACTCCATATTATGGCTCTCAATGAATGAGTAAAATGAATGATTGTAACATGGCGATCGTGTCATAGTTAAATTGAACCTTACAGTCTGCTATATTGAAATATCAGGTCTGTGTTTTCAAAGATAGGCCTCATTTCCTACCATGGGACCAAGACCTGGGTACTTTCTTCCCCAAATAAAAAATATGTCACAAAAATCCAGAAGGACAGACATCCTGAATGGCAAAGATAATAAATGTATTTCAGGTATAGGGATAATTTGGGGGGAATGCAAATAGTATAATTCATCTAGCTACCAGTGCATTATGTTTGATGAGTTATGAAGGAATACAAAGATGTCAGAAGATCGGTTTGTGAATGACCTTGAAACATGTTCTAATAGCATAAAGCTTTATTTAGCATGTAATAAAAATGTTTTATTAATTTAAAACTTACTATTTCAGACATAACATAATACAAGGTTACTTGTAATCATCTTTGTAGTCTTTGATTTTGGACCAGTCTAATATCTATTATGACATTAAATTTTATTAAGTAACATATAGGTTGTTGTTTATACAGAACCATATGTATAAATTGTTTGACCCCATAGTATTTTTAAATAATAAGTTTACAGAAAGAATTTTGAATAGGTTGCTGAAAGGATTCTGAGATAGTTGAAATATAAATTAATGATAAAAATTGGTTTAATAGATTCCAGATGTTTTGAAAAGGTCAGAGCTGAATTGAACCCTGGAGCCTGAGTAGAATTCTGGTTGGTAGAGAAATAAGGAAAGGCATTCTGTTCTGATGGACTATTAAAGAAAGGGCATGACAGAATAAAACACATGGCACATGTGGCACCAGCAGTAGTTGGTTTGATTCTCAGGGAGATGAGGCTGAGAAGGTAGATAGGTTTGTTCTTACACCATTGCAAAGAATGGTGGTAGAGGAGGGTAACTGGCAGCAGTACGACAGCAGGTAGATGGGCTTAAAAACAGAGGAAAAAGTTTGGTTAATATTCTGAACATAGGCAGTCAAAGGGCAGATTGCTTGATATACTGTAAGTATTGTTAGTAAATTCGTATCAGATAAAGAGAAAAAGGGTAGTTGGATTGAAACTGAAACTGTTTAATCAGTGGCCTCTTTTTAGGCATGTTAGTAACAAAATGGTAAAGTAATTTAGCTAAAGCAAATATTTCATGCTTTCACAGATTTTTTGAGAATAAAAGTATATTTTAAAAATTATTATGTCCTTAAGGGCAAAATAGTTTCTGCTGGGTATTGAGGGGGTGGGGGGGGAGAGGGAGGGGGCGGAGTGGGTGGTAAGGGAGGGGGTGGGGCAGGGGGGAGAAATGAACCAAGCCTTGTATGCACATATGAATAATAAAAGGAAAAAAAAATTATGTCTTAAACTTGATTTTTAAATTGAGTGAAGAATTAACTATTCATTTCCTTATATTATGAGATTATTTTTTACTTTGTTTTTATTGTTGTTTTCTTTATTCATAATAGTTGGGAAAGAAGAGTTGATGATCGTGGAAGAGTTTATTATGTGGATCATAACACCAGAACAACGACATGGCAGCGGCCTACCATGGAATCTGTTCGAAATTTTGAACAGTGGCAATCTCAGCGGAACCAATTGCAGGGAGCTATGCAACAGTTTAACCAACGATACCTCTATTCGGTAATTATTAAATCATAAAATGTTAATACAACCATTTCCCTTAGGCATTTGCTTTTGTCTACTTTAGAGACTTTCCAAAATGTTACAGGCTGCATTTCAAGATATTTTTAAAGTTAATCTTTAATAAGTTGCATTGTTTCTGATATATATATATATATATATATATAGAGAGAGAGAGAGAGAGAGAGAGAGAGAGAGAGAGAGAGTAAGCATTCAAAAAATTTTAGACTTTGGAACATTTCAGATTAGGGATGCTCAACCTACATATAATAACCAAAAAATTATGTACTGAGAAGGGCTTGTTTTATTTCTCAATGGAACTTACCTGTGTATGTGAAAAGCCTTGGGGAAACAGGACAGAATTAGGCAGTAGATGTGTTCAGAAGTATTATCTACTGAAAAATAACAGAATCTCCTTAAATAGATTGAAGTTTGGTTCTCAATAGAACACCAAATCTAGGGTAATAGTTTAAGGGAAATACTGCATTAGCTCAGTAGTGCCATCAAGTGGTCAAGTTCTTCCTGTTAGCTTGCCCATCCTTAGCATGCAACATGCCTGTTACATAGAGTATAGGATGCTGCTGTCTTCTGGTTCTCACTTCCAGAGTCTAAGCAAGAAGAAAGGGAAAAGGGAATTAAAAGGGGAGAGAGCTAAAACAGCTATGTTCTGGGAAGCTTATTTGCTATTAAACCTTTTGCCTATTTGCTTAGCAAAGGATACCTTCCCTCAGCAAAGGATACCCTCCCTCACCATAGCCTATTGCCTCTACCTCATTGGTCAGAATTGGTCATTCTACCAATCAAGCTACTAGGGAGACAGGGAATGGACTATTCCTTATGTAGACATTGTTGACTTAATCAAAAAAGTGGTTTGATTATCAAGAAACAGGAGGTCGAAACAGATATGAGTGCAGTTAGCAATATCTGTGACAATATTATAAAGCATTCATTAAAATATGTGTACTTTATCATTAAGAAATTATTTTTAAAGAAGAAAAATGACACAAATTTAAGACAAAGAACTGTTCGGGATGGAAACCACCAGGAAAGGAAAGGGTAAAAGGAAATGGTGAAGGGGATGTGAATATGATTGAAGTTCTTTATAGGCATGTATGAAATTAGAATAAAGAAACTCATTCAAAATTGTTTTAAAAAGGGGGAGGTGATATAGTGGGGGTGAATTTGATCAAAGTACATTATATACATGTATGAAAATATCACAATGAAATCCCTTTGTGCAATTAATATATACTAATAAAAATTTTCAGGTAATAATCTTTTATATTTATTGCTCTTTTAGAACTCATGATAGAATGTTTATGGTTTCCTCAGAATATAGTTCCAGGTTGTATTAATATGTAAGCATGCATAAACATGTGTTTCATATAAACACACAAAGAAATACTAAGTTAAAGATAAAAGTTTATTTCTATAAAGATGATTCTAGAGCTTACAGTTGGCTTTATTAATGGACATTTGTTTTAAAGAGCCCTGTGTTTTTTAAAACAAATAATATTACTTCATTTTAATACCATAATATTCTTTGTGCTCTTTGTCCATTTCTTCTTGTCTATATAGATTATTATGGAAGATTAAAATATTAATATCAAGATACTTCTAAATCATTTTAGAAAAAACTAATCAGTTATTTGGCTGCTCTTACAATATGTCATTTTTAGAACTTTGTATCTTGAAATTACTGCATTCATATCACTTTATCATATTTTTAAAAAATTATAAGATGTGACTCTTCCAGGTTGGTTAGTATATTTCTGCATTTATATTAAAATATTGCTGTTTTATTTCTGCCCCCAAACCCTTCTCCAATAAGGCTTCAATGTTAGCTGCAGAAAATGACCCATATGGACCTTTACCACCAGGCTGGGGTAAGCTGATATGGTGCTGGTAAAATTACCTGTAAGGTGTATGTATCAAGTGTTATTAAATGTTGAGCTCACTTTGTTTTTTAGAAAAAAGAGTGGATTCAACAGACAGGGTTTACTTTGTGAATCATAACACAAAAACAACCCAATGGGAAGATCCAAGAACTCAAGGGTATGTAATACTACAGCCTTTCTTAAGAGATACCATCGATGAACCTTGGGTACCCATAAAATATTCACTGTGATTATAAATTTTATCTTTTAGCTTACAGAATGAAGAACCTCTACCAGAAGGCTGGGAAATTAGGTATACTCGGGAAGGTGTTAGATATTTTGTTGATCATAATACAAGAACAACAACATTCAAAGATCCTCGTAATGGGAAGTCATCTGTGTAAGTGAAAGATTAAAGTTAATAAAGGCTGTTTAATGAAGATGTGAGGTTTAGTCTGCAATGTAGCCTCAAGTTTAGCAGCAAATTCTAATTTTTTTGGTTCAAGAAAACGTGCGCAACTAAAATCCTGATGTCCCTGTCTTTACTATCTTATTCCAGAATGGATTTGTAGCATGTATTTTCTAAATTACATATATATTAAACATATAATAATGGCAAATATATACACAGTAATTATTATGTACCAAGGATTATTCTAAGCACTTTAAATGTATTAACACATTTTTATTTTCCAGTAAATCCTTGAGGTAGATGTTCTCCTCTTTACTAAGGCAGGTAATGGAGCTGGTTTCAGACCAAGACAGTCCATTTCAGGAGTTTATGCTCTTAGCTGCCATATGATACTGCATCAGCACATCTGGGGATAAGATGTTGAACAAAATGGAATTTTCCAGATAGATTCCTTAACTAAGTGTCAGTTGACAGATCTCTCCTTCATCCTTACTCAGGTGTGATCTCTTTGTGTCACTAAGAAGATAGAAGCAAGTCATAAAAAGTCTTCTGCAAATTCCCACCATCACAAGTACCCACCTGTCAGTTTTTACACTCTGTCATTGTTCCTTGTTCTCACACTCAAAACAGATCTGCCTCTATCTTACCACTTTTGCTATCACTAATTTGGTCCAGGCTTCCAATTTCTCTTACCTGGAATGATTCTAGAGTCCTTTGTCTCTCTGCTTTCTATTCATATTTTACATAATGTTTTATTATTCTCTACAGAACAGAGGGGTTGAATTTTTAAATCTAAATATAAAGTCATTCCTTAGTACAAAAGTGGTTTCCATCTCAATCAGTATAAAAAGCAGAGCCTTTACAATGACCTATAAGGCTTTATGGAATCTGACCCCTAATGTCTCTTCAGCTTTATCTTCTCATTCACTCTACATCAGCTTCATTGGCCACCTACCAGAATCTCAAACTCCATAGGCTTCCATCTCTGCATAGTCCTTACTCATTCTGCTTTGGTATGTTCTTTCTCTAAATAGCTATGTGGATTATACTGTCTCTTTCATGTTTTGGCTCAAAGATCACTTGTCTTTCAGTCCTACTCTATTCACCCTTTTCAGATTTACAGAGTTCTCCCCATACCACTTTTTATTCTTTTAATAAGAATTCCCCCCACCCTTTGAAAATGGTAAACCATTTATCCCCTTGCAACACACATAGTGTATAGTTTACTTATTCATTGTGTTTATCATCTTCTTCATTAGTACTTACTTACTAGTTCCAGAAAATGCCTCTTCCATGAAACAGGAATTTTTATCTATTTTATTAACAAAGTAATGCTCTCATTGTCTAGAAGAGTGCCAAGTTCATGCTTGGCATTTTGTAAATTTTTGTTAGATGAATGAATGTATTCGAATCTGAAAACATAAGAAAACCTTTCCATCCATTATGAATGTTCCCTAATACTGTGAAAGTTCTTTGTGTCCATTTGTCAGGTTCTCACTCAATAGGTAAGAGATTCAGGCTCTCTCCTGTGAGTTAAACCATATGATAAAACCTACATTTCCTAGATGCAGTCTCTTCTCTCACTGACCAACTGAGACATATGATCCGCATGTGACTTTTCCTAGGAATTTGATCTTGCTTAGCGTATAATCTCCAGCAAATATTTACTTTGCTCAGCTTAGATTTAAAATGTGCTGCAGTTTTCTCTTATATCTCTTTTCTCTGGAATCTCTGTCCTTCAATTTAACATCAGAGGCTTTCTATGATAAAGTCTTTAGTAGATTTTAATATTTCAGTTAACTAACTACTTAACAAAACACTCATCCCTTGCACAGTCTCCCTGTGTGTATGTGTTCTGCTGTGGTAGCTCTCGTGGCTCAAGGCTCTATTGTCCTACCATACATAGATTCATTTCTCTCCCACCAAATAGCTCTTTTGAGTTATGTGTAGGACTTTGGATATACTCTGACTTCATTTTGAATATTTAACATTCAAAATTTATTGTGAACTAATACATAGTTTTTTTTTCCTTTAGAACTAAAGGTGGTCCACAAATTGCTTATGAACGCAGCTTTAGGTGGAAACTTGCTCACTTCCGTTATTTGTGCCAGGTACTACAGTGGTAAATAAATCTTCTCTTTGTAATCATTTAGTCTAATCCCTAGTATCTGTATACTATGACTTACATGGTATTGTGCTGTTACTTTTGTTTTTAGTCTAATGCACTACCCAGTCATGTAAAGATCAATGTGTCCCGGCAGACATTATTTGAAGATTCCTTCCAACAGGTAAGGAAGATTTTATCTAAGTGAAATAGTACTACTTGTCTTCTTTTATTCTATACATCTAAAGAGAGTTAAGGTTTTAGAGATTTTAAACCATAATAATGTCAACCACTTCCTGAGTGGACACTTTAATAATAGTTACATTAAACCTCACTGTGTACTGATTATCATTTACTTTTGGCATTGGCATTTGTCATTTCATTCATCCTCACAGCATCCTGGTGAGATAGCCCCTATCGTTATCTCCATTTTATAAGTAAAGGTGACAGTTATCAAAGACAATCATCTAAATTCTATTATGAATTTGGATATTCATGTACTAAAGTAAAACTTAAACAGCCTTTGGAATAAGTTGATCTGTTTTGATACATACTTGGATAAGAATTTATTACCTCAAACAAAAAAAGTTTTGATAATGCTAACAAAATTAAATTGGTAGGTACTGTATTTCCATTAATATTCCATTAATAACTCTAGTATTCATTCTCACCCATAGGTTTCTTTTTAAATGTCATGATCTCAGAGTGACCTTGTCTGGGCATGCTGTTTAAGATGACAATCCCTGCTCACCTCATTCACAGTCATGCTGTAGTCATTTATCATACTTTATTCTTTTTCATAACAATGCTACCTCACATTATATTTTCTTTGTTTTCCTTAGTGGAATAAGAGCATGGGCTATTTCATTTATGTTCATTTGCCCAGTACCTAGAATAGTGTGTTGTACCATAGCAAGTATTCAATAAATATTTGATGAAGGAGTAAATAAATCACCTGCAGAATATTTAAAAATTAGAAATCTGGCTAATGTGAATTCTTTTTTTTATTATGAAGTAGAGAATTTTTCATGAGACCTCTCACTCCCTACTAAAGCATTACAATGATGAACCAAACTTCCCTTGTGTACACAGGTTCTTAAGGACTTTTATTTATTGTTTGTGTAGGCCAAAATGTATTAATATCACTGTAAAGTCCTATAGACATTGAAATCCTAGCTTAATTTTACTATTTGTTGAACATTAGACAAGATAGTTAATGTGGGTGCTATCAAAAAAAATTTCGTTTGGATGAGAGTTAAATTCTTGCCAAAGCAAGTATTTCAAACTTCCAAGTATCTCTTTCCAAGCTCTACTTGATTTGATTAAGTGTACATGTAAAATCATGGTAGACTATATATTTTTTTTTTTTACTGTATTGGGGAGAATCATGGTCTGTTGCATATGTAGTTTAGATGCATGACTGTCCCAAAGGAGGCCTACTGGTAAGTTGTACTCTGACCCAGACCTGCTATTCTTGTTGTGGTTCTGACATATGTGGTAGAAGTAATTCATTTTTACCCAGAGGTAAAGCCTACTAACTCTTAATACTGATGGATGCTATTATGGATTATGAAAATTTGTTTAGGTATTAAGATATACAATACTGTGTGCAAATGCATCATAATATAAATAAGGATTTTAGGTGAATTTCTTTCCTATTAAGAAATGGAGTGTGTGGTATAAGCAGGATACAGAGCATTTTCTTTTGCCTCTTAACTGTTGGCAAGTTAAGTCATTTTAACTTGCCAAATTTTGGTACAATTTTGAAGAGTGAGGGAGAAGAGAATATTGTCTAGCTACTTAAAAGCTTTCTTGTCAGACTCTTTTCTCTTATTGCTAACCCAAAGTAGAACTACCATTTAATACTAGAAGAGAGGAAAGTGTATAAGAAAGTGAGTCCAAGAAAATTTAATAGCTATGTCTATCTAGTTTGTGGAACAAACCAGTTGAAAGCTAGAATTAAATAATTAGTTAAATATGAGATAAGGCAATGTGTAATTTCGAAAATACTGATTAAATTTGAATTGTTTGGAAGTAACTTGTGCTGTGTATGAGGGTTTAAATATTCATGTTTTTGCTTTTAATTAGATTATGGCATTAAAACCATATGACTTGAGGAGGCGATTATATGTAATATTCAGAGGAGAAGAAGGACTTGATTATGGTGGCTTGGCAAGGTAAAATTAAACATGCATCTGCTTTGAAATAAACATATCTCATTATATGTAGTAGATGTGTTTTAAAAAAGATACACGAATACACTGAATTATCTTTTTCAGTAGCAATCCACAATTATTTTTAAAAACAAAAAATAAAATAGTCACACAATTTTCAAAGTAACTATTATTATTACTTTTCTCGGTTATCCTTGTATACCTTTCTATGTATGGAAATTTGGAGATATACACATGTGTATACCTACATATGTGAAGATACACACACACATGCACACATATATGAAATGATACACATTTGCTGTTTTTTGAAACAATTATACAATTTTAAAATATAAGAATTTGATTTGATTTGGGTACTGGTCTTAGAGCCCTTGCCTAGGATGCATGAGGCTTTGGATTTGATCCCAAGCCCTGCAAAAACAAGTAAGAATTTAATTTTTGTTATTTTACATATTATGGAAGATTCATCTGTGTGTGTGTGTGTTATAAAGAGCTAATACTGTCCTTTTTTATCAAATGGCTATACAATATTCCACATAGGGAGATTTCATAACTAATGGATTGGCAGAAGGTTCTGTCTTAATTTTATTATTATAGCACTGTATGTTGTTCTTATGCTTGTGCTTTTAATTTAATCTGAGTCTTTCCTTTGAAAATGATGTTTTCCTCAAGATATTGCAAACAATAGACACTTGAAGTGATAAATGGAAAATCTTTTCCCTTAATTGCTTCACACAAATCTAAATTGCAACAATTTTTTAGTAAAACATTTTTGTTAAGTCTTTCTTAAGAATTTATCTTATTTTTCATAGAAACAACTTTTTAAATTGTATTTCATCGGTCTATAGAATTTCAAACTACAATTTTAATATAAGTCATAGAATAAAAAGTAGGGCTAGGCTGTAAATGTTGGGAGCATATGCATGATAATATGTGTGGTATTATCAGAGTTTTATTTATGTTAGCATGTTTCTTCATCCAAAACATTACCAAGTTTTTTCGGTAAATACTACTTATCACAACAAACATTCACATTATGCCTCTTGTGACTTTTTTCTCAGTTTCAGAAGTGTTTAAGCATTAAAAAAAGAAAGGTACATCTTAGAAATGAGAAATATGGCATTGTTTTTCCATTGTCTGACTTTTTAATACTCACATTCTTGTCTGAACCCTTATTTGCCTCAGATGTTTGGGTGTAGTTTAATATTTTACAGTCATGTTACTAAATCCTTTATTTGATGCATGTGCTGGTAGACTAGACTGATCATCAAATGGTTTCTTCAAGGGTTCATGGCATGATATATTGCTATAGCCTTTGTACATTAGAAAAAATGTTTTCTGTTGCTTTTATATAAAAACAGTCACCTCAGTAGATACAAATTTCTTGCACAACACTTGCTCCTCCAGTACTCTCTAGACACTGGTTTACTATGTTCTAGCATCAGATGTCAGTATTGTATAGTAAGAGGCTCGCCCCTTGTAGGAAACTTTTCTCTGGGTGCTCACACAATCCTTTACCTTGAAGTTGATTGTTTTATATCTTTTTAAAAAACATATTAAGATCTTCTTAATTTCAGGGAAGTATTCTTCTATTATATCTTTGAATATTTTTTCTGTTCCATTTGTTCCATTTTTCTTCAGGAACATCAATCATGGGTATGTGGAATCTCCTTTGTCAGTTTTACATGTCCTGTCACCTTTTTTTCTAACCATTTCTATCTTTGCACTTTTCTGTTTTGTTTTGATTTTTCTCAAGCTTATCCTCATGTCACTGTTTGCAGTACTGCCCTACGTTTTGCTGCTTCTAATGTGATTTTTCTTCATTAGTGGTTTTACTGTTTTCTTCATTTTCTTCTCTAGGCTCTGCTAGCTCATCTGTTGTGTCATGATTTTTCAGCCTCTTGTGTCTCTCCAGTTAATTTGAGAGTGTAGAGAAGAATATGTTGAAAGTTAATTCTTTGCCTCTTGCTAGTTAGGAATTTTTCTCTTTTGTATTAGAATTAGGATAAATGTTAGTTGCTATACAACTAATATAGATACAACTAATATATTCTTTGGTGTGGATTCAGATTTCTCTGGGTTGCTGATGACTAAAAGTTGCTGAAGCAACTGGAAATTTTATTCCTAGCTTGTGTATATATCTAAACACATTCTTACTAGACCTGTTCAGTCCTTTTCCCCCGGGGCATGTCTTACTTCAGCCTCATGACAGAGGGAAGTCACTTGGTTTAAAGACCCTAAACCCATGTTCCCACCTTTACTAGCGTCAGTTGGCTGGGCCCGAGTAGCTGTTTTCCCTTTATGGTAGCATACACTGAATTTCACTATAGTACTCACCACTGACCAACCATCTGAGGACTAAGATAATGTGCCTAGAAATTCTCCTTCCTTAAACCCAGTAATACTATCAGGGCTACAATGAGGCCTGGGGGTTTATAACTAAGCAGAGAATGTAAGCCCCATGTACTCACTGATCACTGTAAGCATTTGAGTTTGGAATTCTGCTTTAGAAGAAATTGGTGTTGAAAAATTTTTGTAAATTGAGTTTATTTCATGATATGAGTTATTAAAGTAAGGCAAAATCGGTAGTAAAAAGTTAGAGATTGCATATAACATTTAAGGATTTCACTTTTTAAATTTTGTTTCCATTTTTAATACATTGACAATAAAATTTAAAATTTCCATAGCAGTGCTATGTATTTCAGTATCACAAGAAAATGCTTTCCTGTTGTAGGGGCTAGAAGTATCTATAGTTGGGATAGCCTTTGCCTAGCATGCTTGAAGCCATGAGTTTCATCCCCACCCCCACCAAAACCAGAAACCAAATCCAAAAAAAAAACCCTGTTGTTAAATACCTACAATGCCTATACGAGTTAAGAATATAAGAAATACATAAAGATAGCTTTTGCTTTTGAGGCACTTACAGTTTGATGGAAGGGAAAAGTCATAAAAAAATAATATGTACATAAAAAAATAATATTTTGATGTCACTCTTATACAAAGTATCCAGTGACTGATACAGATAATCTGAAATTGCTTAAAAAATTATTGAAGTTAGGTTTCACTTGGATTGAGAAAAAGTGGAATCTACATAGATTGAATTGAAGTTGAGGAGGCACACCCAAACAATAGTGTGGTATAGAAATAAGCCTGTTACCTTGAGAAACAGTGAATTTGTAGTTTTACAGTGCAGGAACTAGTAGGTAACTTTGAATGGAAAATCAGATCATAGAAGAATTTAAATGGAGGAGGGCTGAGGATGGGCAGTGGAACTATTAAAGGCTTTCGAGCACAGGTATAATGTATATACGTATGAGTATATTTAAGACTTCTTTTTAAATTCACATATATCTGAATGCTAAAAAATAATCTTGACTTATTTTCTTGTAGAGAATGGTTTTTCTTGCTTTCACACGAAGTTTTGAATCCAATGTATTGCTTATTTGAGTATGCGGGCAAGAACAACTATTGTCTACAGATCAATCCAGCATCAACCATAAATCCAGACCATCTGTCATACTTCTGTTTCATTGGTCGCTTTATTGCGATGGTGAGTTTCCAGCTTTCATTTATTTTATTTAAATTTTGCTTATTTTGAAGGTATTTTATGAGGACTTTTTAAAAAGTTAATCATTATATTTGTTACTCACTTTTTTTAAAAGACTATCTCACCATGTAGCCGAAGTTAGCCCTGCTCCCCTAGTGCTGGAATTACAAGCATGCAGCTACACTCTGCTGTTATTCACACATTTTGTTACCAAGAAAGTTTGCCTAGGAAGAGAGTATCAAAATTCAGGTTTATGAAATCAAGATTATGAGGACTATTTATATGCCACTTAAAGTAAGGTCTAATTACTTTTTTATAAAAGGAAGGAAAAATCTGAATTATCTCAGAAGTCACATGGTTGGCATTTTTGGAATTTTCAGAGATTTGCAGAGCCCTTGTGGAATTACTGTCTTTTGAGAAGTGTTTTGATTATCTGTTGATTCGTTTAACAAATACTTATTGTGACCCTGCTATAATGCCACAGCCTGTTTTTGGCAGGCTGTTGAAAAAAAGACATAGTTCCTACTCTTAGGGAACTACATATGTTAAGTGGGAGAAAGTAATACATATGTGATGAGGGAAAGGATGTGTTGCTTTTTTATGTAGAGTGGGGTTAAAGGAAGCCTCTGAGGGTTAACATGTGAACAGAAATGTGAAGAAGGCAAGTGACTGAATCATGAAGATACCTTGGGTAAGAACATTTTAGGCATAAGGAACAGCAAGGCAAAGACTCCAAGGTAGAAGTGATTCTTGGTTGAGAAAGAGAACAACATGGCTGGAGCAGAATATTTGGGGAAGAATGTGGTAGGAAATGAGACGGATAGATACCATGTGGGATTTACCTAAGGGTTTTGAGTAGGACAATGAGTGACATGAACTAAGTAAGACAATCTGACTTAAATTTGACTAAATTTGCTTCATTTCTGTGTAGAAGAAAGACCTAAATGGGGAAGAGGAAAGCAAGGGTAGAAGCAGGACGACCATCTTTAGTAATCTAGGTAAAAGATGATAGTGGTTTGGATCTTGGCAGTGAAAGGCCGTGTTTTGGATTCCAAATATATTCCAGAAGGAAGCTATACTCACTACTATACCACCAATGCTGGATTCTGGATATACTCTGAAGTTAGAACTAAAAGGATTTTCTGATAGATCATCTGCAAGGTGAAAGGGTCAAATGTGGCACCAAAATTTATGGCCTATGCATCTGGTTGCATTTGTAAGGGCAAATATTGGGGGTGGGGGAAATCAAGAGTATAGATTTGGCTTGCTAAGTGTAGGATACCTGTAGACATCTCTGTGGATATGTAGAATGGGTCATTACATATTTAAGGCTGGCAATGAGTGGATATCTAGGTTAGAGATGGGGTTCTGGGCAAATAAGGAATATTAAAAGCCTGTGTCTGTTTCAAGAAGTAAATGTGGGTAGAGAAGCTCAGCGACATTCATAAGCTGAGGAGGTAAGAAGGAGCCTGCAAAAGAACTGATACAGGAAGATGAAATGAGAGTAGTTTTAGAAGGAAAGGGAAGAAGAAAGTGTATCTGAAATGGAACACATTATTCCTATCATGGTACTGATAGGCTGAGCAAAATGTGGTTTGGAAATTGTCTGTTTGGTTTGTCAAGGTGAAAGTGATTCATGAGTGGTGGGTTGGAAAGATTGATGAGAGGGAAATCAAGAAAAAATGGAGAAGCAAATATAAAAAAAAAGGAGAAAATATAAACAAATCTTTTAAGGATGCTTTCTATAAAGATCATAGAGAATTGAGCAGTAACTAGAAATGGATATGGAGGCAAGAACTGGAGAAGGATAAAACATTTATATTGCTGATAGTGATGATCAAGTAAGAGGGTAAAGAATTTGATGAGTCAGTAATAGATGGAATATGGGAGTGGTGACCTGTATAAAAGGGAGAGGAAAAGAGTTATTTACTGCACATAGAAGTAATATAAAGCTCATTTATAAGAAGAGTATATGGATTCAGGTTTTAATAGTAAGCAGATTTAGTGGAACATAAAAAAGTTCTCTTCTGACTATTATTTCCTCTGTGAAATAGGAAGTAATATCATCAGCTCAAGGGTGAGGACTTGGGAGGAGGAAAGAGGAATAGGAATGAAGAGTGGGAAGGGAATACAGTAGAGAAATATTACCAGGCAACACTAAGTTTCCACTTTTAGGTTGTTGATCACGAAGCGGGTAGCTTGGTGTAAACATTGCTAGTATGTTCTACTGCCTAGGTATACACATTGAATAAAATGAAAGTTGAATTTGGCTAGGCTGGGGATTTTGCTGGAAATATAGTGGGGGGAGGGTTTGATAATGGAGTCTAAATTAAGAGGAGAATAATTTCATGGAGGAGGCTGAGAAATAGTAATAAGGTAGTAAGTTCAGTGGACTTTTTAGATCTCCATGGGATCAAACTTGTAGGAAGCCTTGGGAGGCCTCATGTGTTGGCAGTTGTGATAGGAGTGGGGGCAAAGTGGCCCTGAAAATAGGAAGGAGGAAGGATCTTTCCAGGTGTACAGGGACCTTCTTCATTTCTACATCTAATTAGGTTAATTTTTAAAACACTCTAGAAAGAGTAAGGAGAGTTGGTAATAAAGTCTTTTGCCAACTTATTTATAGTTTTATATTATATAGTAAGTGTTTGACCTCTGTGAAATGGATTTTGTTTTAACCTTAATTTGTTTTTTAAATTTAGCATTTTATATTTTTTCATGATTTATGCTATTCACTTACTAAATTTTTGTCTGTAAAACTTCATAATTTGTATGTTATCATTGTGTTCTAAATAACATTATTTTTAAAAATTTTAAATAACATTTTTTGTTTTTCTCGGCAGGCACTATTTCATGGAAAGTTTATTGATACTGGTTTCTCTTTACCATTCTACAAGCGTATGCTAAGTAAAAAACTTACAATTAAGGATTTGGAATCTATTGATACTGAATTTTATAACTCCCTTATCTGGATAAGGTTTGAAGATATATTTTTTCAATAAGGCATATTCTTGAAATCCATTTAAATATTTTGTTAATTAGTATGTATGTGTATATATGTGTACATATATGTATGTTATTTATTTCTCCCAGAGACAACAACATTGAAGAATGTGGTTTAGAAATGTACTTTTCTGTTGACATGGAGATTTTGGGGAAAGTTACTTCACATGACCTGAAGTTGGGAGGTTCCAACATCCTGGTGACTGAGGAGAACAAAGATGAATATATTGGGTAAGATTATATATCTGATTGAGCTCAATTTCTAGAATTTAGAGAACACATTAAAACTAAATCCTGTATCTTACCCTTAATTTTATCCTTTTCTCACTCCTTTGGGATGTTTTTCCTCAATAGTACCAACATTCTTGAAGTAAGAGAGTTATATGACAACCTTCACTTTCCCATTGGAATTTGCTGTAAGCATTCTGCCTTTGACCAGATCAAAAATTATAGAACATTGATGCTGAAAAGTGCTTGACAAAGACTGTGAAGCCCCTTCTTTTTAGATAAAGGGAGACTAAGGCTCTGTTAAGTTAGGAACAAAACCAAGTTTGGAACCCCAGGTTTCACTGTCATTCTATTCCATGTCACTTTTCCATTTTTAATACCAACGTTTCTCTTGAATTCCATAATCCCATACCATCCCAATTTTCTTTCCTTTCTCTTGTTGGTTGTTTTCTAAACTTCCATTTTCTAAATGTGGTTGTTTTTCTAAGGCTTTGCTTCAGCCCATTGCTCTCAGTACTCACTACCATAGCTTCAGTTTTCAATTTAAAGAAAAAACTGAACTTTAGAACAATGTTCATTTGCCAGTCAGATAAATACAAACTGTAAGGAAAGAACCAGGCTGTAAATATTTTAGGCTGTAGACCACATAAGAGTCTTACTACAACTACTCAGCCTGCCGAGTAAATATCATGGGCACTGAAATTTTATTTCATATACGGATAATATGGATGGTGAGAAATAGTACCTAGATGGGAGCCTAGAATTGTAGCCAAATTGCACCTTAATTTAGGAAAACTGTCTCAGTCTAAGAGATCTGAATTTTAGTCTAAGAGATGTAAATTAGAAATAGTTATCATAAACTAAGATGGTATGATCAGAATTATCTTTGGAAAGAAATTCTGGTACTTATGTTCAGGATAAATTGGGAGTAAGTTAGCAAAGGGAATGATTGGAGACCAACCTAGTTAAGAGGTTGTTTTAGTAACTTAGTGAGATATTATAGGTTTGAAAGGGGGGAAGTGCAGTAGAAATGATAATGACAGAATGGATTTTGGAGGCTATCACAGGACTAGAGTATTACAGATTAATAGTGGTTGAGTATATATGTGAAGGAAAGAAAAGTAAATGAAATAACTTGGTGATTAAGGTTTATGGGTTAGTAGACAGGTATATTGTGTTGGCAGGATGTCCAAGGACAAATGACTGTTTGTAAACATTTTACTCTTAGAAGGAAAGCAGAATTTGAGGATTTAAGGATTACTGGCTTTTCTGTGATAGCTAAAACTGAGAGTTGAAAATGTCATTTTTAGAGAGTGAATAGCTAAAAGAACAGAAAGCAGAGATCTGAGCAACACCAACATTTATGGACTGATGAACTAATGAGATATGAAGGAGTCATCAAAGCCCTATCAGAAATGACATTAATGGGCTCTAGAGGAACTGTGTGAGATTGGAAATGCTAATGTCTAGTGTTATTGGGTGTTCATGTAACATACTCAGAAGATATCTTGTTTGGCAGTGAGTTCCTTGGTGACATTTCCTGAAGAAATTGTTTTGGTTCTTGGGAAAAAGATGTTGGAAGCCAAACTACCATGGTTTAAAGTTAGGAAAGTGAAGACAGTGAGTCTGCTTTACTCTTATTAGTGTGGTGGTAAAGAGGGGGACAAAGAGTTGTTTTTAAAAAGAGTCACTGGGTTGAAGGAACACCTTTGTGGACAAATGAAAACAGTACTGGGCAAAAAGGGGTTAGTAACTGATGGAAACCAACTTCTACTAGGACACAGAAAGAGCAGTTCAAATGGGAAAAGCATGGACAAATTGTTTTCTGCTCATATCCACTGCTTCTCCTTATCAGGCAGTGTCTGCTGTTTCTCCAGAAGATCTTGCCAGACCTCTCTTCTTTTGGAAAGTTCTCATATAGATTGTGTCACTGACAGGTTTTCATCCTTATTTCTTTTTTATCCTATTTCTGTAATTTATAGCTACTTTAAAAATCTCTTCAGAATATTCCATTTCCATCTTAATTGATAATTTCTATTTTGGTTAGGAAATCTGTTCTCTATGTAAAGAACCTGTTCTCTGGCTTTAAACCTTCTCAGACCATAAGCCTATACAAACACACAGCCCATGGGCAGATTATTCTTGTGTGTCACTCAAGCCCCCCCTTGGCAAATGGATGGTGGAAGAGCCTGTTAAATGATTAGCATTCCCTTCCTGTGCCAGCACACAATATTTGGAGTTACTTGTCTACACATACCATTAATTAATGCTAGAACGATAGAGAACTATTTATTTGAAAGAAACCAATTTATTTAATAGCTTCTGGTGTCCTAGAACTGATTTCTTCATGGAAAATCATACTATTTACATACGTACATACACACATTGACATATATGTGTGTGTGTTGTATATGTATATGTAGTATATTTAGGAAAAGAGAAGGAATCTAAGAAGTTCTTGGTGCTTTTCATCCTTTAACTTTACATACAAATAACCTATTTTCAAATACCATCTTTATTTTCAGTTTAATGACAGAATGGCGTTTTTCTCGAGGAGTACAAGAACAGACCAAAGCTTTCCTTGATGGTTTTAATGAAGTTGTTCCCCTTCAGTGGCTACAATACTTTGACGAAAAAGAATTGGAGGTTAGGCTCTTTTATTTTGCTATATGGGAGAAGTGGCTGTTTTTGTGCTTATTTTTTGAGACAGAGTCTCTCTGTAGAACTTAAACTGGCCTCTAACTCATAATCCTCCTGTCTCTGCTGCCTGAGTACTGGGATTACAGGCATGGGTCACTATGCCTGACTTGTCTTTTGGACATTTTAAAAACGTAGCACAATCTTTGAATATACTCATTCGTCCAAATCTTTAGGTGGCATTAATCCTAGCATTGGGTAAGAGTTTTAATTACGTTCTCTTAAGCCATGTTGATGTCACATGCACAAAATCATCATTGTCACCTGTTAGGGGACATAAATAGCAATTTGAATATTATTAATAATTGGGGAAATTTCTGAAATCTCAGTTCATTAGTGTTGATTTTCCAAGATTAGATTTTTAGTCACGAGTTCTTACTGGTCTTAACTGTAGATTTGTTAGGAGTGTATCAGAAATTTTTTTTGTTGTATATGTGTGATAAAATACATATAAAATTTACCATCATAACCATTTTTAAGTGTGCAGTTTCCTAATACAAAATATAGTTACATGTTATGCATCCAATCTCCAGAACTTCTTCATCTTGTGAAACTAGAATTCTATACCCATTAAGCAACAACTTGTCATATTCCCCAGACACTGTCAACCACTATTTTATGAATATGACTGTACTTTTACTCTCTGTAAGTAAAATCATGCAGTATTTCTTTTTTTGTCTGCTTATTTCACTTAGTATAGTGTCCTCAAAGTTTGTTCATGTTGTACCTACCGTGTGTCAGAATTTCCCTTTTAAGACTGAATAATATTCATATGAATATATGTGTGTATATATATAAAATGAAAAATTTTAACCACATACCCATATGACCTCTATACTAAAAACCCAAAACAGTGCTCAGTAAAATTTAAGAAGACCTAATAAATGGAGAGATACATGTTATGTATTGGAAGATTCAATATTATTTAAATGTCAGTTCTCTTCTGTGGATTTAATACAATCCCAATCTACATTCTAACAGAATATTTTTGTAGAAAATGATAGCTGATTCTAAAATTGTGAGGCAGTCTAGAGGCTCTAGAATAGCCAAAACAATTTTTCGACAAGGATGTACTTGGAGGATTTACACAACTGATTTCAGGACTTACCTGTGAAGCCAGAGTAATTAAGGTAGTGTGGCATATGTGGAAGGACAGATCAGTGGCACACCAGAGTCCAGAAATAGATCCACACATACTTTGTTAAGTGACTTCCAACAAAATGCAGACATCTCAATGATGTTGGATCAACTGGATATTCATATGGAAGATTAACTTTGACCTTTACCTTGGCCCATAAACAAAGATTCATTTTAAATGGATCATTAAGTATAAATGTGAAAGCTAAAAAGAAAGCATAAATCTTGGTGTAGGGAAATGTTTCTTAGGGAGAACAAAAAGAATCAGTAATTGTAAAAGAAAAATACAGGTAGATTTGACTTCATCAAAACTAAAAACTTGTGTATAAGATTATCATTAAAATGAAAAAGCAACCTATACACTAGGAGAAACTACTGAAACAAAGGTGTTATATATAGAGTATATTTTGAAAAACTCTTATAACTCCATAAATGGCAAAAACATTTTAAAATGGACAGAGATTCATCTCAAAAAAGAAGATATATAAGCTGGGCATAGTGACGGTGCCCTAAGTCCTAACTTTGGGAGACTGAGACAGGGAAATCACTTGAGCCTAAGAATTCAAGTTGGCCTGAGCAACATTGGAAGACCCCATCTCAAAAACAAAAGAAGATGTACAGATGGCAAGTGAACACGCAGGTGCTCAGTAGTTACTTGGGAAATATAATTAAAACCAACTGAAATACCACCTTTGGGTATTGTCGATAGTTTCTTATAATGCTAAATGTGTATCTACTTTAATGCTCTAGCACATCATGAGGTGTTTACCCAAGTGAAATGAAATACATATTCTAACATTATTCATCAAACCCCAAAATTAAGAGCAACCTGAGTGTCCATCAAAAGTGAGTGAATAAACAAATTGTTACATGCTTATAATGGAATACTACTCAGTGGTATGAAAGAATGAACTATTGGTATCCACCATAACATGGGTGAACCCCAAATACTATGTGAGTGGTAGTAGAGGGGGCAGAAAAGTGTATGTGTATGAAATACATGACAGAATTTGTATATATGCGTATGACATTCTCAAAAAAGCCATATTAATGGTGAAATCCTTGATTACCTAAAGCCATTGATGGTTTGCCTACAAAAAGGGGCATAATGGAAATATTCTTGAAATTACTGCTCAAAGTTTATTTACAAAATAATTAATATGCCTAAAATAGTTTTTATTCCATACATAATAAATTAGGGGAGGCTTGAAAATTCTATGTGTACGTATTTTATTCCCAAATAGGCTGGATAAATGAATAACAGGAGGTTAGTATATTTTTTATTTTTTAAATATATAAGATAACATAGATTTGAAAGAAATAGAAAGTTATATTTGAAATTAATGAACAATTTAGAAACCCAGTTTGGGATATGGTTATAGAATAAAGTAGCTGTTTCTCTACTGAAACAGCTTTTCAGTAGAGATGCTTTGGAGAATAGTTACTCTAAATATTTTCAGTTTGAGTTCAGTAAACATAGGCAAAGTAAAATACCCAAGGAATCTTTTATGCTTTGGTGACACAAATTTTGTTGGGCTTGCTCATTGTGATCTTTATTTGCCATGCATGTAGCACTTCACATAATTATGCTTTCTTTATTACTGTGCATCAGAAGAATTCCAGTCCTAATATTTCTCCTCACTAAGTCTTTGTTGTTACCTGCTACTGTGCTCATTTTCCAGGTTATGTTGTGTGGCATGCAGGAGGTCGACTTGGCAGACTGGCAGAGAAATACAGTTTATCGACATTATACAAGAAATAGCAAGCAAATTATTTGGTTTTGGCAGGTATTCCTTTATCTTTTTGAAACAGACTTCAAAGAAAATATTCTCTAGTGAAATTTAGTTTAAAAAAATGAATAGAATAAACATTCGTTAAAAGTATTTTCTATTTGCTTTTTTTTTTTTTGCTGTCTTTCTGAATGAAAGAATAAATAACAGTCCTTTTTAAGTTAAAATTTAAGAGTAATAGTTGTAGGCACAGCATTTTTTTCTAGTGGTATCAAAGATTTTCAGTGAATTCCACTTAATTCTAGAAGTAAATGAAGGAGTGTAGGTTTTTGTTGTTGTTTTGGTTTGGGGTGGGAGACAGGTTTTAGACATGGTCTTATTGTATAGTCCAGGCTGACCTGACTTTGCCTTCCTCCTTCCTAAGCTTCCTGAGTGCTGGGATAACAGGCATGCTCTGCCATTGCAGGAGTGTGTTTTTAATGAGAAAGTCAACACAGATAATTTACTTCCTTTAAAGGTGATAATATGCTAAGGAATTAATAATCCAGTGGAAAATGTCCAAGAATGCTTTCATTTATTTTTATTGTTTGTATTTTGGCTTAAACTGTAATAGAATAAGTTTCTGGCTATCCAGGTGTACCACATTATTCTTGAAGCACATTTTATTTGTTTTGTGTGTTTGAGAATTTAAAATTTCTAGTCCTGGAATGTTCTTCATATAATTATTCTACTAATTGAAATTCATTTGAGCAACTGATGATCAAACTTCAGGTTTACTTCTGCTTAACTGTTTAACACTTTCAGGCAAAAAGCTAGGATTTTATGTAACTAAATAAAGATTTTCCAAAAGCTGCATCTTTTCATAAGAAAAAGTATCATGAGTTTATTGCTTAATATTTTAAAGAAGCATAGACACTTCTAGAAATGTATCTTAAAATATACTTCAACATGTGCAGAATGAGATATACCAAAGTATTTACTGCAACCTTGCCAGTATACTAGCCAGGTTTAAACAACCTAACATCAGGAGAATACTGAATAAATAAACTAACATTTTATTTTCTATGTAATATTCTAGTATATGAATATACCATTTCAGAAAAGGCAGAAAAATACCTAGCAGAAGGTAGAAGGAAGAGAGCTTAGCAGTTAGAAACCAAGCTGAGAAAGGTGCTTTTCACTCTATGTGTAACCTTTGAATTCTGTTACCTGAGATAGTAGGTAGGTAGATAGGTAGGTAGGTAGGTAGACAGATAGAGATGATAGATGATAGATAGGAATAATAGATAGACAGGAGTAAGTTGATTTTTAAGTCTAAAATACTTCAATTGCATTATATGCAGTATGTGCAGAGGTATTTGGAATCTTCCTTTTTAAGGTTCTTTACTAGCTTCATTGTACCTAATATTCCCTCTCGCTGGACATTTGTATTTACATAGCTAAGGATTAAGTTTAGGATCATATAAATCCAAGTGATTTAAAATAAACTGAATTGGGTTTATTTTAGGGAAAATGGTGAGGCTTACGATAGGCCTGATAAATAAGCCCTGTTTCTCATATCTTAATGGGATATACGCCTCAGCACAATTTTGTGAAACATTTTTGGTTAGGACTAGCATAGCATTTTGTCTTATATTTAGCTAAAGTGTACTTCATTTTAAAGACATATTTATACTCTCAAAATGCTCCCCAAGTTCTTTGCTTTGATTTACTGGAAATAGTCAAATCAGTATTTCACTATATTTCCCACTTACAGTCCTCTTTCAGAAAGCAGTTAGTCAGTGAGCCAGATAATTTTAGAGGAATTGTTACGTTGGTTTTTCCTGTGTTGGTGAGGATGAACACAGAATGTTCAGAAGATATTTATTAGGAGAAAATACCACAAACTATTGAGCATGGCAACAGGAAAGTGTTCATTTGTCTTGTGTAGCTTAAAAGAGTTAGGTGCTCAAGTAACAGACGTTTAGAGCTAACTCAGACTGCAAATGTTAGTTATGCCACTTATTAGCAATTTGAAAAGGGCAAATTAAACTCTGTAAGCCTTCGTTTTCTTACACGTGCAGTGGGGATGCTAATGATCATTCCTACCTCATAGAATTGTTGGGAGGTCTAAATGAATGGAAAGCATATGGCATAGTGGTTGGCAGAAGCCTTCAGTAGGGGATAGTTGTTACATTATAACCGAGCAACATCTACCCTAGTTATACCTTTTAGTGATGACCTTAGATAAGTGACTTAACCTTTCTTATCATTCCCTTACCTGTCTCATTTATTTCCTGTCTGTAAGATGGATGTAACAACCACAGTGGACAACCTATGGAGTTATTATGAGAGTTAAATAACCTTCATGGAGTACTTAGCGTACTGCCTAACCTGAATAAACGATAAATGCTACAATGACTTTGTCATATCTTTTGAACCAATTTAAGTGTTAAATATTATTTAATTTCTTCAACTGTATTTTCATTATTAAGAAGAGTTTATCATTTATATTAAATTTAATTTTGTTACACAGTTTGTGAAAGAGACAGACAATGAAGTAAGAATGCGACTATTGCAGTTTGTCACTGGAACCTGCCGCTTACCTCTAGGAGGATTTGCTGAGCTCATGGGTAAATGCAGTGTCCCTGCAGTTTTTCTATAGATAATTTTGTGATTATAATGGCTTTATGCATCTGGTAGACTTAAACCTATGGATTTTTATTCTAGGCTGTATGTCAGACTCTTAACAAAAAAGAAATATGAATGGTTAATATCAAAGGAAGATGTAAGAAAAAAATGAGCCTCTTTAGATAGCCTAGATGGCCATTGCTCTTCTCTCTAGGGTGATTGTGAAGGAAGCATGATTCTGAAAAAATAGTTATCTATCCAAGGTTGTACTTTTTATTGCTGGATCTCTGCAGCACTAAGAAACTTCTTCATGCAGAAGCAAGCTACACTGTGAATTTCTTCTTTAGTTTATTCTGTATCATCCATATGACTCTGTGGCATAGTCTGTTATTAAACTAGTTGGCAAAACCAAAAAGTTTAAAGAACCAAATAAATATTATTTTATTTTCCTGGTTTAGGAAGTAATGGGCCTCAAAAGTTTTGTATTGAAAAAGTTGGCAAAGACACCTGGTTACCAAGAAGTCATACATGGTAAGTTCAAGACTCCTAAATAGGAACGTGAAAGACCAGAGAATTTTGTTTTTTAAAAATCTTGTAAGATCCAGTGTAACTGCTTATTCATGAGTCAGAATTTTAATTTTGAGAATGATCAGTTAATACAGCATCCTATAACTTAACACTTTAGAATGAGTTCTTTTTAGTTAATAGAAATATTTGAGAAATGTGTACCACTGATTCAGCAAACACTTAGAGTACCCTGCTATATAAAGTAAGGTTGAATTGTTCCCTCCCTTTGAACTTTTTGCACTCCATGGTAGGCTGTAAAGACAAACAGGTGAACAAAGAAGTAACTGGAAATAAAGGGAGTGCTGTAATAAGGGACGACTGGAGGGCACCTACACTGGATTGGAGATTTCTTGGAAGGGGTAATGTTTGATTTAATACATAGTATGCTATGGGAAGAAATAGAGGAAGAGTACTCTTTGAACAGAAATGTTGAAGTAAGCAAAAATCCTGAAGGTAAGGAATAATTTTTCCAGGAAATGAAAGACAATTGATGTGATTGGAAGTTGGTAAATGAGAGGACATAAAAAGAATTTGGAAATGTAGGTAGGGACAAGAATGGTAGCTCCTTGTTGCCTATTGTAAAGAATTGGGATTTCATTCTAAGAAAAATTAGAAGCTTTTGGAGAGTTTTCAGTAACAAGTAATAGCATCCAAGAAGAGTCATCTGGCAACAGTGTAGAAAAGGAATTAGATATAAAAGTGAATGCAGCTGAGCACCGGTGGCTAATGCCTGTAATCCTAGCTACTCAGGAGGCAGAGATCAGGAGGATCACTGTTGGAAGCCAACCCAGGCAAATAGTTCACAAGACTCTATCTTGAAAAAACCCGTCACAAAAAAGGGCTGGTGGAGTGGCTCCCAGTGAAGACCCTGACTTCAAGCCCCTGTGCCGCAAAAAAAAAAAAAAAAAAAAGTGAATTGCAGAATTGCAGGGAAACTAGTTACAAAAGTATTATATTACCTTAGGCTAAAGATAATAGCTTAGAATTATGTGGTTCTCTTGGGAAGTCAAAACTATTTCCATCCTAAGCCATTATATTTGTTATCTCTTATTTTGATATTTATACTCAGGGTGCTAAAACAAAACAGACCTTGGCAGAAATCAAGGCTACGGCACCCAATTGTTGTGGATAGTGTTTAACACAAACATGCAGGAAAAAAAAACCAGATTTGTTGAAGATTGTCCTTTATGAAACACTACAAAAAATCATGAAGTTAATTAGATTTCAGTGCTTGAGAATGGTCTTAACATTCTGTGTGACAAAATATGAAGTTTGCCTAAGGCACTCATATACACCAGAGAATAGTGATTTTCCTGAAGGAAAGTTCTTGGGCAATTAAAGTTAAAAGGTGAATTGACTTGCTTTTTTTGAAACACTGTTTTTACTTGGAAGAATGACAAACCCTGTTTATTCTCGTGAGTATTTTGTATTTGGGGGTGGAGGAGTAATGAAACAAGCCTTTCACTTCAAGGAAAACAGTTGACATTTGTTGGTGGTGATAAAAGTTGAAGTTTCCATTTTTTTTTTTTTTTTTTGAGACAGTGTCTCACTAGGTAGTCTGAGTAACTCATGATCCTTTTGCCACAGCCTCCTGAGTGCTAGGATTATAGGTTCCATGCCCAACTAAAAGTCAAAGTTTAAAGCAAAAATTAGAATTTTGGAAAACTTGTATGTGCCACCATAAGCTTAACTACTTCCCAAGACACTACTGATAAGATTCGTGGTGTTATTAACAAATATAATGCTTTCTACTATATAATTAAATGTATCAAAATTTAGAAATACAACTTGGTGAACCAACATTTTCAGTGGCCAGTGCATAATTTTACAAAATCATGAGTGGGAAAAAGGTCCATTCAAAGTGCAAAAGCAATGAATTTACAACAGTACAAAATGTTCTTTGATATGACTTTAGAACCCATATTTTACATAACCTTGACAAATTTAATATAGTATCAAAGAATAATATCCACAATTATCTGAAAAGATGATTAGAGTAATCTCCATTTTGTAACTATCTGAGATGTTTTTTATATGCTTAATGTAAATTTTCATACACTTATCTAAAACAACATAGTGCAACATATTAAATGCACAAGATATCTTCTATTAAGCTGGATATTTCAAACAAAACTATAAAACAATGTCACTAGTATTTTTTGGAAATAGCCATATTTTCATGGTATATTTATCAAAACAAGTATTTTTTAAATTTTTGTTTTAATTCTAATATGGACAATTATTTCAAGAGAAATAATTGACACAAACAAGAAGTTCTTTAGAGTTGTCAGTATTTTTAAGGGTGAAAAGGGTTCTTGTGACCAAAAAATTCAAGAGCCTCTATCTAGACTAAGGTGGCAGACCCAGTAAAGTAAAAAGAGATTGTTGAGGCTGGGTGAAAAGATTTTAGATTTTGTGAAGGGAAAAATAGTTATCAACTATTGGTTACTTTATTCTCAAAGTATAAGGTCAGGTCGTTGGCTTAGTATGAAGAAAGGAAAAACTTTTAAAGAAAAAGAACTGGGAGCTTGATAAGATAATAGGTAAGTATTTATTAAGGAAATAGAACTAAATGCTAGCTAACAGTGAATTGCTCACTTGGATTTGCTGTTTCACTTAAAATGACAACAATCTACCTGAATGTATGACTTTGTCCCAAAAATTTTCAGCTGTTACAGTGCAAAGCACAAGGTTGAATTCATTTAGAATTGAATTTTGTTTAGTTTCAGAAGAGATATTTGATTTAAAACTATTTGCAAAATTATTATAATGAACTATGATCTCAAAAATAATTATAATCTGTGTACAAAGAAAGTAAGGATAAGGTAGTAAAAGAGTAATAGGTTAATAATAGGCTCACATTTTCATTGAAGTAAAGCTGTAAAGACAGATATTCAGAGAGCAAAAAATTTTAATTAGGAATTTCCTTTACTGGTTATGATAGGCTCAAGATAAAATCCTGTAGCCTATAACTGATGAAAGTAAAGGAGCCGACTGGTAAAGACGAGAAGGGGAAGGAATTGGGTGGCATGGCGCTGTGTGTCAACCACATGAATGAGAACTATGAACCAGGTGCCAATGTTCTCAGATGATGAAGCATGGCTAAGAGGTCAACAGATGATAGCAAATAATTGGCAGTGTGTGCCTCAGAAAAGCAAAGTTAGACTGATTAGCTGCAGAAGAAATGGCATGTTTTCAGCTAATTGGGTTTCAGTTACGGCAAGAGAAGAAGAGTTGTTCAGACTACAGGAAACTGCAGACTGTGAGACAGAAGTTCAGGAAAATAGATAATGGGGAATGTCTGAGATGGAGCACAGAGGTTGGGATTTAATTCAGACTAGAAGAAATACAGGTCTTGGGATAAGCATTTGAATGATAATAGATGATCCAGAAATTTGAAAGCATTTGAATGATAATAGATGATCCAGAAAGACTTGGATTTTTAAAAGTGATTAAGGAAGACAGTAATCTAATCTGCTATGAAATTAGCCTTGATCTTCAGAGGAACCACCAGTGTCCTGCTGTCATCTCCAGTGCTCTACTTAGCAAGGCAGTAGCTTTAAAGCTTTTCATAATCTATGTACAGTTTGTAAGCCAATAGCATACTGTTTCCTCACACTATCTAGAAAATATATTGGCCAGTCTCTTCCCTTTTTATAGACAAGAGAGTAGAAGTAGCAGATTTGATCTTGTGTATTTTAAACATAAATCAGATGCAAAGCTGTTCACATAGTAAGTACTCAAGAAACGATGAGTGGGTTTAAGTAGGTCTCTGTCCTTTTACAGAATAGCATAAAACCTAACAGTTAGTAGTCTTAAAATAGAGACCTATTCATAATACACTTATGTTCTTCACCTCAACACTAAATATCTACGATATGCAAGAAAGATTAGTGTTAACCAGAGTACAGAGATGATTCTGCCCTTGTGAATTTGAGTCTAATGGGAGAAACCAGTCATAATATAAAGTAGAAATAAAGAGCTTGTGGATAAGAGAATTATTAAGTGTATGTAAGATGCTCAAGGTGAACTTCTTGGAGGAAATTGTAGCATTTGCAGTGATAAGTAAGGTTTTCATACGCAGAAAAGGATATTCCAAACCAGAGAGTCATGAGAGTATGGTCACAGAATTATGTCTCATGCTAGGACAACATTGGTTGATGGAGGCAATACTAAAGAGCATAAGTTTCCTTCTACCCTCTGCATTAATAGCAGTTTGAATCAGTGAAGGCTTTTGAAGAGTGGCATAATCCAGTATTTTTTTAAAGCAAGGTTCTGTGACTATTTGTTTTAGTATAATACTGTATTGAAAATGGAGTTTTTCCTAACCTTGAACACTATCAGACTCTTCCTTGAAAAACTGTTTAAAATTAAAGTGGAAGGTAATATAGGTCTGCTTAATTGCTACCATTATAATAGTTAACTTCTTTTAAAATAAAGGAGAGTGGTATGGTTTGAGCATAGAGGTTTTAATGGGGGCTGCCTGTTTCTAAAGATTCTTAAAAATTCTCAGCTTTCCTGACTATACATGGGAGGGGGCAAAGGCAGATGGAAGTTCCCATGAGGAAATGAAAACACAGAAAAGGTGACTTGCTCAGTTTATTCATGAAGTCACAAATTAAAGTGGGCACCAAACCTTGGAATTGAGTCCTAGTACAGATAGTATAGTATTTTAGAAAATTTTACAGAATTAAATGTTATTTTTCTATTGTAAATTGAGTAGAACATTGTTGCTTTTGCATTTTCAGTATTTTTCTGTTACCATTTAGTCCCAGAAAAGAATTGATCCTCAAATTACTGAAAAACTGTCAGTTTACAAAAGGTTATAACCTCATGTGGTGAGGAGACTATTTAAGGCGCCAAAGAAAAGAATATATTTCTCATTGACTGCACTCCAGAACATAAGTTTTGTGAGGAAAGAGACTTTGGTTTTTTGTCACTTTATCACCAGCTATAGAAGGCATATCTTGTATATAAGATTCTCAGTAATTCATCCTAATGAATGAATGAAATGGACTCTTAGGAGAATTAGGGGGACTTGTGACACAAGCATAGTAAAAGAAAATGTTTTTCTTTATTCCTGTCTTTATCCATTATGTCTCTGGCAAACATTCATATATTTTCATGAATTCCTACATTTGAATAGGTTCCTCTAAGAAATTTGGATATGATAATATACTAATTAAAATTATGATAAATTGTTATAGTATAAACTAGTTTGGCAAAACTTTTTACATGCATAGAGTACTTCTATCCATTCAGCTTCTCAGTATGCTTGAAAGAATACTGTATTAGAAAAAAAAACCTATTGGAAATCTCTTTAGCTTGTTTTATTGAAAACATCTGTGATTTTTTGTTTTTGTTTTTGTTCAGTTTTAATCGCTTGGATCTACCACCATATAAGAGTTATGAACAACTAAAGGAAAAACTACTTTTTGCAATAGAAGAGACAGAGGGATTTGGACAAGAATGAATGTGGCTTCTTGTGTTGGAGGAGCTCTTGCATTTAAATACCCCAGCCAAGAAAAATTGCACAGATAGTGTACATAAACCGTTCATTCTGTACAGTGAATTTTCTGAACCTCTCAAAGTATAAATGTTTTCCGTTCTTCCACAGAAATATGCAAAAACAGTTCATCATTTTCTACTTTATTTATTGTTCCCTTAAAATGACTGACCAGTTAAATTTTGAAGCAAGCAAAAGACTTTATTAAAAATAAGTATATATCTATATAAGCATATATGATAATGGCTCTAGTTTTATAGAGCTCCAAGTGTATTAAACATGACAGCCATTCATTCATATAGATCTGACCTTGCTTTACCTTGTTTCTGTTATTCAGGGGAAAAGTACAAATTGCTTCATGTTCTTCTCCCTTAAGTAACATCTCTTGAGGGTGTTTAGTTGCATGGCTGTTCAGGAAGGTATTAAGGGCTTAGGCCAAATCTTAGAGTATGTTAAAAACAAAAAATGCTGCTGGCTTTTCTAAAGACAGGTGCTTGAACCTGTCAGTGTGTTTTAAATGAACATAATAGTTGAAAACTTTTCCCTCTTTGCTACATTATTAATATAGTAAAAGTAATGAATGAAACCATAACTTACATGGAAGTCATGTACTAGATCCAGTAACATTACTTTGTTAGATATTGGAAAGAATTAATTGAACAGTATAGAGATCTGTTTACATGTTACTTTGGGATGCTAGGTATTTGTGAAATTAAAAAGAATCAGGCACTCTGTACTTCTGTTTTTTAAATGTGATGTTCTTCAGATATAATTAATAAATTGATGAAGGTTGATATTTAGGAACATACAAAAGGTATTGTGAACTTTGCCACTTTGGTTTGTGTTCAGAGTTTTGCTTTTGTAAATCAGATAGACTGAATAAAACCAGATGGGTTGAAAAGAGTTACATAAACATTTAAACAAATGATACTAATGACTTTCTATTAGTGTTTAGATATCCCTATTCCTCTCAGATTCATGAAAATTCTGTTTCTGAATTAAATAAGCATATAAATAACCTTTTGCCACCATACCTAGTTTTTCATAGATCAAGTTAATTTGTTCCAGGTAACATTTTTTTTCATTATAAGGGCATTTGCTGAACTACAAAGATGTATATAACAAAATCAGATGTGAATGATAATGCTGCTTTTAGCAAAATGGGCTTTCTAATTTCTGAAAAATTTTAATTTCCATTTGTATCATGCTTTCAATATGCACTGTAAATTTCATTAACTTAAAATTTTTTCTAACTCTGGAACTGACTTCTTAGAATGTTACCTGTAAATATTCCACTAAGTGCATATGGAAAATACTAGTATACAATTTAACTTCTAAACAATAGTTTTTGTTTTGCCAAAGTTTTATTTTTCTACATATTTAGATTGTGTTCTGCATTTTTATTCAAAATTCATAGTAAAGATGAAGTAAGGGCAGTGATCCACTTAGAAGAGTCGTCTCCTTTCCCAGACTCTTATTTACTTTCTAGTAATCTTCAAACTTAAAAGAATTTTTAAAAGTTTTTTGCTAATGTGTACAACAGGTTATGTGATGGAAGGTGACCAGTCTTCAAAAGGACTGCTTAAATTATGCCATAAGACACAAAGATGGTATCCACTGCTGTCTGAATTTTGCTTTGACAGAAGTTATTGAGTGTCAGGCAGTGGAGATGTGTGAGATCATTTTGCAGATATGGTTGAAGAAGGTAGCTTTCAGGTCAAGTTCAGGGTGCCAGTTCCTTTAGTAAGAAGTTAGAATGCATCAGGTATAAGGCCACACACAGTCCACAGAGACCAAACCAGCTTTCTGGGGAAGACTAGTTTACAGACTTCATCAGGCCTTTCCACCTTCCACATCCGGTTATAGACACCACACCTATAGATAATACTGTCTGTCTATCTACTCACTAGCAGTCAGACAAATCAGAGAAATGTCTGCCTTTCCCCTTGTTCTCCTTTGAATCCTTCCTCAAAGAAATTAGTACAAGGCTCACTGTGCTTGGAAACAATTCATGAGGAAATAGATGACACACTCAGACAAGTTCGTATTGTTACTTCATTTTGGTGACGCCACCAATAAACATCTCAGCGAATGGGTCACAGACTTACATAATTTCATCAGTCAGGTCAGTTGTCTGCCTTTCAGGGAAAGAAGCTATCAGTGTTTTTGTTTTTGTTTTTCTGTACTTTTGTTAACATTTTCCTCTGACCACTTAGCTCTCAATCTGAAAAGCAGGTAAGATGGTACATTGCCAGGCAACTTTGCTTCTGCTTAGGGTTAAATGACCCTAAATAAGTTGCTTGTTGACTGGGAAAATGCCAGATATGTAATGGGAAGCTGTAATTTGGGCTTCCCTGAGTGTGAAAACTAAGGGGTAGCCTTTTGAGGATCCTGAGCTGTCATTTGGGGAGATGATGGTTCTTAGAGAACTGTAGACACCTTGCTAGAATGATTGCTGTTACAAGGTCATCTTCTGAAAGGAGGACCACTATTACCTTCCTCCATCTGTGGTTCCTGCCATGCCATTTTCTGAGTAAACTGATGTCAAATGTAAACCTATTGAGTCTCACTGTTTAATTAAACACAAGAAGATCTAGTGGACATTGCAGAGGTAAAACAAACTGTGTTGAAACATGTTAATGAAAAAAATAAAAGTTCTCCTGTAGCACTCCCTACTTTTCTTAATCTGTTGAACTTAAAAGTCAAGCTTAAAGTCAATTGGAGATTTGATCCATGTCCAAAAGTGTATCTTGTAAATTGCAAAATTTCTCTTCCCAAATTCAGCCAAGGAGAATGAACTCAGATGTTACCAATATTTTTTAACGTGCATACCAGTGCTCATTTTAAATCTTTTACATAAAGTATTCTCTTAATCACATGAGATTGGTGGTTTTTGTTTTATCATGCTTATTTTTTTAAATGAGTAAAGTGAGTCCGAGAAGTTATGTTTACAGCATCCATAGCTAGTCCACCATAGTCTCGTTCTAAAAACTCAGTTGGGAAAATTTTGCCATTAAGTGAGAACAAGCCAGGCATCAGTGGCTCACACCTGTAATCCTAGCAACTCAGGAGGCAGAGATCAGGAGGATCGTGGTTCAAAGCCAGCCTGAGCAAATAGTTCCGTGAGACCCTATCATGAAAAAACCCTTTACAAAAAATGTGCTAGTGGAGTGGCTCAAGCTGAGTCCCTGAGTTCAAGCCCCAGTACTGAAGGAAAAAAAAAAAAAAAAAAAAGCAAGTTTCAAAACCACCACCATCCAGCTTTTGAAAGCCTAGTATATGCAAGGTCCTGGGGTTGACCCCTAGCACTACAATCAGTCAACCAATCAATAAATAGGAGAGAGAGAAAAGAAAGAAGAATCCAAACTCGGATTCTTATATTCTCAAAAGGAAGAACTCAGGTGTGGTAGTGCCATAACTAATCCCAGCACAAGGGAGGATGAGGCAGGATTGAGAATTAAAGGCCAGCCTGGCCTACATAGTGAGACCCTGTCTCAAAGGGAAAGTATACATGAGAAGAGGTAAACACACTGCCTCTGTCTATAGGGTTTAGAAGACAGAATACTACAAATTGTGTATACAAGAATGTGGGCGAATTAAGCCTCACAAACCCGAACAGTCAGTTCTGGAATGCATACACAAGAATAGTCAGATAGGATTACATAAGGAGAAGTAATGGAGTCAAAGAGTTCCTTCTCAAGAGGGGTTCTCACTCTCATTGGGGCAACACCAAATCTGATACCTGGTGAATCGGGCCTCTGGGAAGAACCAAGAGACCTAGAAAGTGCACAGAATCACAATCTTAGGAGGACACATCTTGGAGAAGGAAGTGATTCCTCAGAGTAAAGAGAACAAAGATAAAAGCTCCATAAAAGATCCAGCAACCATACTCCTAGGCATTTATCCCAAAGATAAAAACATAATATTCACAGCTTTATGGGAGAAAAATTTGAATGCCCTTCAATGGATGGTAAACTGGTATATCCACATAATGGAATACTGGTCAGCATTTTAAAAGAAGTTGGTGGAACTCAGAAGGATTTCAAGAACATTTTCCTGAATGACAATCTCAAGATCATATTATGATTCCATTTTCATAGCTTTGTGTGTTGTTACTGGGGTTTGAACTCAGGACCTCACGCTTGTCTGGTAGGCACCTCCAGTGCTTATATAATATTCTTGAAATGGCAAAACTATAAAGAATAGGTTTGTAGTTACTAGTCAGGGATGGGGGAGGTGGACGCACGTGACTAAAAAGGGTCATTAGCATTAGGTATCTTTGTGGTGATGGCAATACAAAAGTTGATGTGATAAAACTGTAAAACTAAACACACGAGAGCATTGAAAGTTTTAAAGGGCTGGAGGCATGGCTCAATTGGGAGAGCACCTGCCTAGCAAGTGCAAAGCAATGAAATCAAACCTCAGTACCTCCAGTAAGGACTGGAGGGGACAAACTGGAAGGCTACACAGGACTACTTGTTACTGGTTTTTGAAATTTCTTCATGAATCTATAATTATTTCAAATATTTAAAAAAAAAAAAAACGGTTCTTCAGTTTCAGAATACAGATCTTCATAAAAGGCAACTCATTTCACAAAAACTTACACAAATTATTGTGTGCACACTGGAAATGGACCCCACACCCTTGTGCTAGATAAGTATATGCTGTACCACTGAAATGTACCCACAGCCCCTGAGATTATTCTTAAACTAACCCAAGACTCTGACCTCCATTTGGTTGCCTGGTATTGCTGGTAACAAAAATTTTCTATTTCTAGAATAGTATATTTTAAAGAGCTGAAAATAAAAAAGCATCTGGGGTATATATCTGGTATTGTGCTTACTTAGCAAGTGCAACATCCTGGGTCTGATCCCTGGTATTGGAGGTGGTATGAATTAAATAAATTGCAGATATCAAAAAATTCAAATTAGTAATTCAAAAACTCAGAACTGAACAAACATGAAAATGTGAAATGGCTGCTGACTGAAATCAGGGAAAAAAATTGAAAAGATAAAAGTAGAAGTGATGACAATTATAAAATAAGGACGCATACACTAAAAGGGGTTATAGAACACAAATGAAGAATTAAAAAAATGAAACAAAAAGTTATAAATCTGAAAGTGATGAATACAAAAAGGCAAAGAATATCTAATATACATAGAATTAATTGGAGTTCCTGAGAACAGCACAGAACAGTGGCCGTCAATGTGTAATCCCTTAGGCCAGTCTGGAATGAGACAAGTGATAAGACAAGTGGACAGGTCTTTGAAAAGTTAATTGTGTAAGAAAAAGATGATGGGAGAACTGTTCAAGATTAAAGTCAACTAAACTGCAAATTAAATGCAATGTATGATCTTTGATTCTAGTTTTAAAAACTTTATGGTGTTTTGGACATTTCAGGAATAGTTAAACTATTGACTTTGTATTAGATGATGGTGGAGAAATGTATTTATATTAGATGATGAATGGGATATATATTTGTTTTGGAAGATGTCCTTATTCTGAAGAGCTTAAATATTTCAGGATGAAACTGCAGAGGTTTAGAAATTATATATGAATACATACATACTTTTAAATAAAATATAGCAATTGTTGAGTATCTGAGATGGGTATATAGAATTCACTACTTTGTTTGAAAATTCACATGTTAAAACAGCACATACCTACACCACTGACTATAATACACTCTAGCAATTCTCAAATTCTATGGGAAAAATATACCTATACATAGCCTCAGATTTATCTGATTCGAGAATCTCCTTTTTTTACCAAACTTGATTTTCCAGGGGTAGCACACCAGACTAAAGTAAGCAGTATTGTCCTGCCTTCTTAAAGTATCCTAATTTCCATTCCACTCTTAAATTCTGTGTTCCTTCCATCCTGTAAGGGTACACAGTTTGGGCTTTCTCTTAACAAAAAAAATTCAATCCTTGTTAAGACTATATACCACATTTCAATATGGAAACCACTCTGTTTTTAGTCCTCTCCTCACCTGAGTTCTTTCCTTATACCTGCTTGGCCCCAAGGTACATCACACAATACCAAGAACCCCTACAATTCTGTATACTTAATCTGTTAAATCACCCCACATTAAAAGAACTGAGCTGTAAAATATCTTTATAATCCAATGAAAAGACGAGGTTTATTAGGTATTTTGTTTATTTATTTTAATAGTATTGGGACTTGAACTCAGGGCCTCGCACTTGCTAGGCAGGTTCTCTACCACTTGAGCCATGACCCAACAATCCTCTTCACATGTTTTCTTCTCTGGGAAGTTCACAAACCTGTGAGCAACTGAGCAGCTTCTGTCTGTATCTAAAATGGGAGAACACATGTTAAAGAGTACAGCTTAGAGATTAACTTGTGAAATTTGTAAAGTAGGCTGGTTTCTAAGAGCTTCCAAAAAAAGCAAGATAGGACATTGTAAGAATAAAATTTGTTGACAGTGATGACCAAATTTGACTCTCAAGAGTATCTCCCTTTAACACATTCTTTGACCTTTTTTGTTGGTGGTGGTGGTTTTTTGTAGTGCTAGGGATCCTACCCAGGACCTTGTGGCATGCTAGGCAAGTGCTCAACCACTGAGCTACATCCCAGCATGTCTCTTGATTTTGCTATGTATGTCAAATAATTATGTACTGGAGCAAGTAACTCATAACATTTATTTGCTGATAGTAAATCAACATTTCCTATAGAAAAACGTAAGTGTCATACACAACAAGTGTTGTGTTTCCAGCACTATTATGCATTTAGACAATTATGCTTTTAAAGAAGTTTTTGGTTCACCTTTATCGAATAGATGCCTTACTTTTACTAGAGATGCTTTACCTGTTTATCTTCCTCTGTGTGTGCTGGATAGTCCTTGGCTTTCATCAGCCACAGAGTAGCAAGCTTTTTATTGTTTAGTTTTAAGTATGTCTTCCCTAAAAGGAGCAAGTTTTTGCTGTAGAAGTTTGGATCCACTGTACATAAGAAGGAAAAACAAATATAGGTCAAGAGAAATAGTGTTGCTTTTACTTTTTTGGGGGGGAAGGGTGTAAATTTTTGTAATAAAGTGATTAGACTATAATTTTCTTTTGTTCAACTATTCTTATCTCAAACTAGTATCTTTCTGGTTGTGATAATGGATTTGCATTTATTTTGGAAGACGTCCTTATTCTGAAAAGAAGTTCAAATACTTCATGTTGTAATAATTTGTTCAACTGTTCTTGTTTCAAACAAGTATCTGTAAAATAATTATCATTAACAGTGTCTATATGCGAAGCACTATATACATTTCTCATTTTAACAATTATGTAAGTTAGATAACTCCATATTACAGAGGAACTGAGGCTCCTGACAGAATGTAAGCCACATATGACCAATTTTTTTACACTTCTTTTTCTTACTGTATTCCAAGTGCCTAGAACAATGCCTGGGACATAACAAATACTCAGTGCATTTGCTGATTGAATAAGTGAATGATATGATGGTATGTAAATTTGGTCAACATATGCAAAGAGAAAGAATGAAGCAAAGTCTCTGTTACGTAATTTATAATGAAAAGGCGAGAAAAATGAACAAAACTAAAGGTATTGTATGAATGAAGAAATGCTTTACCAAATGTACAAACTTCTGAGTGCTGCAAGAAGCCAAAGCAAAACTGAGTGACTACACCTGTGCTGCACTGAAGGCTGAATAGAACTTTTACAGAAAAAATGGAAAACATTCTTGGTTGAAGGAAAAAAGAATGAACAAAAAGCCTATGAATGTGTGAGTACTTAAAACAGTGGTCACCAGAAGGGGAAAGGTAGAGGGATGGAGGGATGATGGATGAGGGGATTCAAAAATACAGTTAGGAGGAATAAGATTTACAGCACAGTAGAATATATACTTTATATCAATGTACTGTATATTTTATAAAGAACTAGAAGAGCATTCAAAGCTTTTCAACACAAATGATAAATGCTTAATTAAGGAGATGCTAACTATGATTTGTAATGGTATCACATTCTCCATAAATGCATGTAATTATGTGTTAGTTAAAAATAGTTTTTAAAAAGCTTATGAATGGAGGCTTGGCATAATGACACACTCTTGGGAGGAGGAGGCAGGAGGATCTTGAGTTGCAGGCCAGCCTGGCATACACATGGAGATCGTGGCTCAAGCCCCCCCCACCCCGAATAAAAATTAAAAAAAAAAAAGAAAAGAAAAGATCTTCTCACTAACTTAATTTTTTTTCCTCCTTAACTTTGTTAATTCATGACACAGTTTCCTACTAGCAATTTAGGACTCTCTATATTCAAAGCTTACCTTCTGCGGCTGTGGATAGTTTGGTGGGAGTACACATGCTCAGCATGCACTTTAATCTCCATCATCAAAAAGAATATAAGGCATACTTTTTCTTGGATACAATTTAGGATTAACTTAATTTGCTTACAATTCAAAATTGTTTTAACTTCTTTAAACATCTGTGTGATGACATGTTGGTACACTTAAGAGTTCCTTAGGGTTAAGTACGTCAGTTCATTCTTCATCTGTTTACTCTGTCATTCAGCATATTTGCCATACATGATATGTTAAGCAGTGGAGATGCAAATGTGAGCCAGAAAGACAAAATTCCCAAGCTTCCTGTACTTACAGCCTTATACATAGAAGCAAATATTCACAGTATGAAGCAAGAAGGGTCATGATGGGATATGTAAAAGACATTAAGAACAAAGGTGGTGCGTCTGAACCAGATTTGGGCAACATTTTGCCTAGACAAAGTGACCTCTCAGATAAAACGTGAAGGATGACTGTGGAGTTACCAAGGATTATTTTAACTCCATGAGGGCACAGCCATGTTTTTCTCAGAACCTCCAACCCATAAGTCTCTTAAGGACTGAGTTTTACTTCAAAATTACAGTTTTAAGTCCCTTTGAGAAAATTTCATTCCTGTGTTCTTTCATGACATATAAGACAGGATAATCAGGAGACGATATCAATAAAAGGCAATAACAGAACAAACCAGAATTTATAAATTAGTTATGTAATAATGAAACATAATTCTTCAGAAAACATGTTTTTAAAACCCAAATTGTTATCAGAAAAGCATTTGAGCAAATCACTTGTGTAAGAACTCAAATTTAATAAACAGTATGTCTTAATTCTTACTAAATTTTATAAAAATATGATTGCAGTGGTTTTTATGGTGTATTTGGTAACATATATTTCTTTCCTGCTTAAGTGTTTTTAGTATTTTTGTTTTCTGGTGCTAGGAAACATACCCAGGACCTCATGCATGCTAGAGGCAAGCTCTGTAACACTGAGATACATCCCCATCTCCAGTGTAATTATTTTTTTTTTGGCAGTACTAGAGTTTGAACTCAGGACCTCATACTTGCTAGGCAGGCACTCTACCCTTTGAGCCACTCTGCCAGCCCAAATTCCACCCCCAGTATTTTTTAAGAGGATAAATTTGCAGTATGCAATGGTGACAGTTTTATATAATAATTTTACAAGAAAAACATGAAACTCTCTCACAAAAGAATACAGTATTATCCAACACACCATAAACCACCCTGATGTAAAGTTGCCATTTTAGGTGCTTCTAACTATGTAACCTCAAACAAGATAGTCAGCTTGTTCAAGCCTCCTCTCAAGGGGAAAGCTGAGGGCTGGGGACATGGCTCTAGTGTTATACTGACAGAGCTGCCCGAATTCAAACACAATATCGCCACAAAAAAATAAGACTGAATCACATTAAATGAAGGGACCATTCTACAACTGTAGCTCTAAATTAAGCAATGGGATCTTTATAAAATAAAAGTCATTAAATTTTACTCTACAGTATCTAGTGCAAAAAGTCCAACAATAGGTAACTTTTAAAAATTCCTATTATACAGCATTCACACAATCTCAACTATATCAAGATGTGAAATGAAAGTGTTACCTTGTTCTGCCCTGTGAAAGTAGCCCACGGCCTGTTAAAAACAACAAAGAACCCAAACAAAATGAAAAGGATTAGATGCAGTACTTTTAAAAAAGCACATTCTCAAAAGATCTATTCCTATATTAAATATAAATAAATCATCTTAAAATAATGATCAATTCTTCAACAATGACAGTAACATAGCCAAATTAAATACAATACTACTAAATCATAAAAGAATAGTATTATAATATGTGGACCATTTCTGATAATTTAGTTGTCATTTAGAATTCATGCCAAACTACCATGTACAAAACAAACATTATTGTATATAACTCAGCTTTTTTTACCTTTCTCTTAAACCATTACAGTAATTCCTACCAAAAATTACATATCATCAAAAGCTGAATTTACTCAGTGATACATGGATTATAGTTTGTCTTTTTTGAGGGGAGGAAGAGGCTTGCTTGGAATGGAACCCAGGACCTTGCACATGCTAAACAGGTACTCTACCACTGAGCTAGGTCCCTAGAAACCGTACCAGTAGTTTTTCTTTTTTTGGCCATACTGGCGTTTGAACTCAAGGGCTTGTACTTGCCATCCAGTTGCTCTACCACTTGAATCACATACCCAGCCCTTTTTACTTCGAAATCTCTCACTTATGCCCAGGGAAGCCTGAACTGGATCCTCCTATTCACCCATAGTTGGCTGAGATGTGGTCTTGTGAACTTTTGCCCTGGGCTGGCCTTGAACCTAAACCTCCCAAACTCCACCTCCTAAGCAGGTAGGATTCACAGGTGTAAGCCAATGTACCACGCTCCATACCAGTGATTTTTAAAAGTCCATTACTTTTGAAAGGCCTACCTACAATGTTATTGTGAATCTGAAATTCTCTGCTAACTTTTGTACTTCTAAAAACTTTCTACAAATTTTTAGACCAAATTCTTTATTATATTATAGCTTCCCTGGAGGAAAGAAGAAAGCAAGTAAAGTCCTTTTTCTGAAAGAAGTATTGGGAGAATTTTTCAGTTGCCTATTTCCTTATACCTTGGAAATTTTGTACACGCAAAAGGCCGGGTTTGATTCCTAACACCAAAAAGAAAAGGAAAAAAAAAAATCTTAGGTAGAAGTCCCTTTCAAATTTTGTTTTTAACAGGAAAAGCAAAAGAATGTAAGTCTCATACTAATTTGTATAGAAAGTTATACTTGATGTTCTTATCAATTCAAACATGTTCTTCATTTACCTAAATGACTGTTATTGTGTAGAATACCTAAAACATGCTGGGTAACTGTTGCTATATTTCTTGGTCTACTTTATGACTTTTATATAATGAAGGTAGGTTGTAGACATAAGCTACAGTATACCAGAATTATCAGCCACTCATCTAAAGGGGATAAAAAAAAGCACTCACCAGTCCTGGATAGTGAGTATTAAGTCTTTGTGATATGATAGTTGAATTGGATCATTAGACACTTGCTCAAGTCCCTCACTGAAACCGAGCTCCAATATGTGTGGACACTGAAGAATGGCGCTGTAGTTATGAAATCAGTACTAATTTAACAAAGGACATCAAACTACCTCCTCATAGGTGGAACTAGGAGGAGTTGCAAACAGCATTTTAGCAATTCTTCTTTGATACCAAGGCATTTCAGCAAATGTATAGCACCTATAGGGAAATAAAACATTATACATTCAGAGTGTACTTTTTTTCACTTAAAAGAAGATATTATAAAAGGAATCTTCTGTTGTTTGTTTAAACAATTTGTACTTTACATGATATCTAGTTTGCTAATATTCATACTGAATTCTCTAGAGACTGACTTGATCCAGTAGTTGGGGTATATTTTGTTTTTAAAGTAAACACTAAGCAATAGTACATGTGATGATAATACAAAGGGTCATCCACTGGAGTACTCACTTTGCCAGGTTTTGGGCTAGGTGACTACTATTTTCCCTTATCTAGGCCTCAAAACAACTAGGTGAAACAGGATCATTACTATGTTTGGTTTTGGGTTTTTTTGTTTTGTTTTGTTTTTTGGTGCTACTGAGATTTGAATGCATGGCCTCACACTAGCTGGGCAGGAGCTCTACCACTTGAGCCATACCCCAGGCACTTCTCCCTTTAGATTTTTTGTTGGATAAGGTCTCGTGTTTTTGCCTGGGCCAGGCTCAGCCTGCAATCCTCCTACCTATGGCCCTCCAAGTAGCTGAGAATACAGATAGGTATCACCATGCTCTTTTTATTTTTTTTTGAGACACGTTTTTACTGTGTAGTACATGCTGGACTTGACCTGCCCCACCCAGCCTCCCAAATGCTGGCATTATAGGCATATACCACCAATCCTGGTTCATTATGCCTATTTTTTACATAAGAAACACTCAAAAGTTAAAAAACCTTACCCAAGAAAAATGAAAAAACTAAACATGGTAAGTCCATTTTTAAAGGAGTGAAGCAAATATGACTAATACTGCAAAATCTAGACAACTTTCTGAAACAAGTAGGAAAAAAAATTTGGGATCTTTGGGGTGTGAACTGTCTCAAGACAGAAGCTATATCTCATATTTGCTTATGAAGTGGTTGTCCCTCAATTAGTATTAATCCTCAGTAATTTAATATGTTCATTAGCCTGAGAAAGATGTACTCTTTTAACAGACTGATACAGGACTGTTTACACTGTTACCCCTTTTAGATAACAATAAGTATTTAGTTCTGGTAGGTCACAGTGGCTTATACCTATAATCCTAGTTGTTCGGGAGGCAAAAATCAGGAGGATCACAGTTTGAGGTCGGCCTGGGCAAAAAGTTTGAGACCCCAATTCAATCAATTAAAAAAAAAAGCTGGGCAAGTGGTATGCATCTGTCATCCTAGTTACACAGGAGGCATAAGTAGGATTGCAGTCTAGTCCAGCCCAGGCATAAATGTGAGACCCTATCCAAAAAATACCTAAAGTAATAAGGGATGGGCTGTGGGCATGGCTCAAGTCGTAGAGCACCTGCCTGGCAAATGCAAGGCCTTGAGTTCAAAATCCAACACCACACCAAAAAAAAAAAAAAAAGTTGTCTCTGAAGACTTTACCCCAAGGAAATGGTGGTCAACCTGTCATCACAAAACACTCTTAAACCAGCAAATATTTGTATGTAACACATTCATATATCCTCATATCAGCATAATAATGATCCATATTGGACAGAGGATTATAATGAAAATGGAAAGGAAGATTATATTCCTCAGAGTAATCAAGTCCATATCTGACATACCGTAAAGCTGCAAAGAACCTCTTGAGACATCCTACTACATCATGTAGTTAGATTAATTCAATTTGACTCAGCATGGTGAATAAAAATAATCTTTCCAAAGAAAAGGAATTGAAAGATCCACAAAAAAAGGTTTTAGGACTTTTTAGTTTAGGTGTATATTTCTCAATGACCCATATAACAATGTTTAATTATCACAAACGAATTTAGTATGTTATAACAATATACACAAACGTGATACTTAATGGATTTAACACTGACTCCTGCTGAATAATATTTTTAAATGTTACATTTTGATTTTGTATCTACTATAAAATCCATTATTTATACATACTATGAAATAAGATACTAAATAGCACTGAAATATTAAAGAAATTTTCTTACCAAACACCCATAAGGTGAATTGAGGTCGCATCTTTAGGGTTCAGTTCAATTGCTTTCTATTGAGAAATAAGAAAATTAGTCATATTTGTTTTCTAAACAACAATAAGTGCTTAACTATGATAGCTGAAAAGGCTATAACTAAAAAAAATTGCAACCCTATACTTTAATCAACACCAATTTTCTATTTGTTTCAATATACTATACCTATACAATGATACTATAAGGTTCAGAAACTAATGTAGAATCTACTACAATGAGTAAAATCACAAAATATACAAATTAATTTTGCAGTTTAATAACCTACAGCGCTCAATGTTTCTTTCAAAAACCAAATGAATACTGAAAAAAAAACATTCTTTCCTAAAAAATAAAACAAGAAGTACATAATTTTGGAGAGTCTCATCCCACATGCAGATTTTGTTCACTTTCCCCATCTGTACTGAAAAGAAAAATAAATAGTATTCATGGAATATATTAATAGAATAATGACAATAATAGCAAGAAGTTGATAAATCACCCTAATTTTCTATTTACTATGTCACTTAAGTATAAAGCACGAACTACAGAATAAGTTTTTTTTTTTAATTGTCCTTCTGGTTACTATTTTGGTAAAGACCACCAAGGAAATCTCCCAGAACAATATTTATCCAAATAAAAATAATACTCTTTTAAAGAAAATTAATTAAGACTTCCTAATTTATTCTTTGCTATAAGGCCACATTTTCACTTTCAGTTTGGTAATGGGTGACAATCCAATTTCAAATATTTATAATTATTAAAAGCATGAGCTCTGCCGCCATTCCAATCACAGTTCAATGACCTCTAACTTGTTGATTTTAGCAAGTTTGATAGTTTTACTGTGGCTGAGTTTTCTCTTTTATAAAAAATAAACAGGGCTAGAGGTGTGGCTCAAGCAGTAGAGCACCTGCCTAGCAAGAACAGGAGAGTTCAAACCCTAGTACTGCAAAAATAAATAAACAGATAAAACAAATAGAGTCAGAAGTGGTGGTACAGGGCTGTAAGCCTAGCACTTAGGACGCTATGGCAGGAGTATGCCAAGTTGAGGTCAGCCTACATGGCAAGAGCCTGCCTCACAATAAGTAAGTAAATACATACATACATACATACATACATAACTTGGGGGGTATAAGCTATTTACCTAGCATGTGTGAGGCTCTGGGTTTCATCCCCAGCACCACAGAAAAAAACAAAACTACGCCTCCTAACGGGTTATGGTGAAAATAAATGAAAGGTGTGAAAAATAGGAGGTACTTAGTACAGTGGTATCTTCGACCACCACCATAATTATTTTCACTTTTGATAATACAGTTATCAGTTGCTAAAATCTAGTTGATGTTAGTAGTAGCAGAGATAATAACTCGAATAAACAGAAATCTTGCAATAATGTAAGTAAGCCAGCACTTGGGAGGCAAAGGTAAGAGAATGAGTTTGAGGCCAGCCTAGGCTATGCAGCAAGTTTTAAGACCAGTTTGAGCTACATAGTGAGATCCTGTCTCAAAAAAAAAACAAAAAACAAAATAGGATGAGCATGGTAGCTCCCTAACTATGTGAAAGAACAGGCTGGAGGATCATAATCCTCTTCTAGTCAAAAATTAAAAGTCCTATCCAAAAAATAACTAAAGCAAAAAAGACTGGGGCATGGCACAAGTGGTAGAGGACCTGCCTAGGAAGTGTCAGGCCCTGAGTTCAAACCCAAGTACTATGAAAATAGTAACAATAATGTAAGAACCAACAGACCTTTTACTTCTCCTTGAATACAATAGTATCATTAATAGGAAAATGTATTTTATTTATTTTTTTGAGATAGTATCTCACTATGTTATTCAGGCTAGCCTCAAACTCACTATGCAGCCCAGTCTGGCCTCAAAACTGAATCCTTCGGCCACAGTCTCCTGAATACTAAGATTTCACCTGTGTAACCATCCTGCCTGTCATGGATTTAATTTTCTTATGGGAGGGCTTAAGAGGGGCTATTTTCAAGCAAATTCCTTTACAATCCTGCCATTAGTTTGTCTTCAGAAAACAATCCAAAGATAAGAATTCTTTGTTACTTTAGATGTAATAATATAATCCAAAATAGTAGTACAAATAATTTTAGTATTAACTACTATCACTTTTAATATATTTACAACATATATATTTGAAAGCTTACACAAAAGCTTATTATAGTAATTTTTTTATAATCTATTGCCTTGTCTATTTTCTCCCCCTTTGGCAGTGCTAGGGATTAAACCAAGGGCCTTGTACGCACTAGGCAAATGCTCTATCACTGAGCTACCACCCCCCACCCCTTTGTTGTTTTTTTAAAAATGAAAAATATATGCTAAAATATTCAGTGTATTTTTTCATTATTCACATTGAATGTTGTGCCATGTAGTTCTGTGTCCTGAGGCACAGAGCAATTAGGTCATTTATCTAATGCCACAGATGTAATTCTGTATTTTACTGAATCCGAGATACCAAAAATGGTATGTCACACCATTATTCTATGTACTCCTAAAAGGAAAAAAATACGATTGCCAATTATGTAATCTGAATCTATAGATCTTAAATTATGAAACATGCAAATGACTAAATTGTAAAATACTCCTGTATTTTAGAGGTATTTAGAGGTATGGCTCAAGTGATAAAACACTTGCCTAACAAGCACAAGGCCATGAGTTCAAATCCCACTATTGCAAAAAACAAAAACAGCAAAACTTGTAAAATACATATTATTAGCTACATATATACTGAGTAAGAAGCTGGGTATCCTGATTCCCACTCCACTGTTATGTTCACTAGTAGCTTTATAAAGTAGGAACTGAGTCATAATCATAAAACTTTATGATACCATATCCAACATTATCCCTATGTATGTTTCCATTGTTGCTCTTCCTTTTTTTAAGATGATCTACAATAACGAGAAAAAACATGCTGAAATTTTTGTGACAGTTTTTTTCTGTGTACGAGAATGATCAAATAGTGTGCATGTATATTATGAAATATACAGATTCCTAATAGAATCTTTACTATCAAAAATGCTTACGATTACTATAAATAAGTATATTAACATAAGGGGAAATGTTAAAATACAAATACTACATGCACAGCATAATCTGAAGTAGAACTATTCCTATTGAGAGTGGTATGCTAATTGTTAGACTGTCACATAATCGGGTCCTTGTATGACAGTTTCCCTTCATAAAAAACTGGGCTCAGCCATGTGAACTGTTTAGTTAACAGAATTTACCAAGTGTGATGTAAAAATAGTTATGTGATAAAAGTTTGCACACTAAGTTTTCCCTTGGAATACACTACTGAAAGTCAGCTACCATGCTGCAAAGAAGCTTGGGTTACACCACTAAGTGATAAAAGGACAAGCGGGGAGGATCTTGTAGAGGAGAGGCCATCTTGAACATTTCAGACCCAACAGCTGAGTGCCCAAGTGAATGAAGCTGTCTAATAAAGCAAGGCAGGAGGACCCCTGTACTTGGCTAACCCAGAAAACTTTAAAAAAAAAACCTTACAAACTGCCATCGCTTTAGGTCAGTAAGGCTTGTTTAAAGAGAGAGGGTCCCCACTATTTTTCCCAGGCCGGTCCTGAATCCTAAACTCAAGCAATCCTCCTGTCTCACCTTTCCCAAGTAGACTGGAATACTGGTGCACATCCCCAGCTCTAGGCCACTGAGTTTTAGGTGGTTTGCTACACAGTAATTTATAACTGAAACAAATCTATTCAGGAAAACACGAGCTTTTTCAATTCATGAACTGCAATAATTTATCAGTACCTCAAAATGCTCCTTGATAATGTAGGCATTTGCAATTTTAACCTTGATGCCTTCATAATCTCCAACATCACTAATGCAGATCGCATACCACTAAAATAGGGAAAAAAAGTGAGAGAATAATGCTCTTACTATTCCATTCAGTACAAAGAAAAATTATGCAATTACTTATTCCTCAATTGTCATTGTCATTTAGCAAAAGCTTACTGAGCATAAAACTGTATTAAATGCAGTAGAAGATACAAAGTGGACATGGCTCTCTGGAAACTCAGGGACAGAAAACTAATACAAGGTAAAAAGTGATGAATTAATGAAAAAATGCCAATATAATGAGAAGATAATGGATGCTTATGGTCTGAGTATAAATTTTTAAAACTTTGTAACTGAGTGACTATATTTTATCTTCCCATCATCTTTTTCTGGAATCTGCCTCTACTCTGACACCTACATTGCTATAGCAAGAAAAAAGCAACAATTATTAATTGTAACATTAGCCATACTTGCACAGAACACCCAAACTAAGACAAATCTGAATTTCTTCCCCAAGAAAGGTCCAAGCTTTTTAAACTCAGATGCTGTGGAAAGTGACAGACTTAGGAGACGGTAAGGGAGAGCGGGGGAATCAGTGAAAAAGATTTGCAGTTAACAGCATAAAGGAGGGACAATTTATGAAGCCTCAGAGCAATCAAACTATTCTTTTTCTGAGGCTCCAAAGGACCCTGCCTTTGGGTTCAGTGAAATACAAAAGTTTCTTGTAATAAATGCCTGTACCCCTTTTTTTGCTTATCTTCTATAGGATTCTAAAAATATAATTTAAAAAGATCTAAATGCAACTTGTTTAAATCCAGTCTGCAATGAAATTTTTTGTATCCTGATGTTTTTGTGGTTCTTGTTGTTTACATTTTCTGGCAGTACTGGGGTTTGAACTCAGAGCTTCCAGCTTGCTAGACAGGCACTCTACCACTTGAGCCATGCCTCCAGCCTTTCTGATGTTTTTTGAAAATAAAAAAATATACATTGAAATACACATACACACTCCTCTGCAGACTATGCTCATTTAGTCTCCCTTTTGACAGTCATCCAGTCGCACAAATCCAGTTGACAAGAAGGGTCACACAGGGATTTAGACCTGGTACTCTGACATTTTCCCACATATTAGGGCTCTGGGTAAAATCATCTTCTCTCTCATCAGGGGCTGTGAGTGCAGCTTAGTGGAAGAGTGCTTACTAACATGCATGATTCTCCAGCACCATATGCAGAAAAATCTCTTACTCATTTAACTATCACCTAGATTCAAACTTATAAATGATTCCTAAACATTTTCTCCTTGATTAGATTGCCATTTACTTTATATGACTTTTCATTAATACTCATACTAGCAAGAGCTGATAACAGGAGGTGTTACCATGGACAAGTATAGCTGTAAGGTGGAATCTTTGAAGAACAAAAGGAATTAGAGGAAAGAACTAAAACACTACTTATGTGAAGCAAAGCAAGACAGTATGGGAGTAAGACCTTCCAGAGATCCTCTCCTCAAAGGAATTTAATTTGAACAGCTAATGACCCATAAAACTACCTTCACAAGAGTGACAGAAACCAAGTGAGAGTTTATAACACCTGGTTTTAGCATCCTAATGAGAAAAGGTGCATGCAAGAAGGCAGGAAGAAGAGATTTACATGTGTCACCACTATTCCTCAGATCCCTCCAATTATAAGCAACACAGTATGGATAAAGATACCTCCTGGAATGAAATGGTGATGATGGTGGTACAATATAGTGAACATACTAAAAACAGTGAATGGTTCACTTATAAATGGTAAATTTTCTGGAATAAGCAATATATCTTATTAAAAATTTTTATAAAAATATGAAAATAAAAAATGAAAAACTTATCACCTACTTACAAGCGGAACACATTAAGTACATATATGCAAAGACTCAAAGACTCTGTAGTCCTAACTACTTGGGAAACTGAGGCAGGATTCTTTGAGCCCAAGAGTTCAAGGCAGCCTGGTAAACAGGAAGATCTTATCACCAAAAACAAAAATCAGGCCGGGTGTGGTGGTACAGACAGTAATCCTGGCTACTCAATTGTGGAAACGGTAATAGTTTAAAGCCAGCTGGTACAAAAGTTAGTGAGACTCTATCTCAAAAACATGGTAAGTACATGCCTATGGTCCCAGCTACTAAGGAGGAGACAGGAGGAACTCAGTCCAAGGCCAGCCCAGGGAAAGTTAGTGGGAGACCCTATCTGAAAAACAAACTAAAAGCAAAAGGGCTGAGTGCATGGGGCAAGCTCAAAGCCCTGAGTTCAATTCCTAGAGCCACAAAAAATACAGCAATTCCTAAATGTTTCTATACCTAACAACAGCACTTTAAAAGACATGCTGTAAAAACTAATAAAATTGCAAAGGGAAATAAATAAACCTACAATTGCACTTGAAGACTTCAATACCCCTTCTCAATAATTTACAGAAAATGAGTAAGGACTCAGACAACACTATCAGCCAACTTTACCTAAATGACATTGTGAAGATACTCGTAACAAGAGCTGAGTACATACTTTTTCCAACTAAATACAAATTATTTTCAAGTGCACAAAGAACATTTATAAAGGTGGACCATATTCTGAACTTTAAGACAAGTCTCAATAAATTTAGAAGAATTTATATCAGCTTTATCTTTTACATAAACCAGTAGTTCTTAGGTGCGGAATGAGAGGGTACTAAATTCCTAAAGGGAGACTTGGAACTATCTGGGAATTTGGTTATCACAATGAATGGCGGGCTCTCCTGGGGTCAGTCCAATATAGTAAGATGTCCTAATTCAAAATGCCAGTAACTGCCCCAGTCTCTCCACACTGTCTGTTAAAAAACCTTGTCCTAAACCAATTACAAATCCAGAAATTAGCTGAGTTACACGTGAAAAATCATTCTAGGTTGCAGTTGTCCAACTGCTATATTCCTACCTCCACATAAAACAGAAACATAATGTCAGAAAAAATTGAAAAGAAAATTTTTGACATGGGGTCTCAGTATGCAACCCAGGCCGCCCTTGAACTCAGTCCTCCTGCCTCTGCCTTCTGGATGCTGGGATTACGGCAATGTACTGCCATGCTCAGCTTGAAAAATATCTGTCAACTGCTTCTACTACTAGGAATAAAAATATGAGTAATTCATTAAACTATCATTTTTGTTTAAAAATAGGCATTCATAAAAGTAATCTATCAAACATACCAAGGAAGTTAGACTAAATGTCTAAGGAGTCAAAACTACCTTTTCATAAGATACTGTAAAAATAAATCTCTTCCCTACTTTAATATAGAGCACAGCTTAGTTGCTTTAACCAACTCACCTTATGAGCAGCAAAACTTGATTCATTTTTCTCCAGTGCTCTTTTTGCATATTCCAGGGCTTCATAAACCAAAAGCCTTTTCTCCTCTTCTGAAGTCCTATTAAGCTGAGCCACATCACGTGATGCCCGTGCCAGACGCCACAGTAACTCTGCATCTTCACTAATTTGAAATAAAACACAATAACCATTGTAGTTCAATATTTAAAAATCATTAAAAGTCATATCACTAATGAATGGTTTTACAGCTTGGTTAGGATACAATAATACGATATCAAAAGCCACGCTAAGTCTATTATTTTCTTTCATAAAAACCTTTGTGAACTAAATTTTCCTATTACAATATTCCATATTATTCATAAATATTACCTTACCTATATTTAAAATACTGCCTTCCTTAGAAGATATCCTTGTTATTTGACTAAACACTTGCCTTACAAAACTAAACACATAACATGACTTCTCTAATACTGTGCTTCACACAACTCACTAACTGGGTCAGACAGTATTATAAAACAGAATTTTATGAACAGAGTCATGCTCTAAAAAGACAAAACTACCAAAGCCTCAGCACCAAATACAACACTTGGCACATAACAAGTAAATAACAGGTATTTATTAATGAATGAATGATTAAAAAAATGTAATATGAAGAGCTGGTGGAGTGGCTCAAGTGGTAGGGCACCTGCCTTAGCAAGTTCAAGGCCTTGAGTTCAAACCCCAGTACCACAAAAAATGAAAAATAAAAAGGTAATCTCAAAATAAATCCTATGTTTGAATGTCATAATGCATGCTTATTTCAAATAAGGTCACTGAACTCCTTAAAGAACTGCCATTTAAATATAATTACACAAAAACCAATAAATGGTAAATATCTTTAAAAATCAATCTTGAATTGGTAGGTCTTTAAGCCTACTTTTTGTATTTCTTTTTTTCCAAACAAAAAATGGCAATCACATAAAATTTTGAAACTAAAGGTAGCAATGGTATTATTATTCAGTGAATATGGAGGAAGTAACAACCTTACGTTACTTTCCAAGTTACCACTAAAATGTTTACAAAATGCACAAACAGCCACCTCAACTTACTGAGGAAGGAATGAAGAAGGAAAGGTTGATTCTATAGATACCTATGAAATAAATGAGGATTTTTAGGGAGAAAACTGGCTCTTGAAATCTAACAAAGATAGTTGAAAAATGACTTGCTACTCCTACATTAGGAGCCCAGGAGTTATCTGGAACTGCCATTTAGCTTTATTTGACTTATTTATGGGGCTGAGTCTTCCTTTACCTCTGAACTCCAAAAGTGAGTACACACAGACATCCTAAACTAAATATGTAGTCTAGTACTAAAAAAAACAGAAACAAAGATATTTTTGGTTTCTCTGAAAAAAAACTATTTCTAAACCTACTTGTCATACAATGGTGTCATACAATCATCGCAAACCCCTGTGAATTCATTTAAATCTTGTATCAATAATGAATTACTTTCAAAAAGGAGTAAGAAATAATATATGTAGATAGGTGAGATAAGTATGTACTTACTGATACCTTGTATAGGCCAAAGCAAAATGAAAAAAATATTTCAACATTCCAATAGAATAAACAGACCTACCCGTTTGAAATCAATGAGATTTATGCAGCACTTTTGATTTGTTTAATGTAAGGAACAGTATATTATAAATTAAATTCCAAGTAATGTTATAATGAAGAAAAACTTCAATAATTACAAATTTTTTAAGCACAAAAATTTGAGGAAGCCTCAAACCCAGGCCTATCATACATTGCCTACCTTTCCTTGTATTGAGCTAGCAACTGATAAAGTTTTTCTGTTTCTCCACTTTCATAAAGGTAGTCTGCTTGTTCAAGGATTTCTCCAACTTCTAAGATTAAAAAAGAAAAAGAAAGACATAACAAAGTAGGTCTCCACAAGTAGATGCAATCAGTCTAAAAAATACATACTTTTACATAGAAGTTAAAGAAATCATATACAGAAACTACCTGTGAGGAAAGATCAGAAATTCTGACCAATCTAGATGAAGTATAATAGAAGCAAGTATGAAGCTATTAGAATGACTAACTGAAGGCTGGGAGCATGGCTCAAGTGGTAGAGAACTTGCCTACCATGCATGAGGCACTGGCTTTACTATCCATTACCTCAAAAAGAAAAAAAAAAAATGAAATGACTTACTGAAACCATGGAAATACAACTTCAAGAACTTTTGCTACTGACTAAATTTGATACATTTTGAAAAGTGAAAAAAGCAAATTTCCTGTGAGGAATTAATGGTACACACACCTCCATACAGTATTTTTGCTTACACTGCTAAGTACTACCCATTGTAGAAAAGGAAGATATAATGCATACACTTGCAACACTGACTTACTAATTTTCATAAGCTGAACCACACTATTTAGTTTACTATATTCTTTTATGACCTAATTTATAGACAATGTTATGGAAAAAAGTCCAAATCTGTCACAGAGAATCTGATACTTACTTCATTGGTATTGTGTTTAACCAACTTTTACAACTACTTTATACATAACTACAAAATATATAAACCTATTGACAGTATTATACCCTAAAAAACTAACTACTTACTTTCTAAGTCCACTTATTACTAAGGAACATACACATTTAATTTTGTCTTCTATAATTTGTCTTTGTATATTTGGCCCTACTAATAAGCTAAACATTTCAATGTGTTAAGTTTTATACTTTAACTTACCACAAGATTTTCCAAAAAATTAAAATCTAGATCAGCAAAAAGAAAAAACTGTGAGGCTTTTTGTTGTTGTTGTTGTACCAGGGCTTGAACTCGGGCCTACACCTTGAGCCACTTCACCAGCCCTTTTTGTGTTAGGTATTTTTGAGATAAGAGTCTTGCAAACTACTTGCCTGGGCAGGTTTCAGACAGAGATCCTCCTGATCTCTGCCTCCTGAGTAGCCAGGATTACAAGCATGAGCCACCGGCGCCTGGCTTGAAGTTCTTTTTACACAACTATGTAAGTGGAAGTGTATTTAAAGTTAACATCATTGTGACAATACCAAAGAAGCCCTAAAATTAAATATTTTCTTCAATAGTTCTACTTCAATCTGATCAGGTATAATTTAATATAAATATTCATATGGCTGGTTAATTTCTGAAGTATGCTTCCATTCTGTTCCTTTTTTTTTTAAATCTGATAACTGGCTGATTCTCAAAGATTCTTGGAATAAGTTGCAATCTCAGTTTCCCCACTTGATATTTGTGCTGGACAGAATGACCCCCAAAGATACCCAATCTTAATCCCTGGAATTTATGAATATGTCTGGTTATATAGCAATGGGGAACTGCAGTGGAATTAAGGTTGCTAATCAACTAATGTTAAACTAGGAAATTATTCTGGATTATCTGCGTTGGCCCAATAAAAGGGTACTTAAAAGGAGAAGAGGGATAAAAAGGATCTGAGGAGATAAAATAATACAAACAAAGTCAAAAGAGATTATTGGCTCTGAAGAAAGGAGGCCTCCAGCCAAGGAATGTACAAAGCTTCTAGGAGCTGAAAAAATTAAGGAAGAAGCTTCTCCCTTTGGTCCTCTGGAAAGGAACACATGGCCCTTCCCACATTTTGATTTAGCCTACTGAGCACTGTTCTGGACTTCTCATGTACAGACTGTACGATAATAAACTTGTCTTGTTTTAAGCCACTAAGTCTCACACAAAAACCTCTAACACAATACTAGATGAAATATATCAACCTGGCATATTTGAATGTGTACATGCATGTATAAGTAGCAAAGTTAATTTCATCCATTTATTATTTCTCCCTGAAGATTGATTACTGTACTTAAAAGGAATTCCACATTTCATCATCCACGTAATTAAAAAATAAAGAAATTCAGTGAATAATCTAACTCTTTTTATCTGTACCCTACTATAACATCTCAAATCACTTCTTTATCATACAGTACAGTACGATGAATTATCGTATTCAGGCTTAAAAACATATTTAAGTTTTTCTTGATTCCAAAAAGGAATTTCTAAAACCATACAATATACAATTTATAAGAAAAAAATATTTTTATAGCAGTACAGGCTCATATATAGGCACACAGGTGGAAGCATGTATAGCACTTCACATACATATCTGCAAATCAGTTATTTTCTTATTTAATGTTCTATAATTTCCTGAAAATATTTAAAAATAAGCTATGTTACTGTCACAGAGACCATATTCTATAAAATGATATACTTTTTTATCTTCTTTTTTTGTGGGGTCAGTACGGGGGTTTGAACTTGGGACCTCATACTTGCTAGGCAGGTCCCCTACCCCTTGAGACACACTACCAGCTAAAATAATACACTTTTAAAGTAAATTACTTTCACATTAATAAGCATATAAATAGCCTAAGATGAATTCAAATTAATTCACTTACAATTGTACAGTGAAATCTTAAGTTTAGCCTACACTGAATTATGCATAAGATCATAACAGTTCTGAAGAGTTTTTCCAAAAAAAGCTATGCCAATGGTGGACACTCTGCAGATATGTTAGTACACTTTGGTGTTCCAGGATTTCTTGTTAACTGTACTATAATGATATCAGTGTCTGGACCATAATGAAATACTCTTTAAGTACTTACTCTAGCAAGCAAAACTACCCTATTTCTGAGGTTTCTCTATATAAGGCTTCAAATGTAGAAAATCTGAGGATCTAGATTTAAGGACCTAAATAACAATAACATCATTCAAATTAAAGGGAAATTACACAAAATACTGTGTGTCTCAGCAATACTGGAAACAATGACACCAAAAATGCTCTGAAATACTACAAATGAATACATAAGCACTGCTAACAGTTCTGTATGTCAAGAGGAATTTTTTATGAAAACCAAACAGGATTAGTCCATACAAAAATGCTAATAAGCTATGGTATGCCACTGGTGGTAGCCCTGAAGGCACTGCTTCTGACCCAAGTCCTAAATATATACACAGACCGGGAAGTACACGAGAAAACGACGTGGGCTATAATAATGTTAGTTTCATTACATATATTCAAAAATAAATTAGTGGGCTGGTGGAATGGCTCAAGCAGTAAGTGCGCCTGCCTAGCAAGTGTGAGGCACTGAGTTCAAATCCTGGTACTGCAAAAGAATAAAAACAAGTATAAAAAAATTAGTAACAAAATATAAAAAAACAAAATAAAAACAGTAAGTCTTCTAGAAGTTTAGTTTAAGCTTACCTTTGGCTGCAGCATGAACCACAGCAGCCTGAGAAATGACTTGGTATGTTTCAAAACCCAAGTACGACAAGGCTGAGAATAAAAGGCCTCTTTCGAATGTTCTTGGCTTTCCTATCACCTACGGAAAACAGTATGATCAAAGTTACCAAGCTTAGAAAATTTAAAGAAACTGCTATCCTAAGCAAAGCATCAATTTTCTGCCACCCCAAATCAAGTAATAATAAAATACTGGAAGCTCAAAATTTACTTTGCTAAATTCTTCAGGAAAACTATTTCTTCCATCCAAGTACTAACCAGCCCCGACCCTGCTTAGCTTCCGAGATCAGACAAGATCTGGCATGTTCAGGGTGGTATGGCCATAGACAGGGAAAAGTATTTGTGACCTTCCTGGAGAGTACACTTGTTAAGAAAAGGACAGCACCTGGAAATGGCAGTACATCTGAAAGTCAGTCATGAGTTGTAGATGTAGCTCAGTGATGGAGCAGAGTGGTAAGCACTTACCACAAGGTGAGAAGCCAGAGGTTTGATCCCAGAACCACATAAATAAATAGCAATGCTAGTAAGTGCTGGACTAAAAGATCTACAGTTTATTTGGGGGAACGTGAACGTTGCAAATTGTATGATATAAAACATGAGTGACATAGCAAATACCCATCTCAGTAGTAGACAAGATGACAAATATCAAATATAGGAATTGTTGAACATAAAAATTGTACATGGATTCAAATAAAGGTATCTTCAAAAGCCACCAAAAAAACCCACAGTTTTTAAATAAATGATGAATAAAGTAAAGATTATATTCAAGCAGATCTGGAAATTAATTTTTGTAATTATGACTGGATCCTTGAGACCAATGGCAAAAAAAAGGAATATATGAATATCACTCCAACAGTTCTTCTTTTTTTACAATCTTTCTCCTTAACACAGTATCATTTTTCCTTTCTATCAATTCATTTCCATCAGCATATGAACAAATCATGCCATCTTTTCTGAAAAACACGATGGAATTTCTTTCTTTTTAAAAAACCTTGCCCTTGACTTCATATCTCCCTTCAGTCTCATTTCCCAACTCTTATTTTCAGCAAAACTCTTTTAAAAAGCTTACTGTACTCTATTTCTCTTCCCATTCTTTCTTAAACCCACACAAACCACACTTTCATCCCATCTGCACTGATGGCAATATTATACAGTATTTTTAGTGTGCCTTTGTTTTGACTGTGACTTGTTACATAAGAGGTGTGAAATTTTCCATTTATGGCACTCCAAAAGTTTTGGATTTTGAAGCATTTTTAATTTCAGTTTTCAGAATTAGAATGCGTAGTGGTGTATGCCTACAACCCCACCTACATAGGATGGGCTGATAGGAGGATTGCAGTCCAAAGTGTGAGACCTCCCTGAAAAATGAACTAAAGCAAAAAGGCTTGGGGTCGTGGCTCAAGAGGTAGAGCACTTGCCTAGCAAGCACAAGGCCCTGAGTTCAAACCTCAGTGCTGGGAAAAAAAATTAAGTAAGTTCACATTCACCCTGTATTTCCTGTGGCCAATTCTGAATTGTCAACTTACTTGACCTATTTGATAGCTGATCATTTCTTTTTACTAAAAGGAAAAAATGAATGAATGTTTAATTTTTAAGGCAGCTTTATTAAAATATAGTTTACATACTCCATAATTAGAGTGTACAATTTAAATATTTGTGTATCAATCAGGAAAACCATTATCATTACCACAATCAAGATAATAAACATCCATCAACCTGGAAGTTCTCCTCTTTGTAATGCTCTTTCCCCAACCACTTACTGTGCTGTGTTACTCTTGAAGCAGTCCACTTTGCTTTTGAAATACTGCTTTCTTGGATTTTGTCCTGTCTTTGAATGCTCCTTCTCTTTTGCAGTTCCAATGCCAATATGTGGGCCAGATCTCTTCTTTTCTCTATTTGTGATCTCATTTTATCTCATGGTTTCAAATACCATAAACCTTCCCAAAACATTTTTTGGCCTGATGTCTCCTCTACACTTCAGAATCATGTACTTCCTACTCAAATTTTGTCTCTATGTAAGAATCCATTAGGTATCTCAAAAACAGCTACTCTTTCCACCCAACCCACTCTCATGGTTTTCCCTATAATGGTAAATGAATGGCAGTCCAATTCTACCTGCTCAGTTTAAAAAACAAACAAAAACCTTTGGAGCCATTCTCAACTCTCTTACACCTACATCTAATCCACATTTGAACTTCTGATAAGTTTCTGGAGTAAGAAAGGGGACTCTAACACATTCCATTCTGCTGAATGCTTTCTTGAGCATGAATATTCAAGGTATTGCACTCAAATGTATTAAAAACAAATCAACAGCAAAGTTGTAAAACTAAATGTCATACATTTCTAGCATTAAATTTCCTAAGTTTATTTTTAATTACCAAGAAGATCAGCTAGAATAGGGGCAAAAGGTATAAATAGATATACAAATGTATGGTGGTGTTGTATAGAAAGAAGAAGAGAAAAAGACTCAAGATTTTATCAGTAAGTCTTTTAGTGTCCTATTGCTCTGGCGGAAATATCACACAGTAGAAAGGTTGTACATACCACCATCATTTGAGAAAACATGTTTAGAGTAATCAATTGTCTGTGCTGAAATGATGCACAACAAATATTCTGGCTTTCTTAAATGGGAGAAAAGGTACTACCCTTGAGTAGCTATTTATAATTCTTATTATAAATTCATGAACTTATTATAAATTCATGAACTGAGAGTTAACTAGTTTGCTCGTCTCTGAAAAAGCAGATAAAAACCATTTTCCTGGATTTCTTTTTAAAAAATCAGGCCGGGTGCCAGTGCTCATACCTGTAATCCCAGCTACGTGAGAAGCTGACAATGGAAGCATTACAGTTCGAGGCCAGTCTGGCAAATAGTTCATGAGACCCCCATCTCCAAAATACCCAGATCAAAATGGACTGGATATGTGGCTCAAGCAGTAGAGCACCTGCTTTACAAACATAAAGCCCTGAATTCAAAACCCAGTCCCACCAGAAAAAAAAAAAAATCAAAGAAAGACCTAGGATTCAGTAAATCCTCCAAGATGGTGGTAAATTCTGAGAACATCTTACAGTGGGCCAATTGCCTTGGTACCTCCAAGCCCAGCTCGATCAATGAGTGTCATATAGAGTTCTCAGCTCTCTTTTGTCTTTTTTTCTTTTTTGGTGCTGGCGTTTGAACTCAGGGCCTATACCTTGAACCATTCCACCAGCCCTTTTTTTTGTAAAGGGTTTTTTTCAAGATAGGGTCTTACAAACTATTTGCCTGGGCTGGCTTTGAACCACGATTCTCCTGACCCATGATTCTCCTGAGTAGCTAGGATTATAGGAGCAAGCCCCTGGTGTCTGGCTTAGATGCATCTTTTCTTCAATATTAATTGCACCAACTTTGGTGCCAGAAGGAATTCAAAAACACAAACTCATCACTAGATGTAAAGAAATATGTCACCACTCTCCTGCTTTTCCTCCCAAATTCTTACCAGTGTCTCCTCCCCTTGCATTTTAGAATTCCTCTTTAATAGGTATTAAGCCTTCTTCCCATCTTACTAATTAAAACTTGCAATCTCTACCATGGCGTAATTTACAATTATATTCTAAAAGGTACTGAATGGGGGGAGAGAGGGTGAAGGAGGAGGCAGGGGGGAGAAAATTAATAAATAAATAAAAAGTACTGAATCTATGTCTCTAGGCCACATATCAGAAGGTAAATTGCTAGACCTATCAAACTACTGCCTACCAATGTCAACTTGGCTCTCTGATCACTCACCTTAATTAGCCACAAAGAACTCACAACTTCTTTACCTCTCAAGTTTCTTTTCTGTAGTCCTACCCTGGTAAGTAGCACTTTAACCATTCTGCTCTCTATCCCGAAACCTAAGAATCTTCCTTGACGCTTTCCTTTTAACCTCCACTGAAGCTATCATTTAGATCCAATAATTATGCATCCTTCATATTCTTTGAATGTATTCACTTATCTCCATTTCTACAGAAGTTCAAACCTCATTTCTCACCTATTCTACAACAACGATCTCTTATCTTGTCTCTGGCATTCACTCTAGCCTTAGACAATTAGTTTTTAATGGAAATCTGATAAAAATTACTTCTCTGTTAAAAATGCTTTAATAACCTTTGGACTAAAATGAGAAGTACTAAACATGACTTTCAAGGCTTTTAGAATGTGTTAAAATAGGCAGGCCGTTATGATCCTGCCTTCTAATATTCACATCCTCATGTAACACAATCCCTCAAATACTTGGTGGATTTACTGACTCCTAAGAAATCAAACACAACCAAGATGTATATCATTTGCATTATTAGATTATAAAAGACTCCGGTGTTCTTTTGGAGCACTTGCCTGCCTTGAGGGAAGTCAGCTGCTGTGTCTTGTTGGCAGCAGCAGTCTAGTGGAGAAAAGATCTCCTGACAGCATGTGAGCGAGCTTGGAAGCAGAGCTTCCCCTCTTCTCTCAAAAGCTGAGCCTTCCAAAAAAATAAATAAATAATAAAGTTGAGCCTTAAAGCCCAGAATAGTGGTACATGCCTATAATTCCAGCACTTAGGAGACTGTGGCAGCAGAATTGAGAATTGAAGGCCAGCCTGGACTACACAGCAAATTCAAGGCCAGCCTGGGCCATATGGTGAGACCCCATCACCCCCCCCAAAAAAATTGAAGTCCAGCATAGTGTCTCAGGACTGTAACTATGCTATACAGGAGGCAGAGATTGGGAGTACTGACATTTAAGGCCAGCCTAGGTTAAAAAAAAAAAATTAGCGAGACCCCTATCTCAACAAACAAGCCAGGCATGATGGGCACACCTGTAATCTCAACTAGACAGAAAGCACTGGTAGCAGAATCGCTATCCTAAAATTCTCTGGACAAAAAAACTTGAGACTCTATAAGGAAAATAGCTAAAGCAAAAAGGGCTGGGGCATGGCTAAAGTGGTAGAGCGCATGCCCAACAAGGGCAAGGCCCTGAGTTCAAACTCCAGTACTAGCAGAAAAAAACAAACTAAAAAACTAGAAAAAGAGTTTAGCCTTCAAATGAGACCTCAGCAGTTGACAGCTCGTAAGAAACTTTCACCTAGAGGCACCCAGCTAACCAGCACCTGAATTCCTGACCAAGAGAACCAACGCGATAGTAAATACTTGCTGTTTGAAGCACCCAGTTAAAAGTACATTTTAAAGTTTCAACTAATGACACACATAGTTCACAAATTTACCAATGCCATCCCTACTCCCCTCTCAAGAACAACAGATGAGTCTAATGGAAATGCCAGAACTGAGACTTCAACCCAACATCTCGGCATCCTTTCTTAACATTACGCACACAAAGCAAGCAATTCAGAAACAATGACTTTAGCACACACCCAAACAGTACAAAACCTGCGTCTCCTACTCGTGGGAATGTTCATTTAACGGTTGTTAGACTAAGCCTGAGGTCCGGGAACCAAATCTGGCATTGCTCCAGGGACAATGACCGCAGGGCGGTCAAAGTTCGTGCCCCTTGCGAAGTCCGTGTTTTCACTGAGAAGGGTGGGCAGGAGACAGCTTCCCGGGGAGTTGTCCCCAGTGTTCACAGAGGCTTGCCAATGGGACAGGACAGTCTGATCCTGAACTCCTTCCCTGGTCCGCAATGCGACAGGTGGGGAACGGGCGCTAGCGAGCACGGGTTACCTCGGAGCCACGAAATGGCAGTGGGCCGCACCGCACACAGCTTCCAGTCGACCTTGTCGGGAACCGAAGGCCCTGGGTGACTCCATGTCTCCACGGGAGAAAGCGCCACAGTCGCGGGGCCAACGCCATGACCTACAAACTCCAGACCTGACCCTTCACTGAGGGCACGACGGAACCCGGCCGGACGAAAAGCATCTGGGTCTTTCACAGGAGAAATGCATCCACCCACTTCCGGGCCGAGGCTTCCCACTCCCGTCAGTTTCCGGTCCTCCAGGTCTGGGGACCGGAAATACCCTGATGGGGTGGGACTGCTTGAAGATATCGCGCATGCGCACGGCAGCTGAGGAGATACTTGGGATTTGCTCTGGCCGCTATGCTATTTCTGCCTCGGGAGTCTTGGTTCCTTCACGTATTTGGCAAAAGGACAGCTCTGAAGTAGACCCAGGAATATACGAATGGAAGAAAAAGATGATTTGTTATCCATAGTTCTCTGCTAACTTAAACTAGGGTGAATCTTGGCACTAAGGAGTCCTTTTTGGAAATGAATAGCAGAATTAAATTGCCCCACATCACGAAAGGAAAGAAAGAGATTGAAAGCCTGGATTCAAGAGGGGGGAAAAGAGAAACAAAGAAGACAAAGTGCAAACTGGGCTTTAGTAAGAAAGACCAGGGAAAGGAGGGCTCTTCAAAAGAGGTTGATGCCAGGTTGAGGTCATGGTCTGTCTCGCGTGCGTTGCCTTGGGTTGCATTGTCCGCACTGCCGGACAAAAGTGAACTGCCACTGTACTATGTTGCAGGGTGAATAATTTAAAATCTATGGTTTCCCCTCAAAAACATCTCTCATCATAGTGGAATTCTTTTGAAGGGAAGGAAGAGATTTTGAGCCCTACCTTAAGGATGAAGTAGATGAAAACATGGACTGCAAATAGAATGCCTACTATATGGACTACATGAAAAAAAAAAAAAAGGGCTATAAAGGGAAGCAGTCATGGTTTAAAACAAAGTTAGGTTGTATTTATATGGTACCTTTAACACAGTGAGATAACAAATTTACTTCATTTGATTTTTCCAACTACTATGTGAAGTGACTGGTATCCCAGGTTTATACATGAGAGGCCTGTAGTCAAAAAAATTATTAACAAAATCATAATTTATCAGCTATACAGAGTTGTAGATTTTTTAGAAGACTGAATTCCATATCTTATGGAAAAGAATGTAGTTCTCTTTCTGTTGAATGCTGTTTCCACCACTTCAGCCATACTTTTTTAGGATTACATTAGTGATATTCCTATTTGTGGCTGTTGATGACCATGCTGTTTTCTTTTTTGTTTTGTATTTTTTTGTTGGCTTTGAGGGGGAATGGTCTTGATTTTTTTGATGAGTCTCCTTATGTGGCCTAGGCTGGCCTCAACTTTTGATCCTTCTACCTCCATCTCCCAAGTACTGGGATTATATGCATGAACCATGTCCAACCTCCTATTTGCTTTCTTTCTGAAATATATTGTTTTAAAAAATATGTAGATCTCCTTCCTAACTTCTTTTGAACCCAAAAAAGACCACTTTCATCTTATTTTACATATTTCTGCTAGTGGATACTCCATTAATGCTAAATAATATGTTTACTAACCACTGGATGCTGTGAAAATCCTGCAATCCCATTTCTTATATTTTAGCTAGAGTGAATTTTTTGTGTGTATGGTGGTACTGACCTTAAACCCAGTACCTTGCACTGCCACTGAGCTAAATCCAAAGCCCCCACAAATAATTTGTGGTATAGCACATTTCATGATACATACTTATACTAAAAAAATTATTTGTTGTTTATCTGAAATTCAGATTTAGCTGGACATTCTGTATTTGTCTGGCAAACTTACTTGGTTCACCATACTTGAGAGTCACTGTTTACAATGTCCTTCATCTTGGGTGTTTTGGTTATTTCCTTATGCTTCAACTCAGATCATGCATTCTTGGCAGGACATTATGTGACATATCCTTTCATGGCTTCACATAATAAGGCTTCTGATGTAATTTTGCTTCGTGATTGGAAAAATGAGATTTAAAAAAAAGTTTTTTGCTTGTGATTGGACCCAGGGCCTTGTGCATGCTAAGAAGGTGCTTTACTACTTGATCCATCAACCCCAACCTGAAATGGGATCTGTTTAAATGGGAGATTAAAAGAGTTGGTGGTATTGCTCAATGATAGAGTTTCTACCTAGCATATTTTAGGCCCTGGGCTTGATCCCCAGAACCGAATGAAAAAGAAGTAGATTACAGACAGCCTTTTGTTCCCCTCCTTTAAATCCATTCCTGCTATGTTATTGTAGCTTTCAAAGTCTGTACCATGTGCTGTCTTGCCCCTGTCTCATTAACCTCATGTTCTCTCTTTCTCCCCTTTTCTCTCCCACTCTCTCTGCCCTTCTCCCTCCCTCTCTCTCTGCCCTTCTCCCTCCTTCTCTCTCCCACTCTCTCCTCTCTCTGTGGGTTTCAGCCACACTATTTTATCTTTCCTCCCATGATCCTCATGTCTCGCTACATGGTATTGTCTATATCGGGAAACCTTCCATTCCAAAGCCTGAAAACTTCTTCCTCCCCTACCTGACTCAACTATTCCTTACTAACTAATTTCTATTTTTGTTTTAACTTTCAGCTTAAATGTCACTTTCTCAGAGAAATTTCTCTTGATTCCTCCTAATATACTTTCATTTCCTTTATGAGAGTAAGCATATTTTATAACTTCATTTTTACTTTTGTAATTACTTATTATGCTGGTATAACTTTGAAGGCATGGTTAATAAGGATTGGTAAGATTTGCCTTCATTATTCTGTATCTCAATGACTATGTCTGACTTTGTGCTTATAATAGGGCCTAACACAGTTTCTCCATTCATTCAACAATTATTTATTATGTATCTGTAATATGCCTGTTATTCTTCTAGATTTAGTGAACAGGACAATTCTTAGTGGAATGTATATTCTAGTTGGGGAAAGATAGTCAGCAAACAAGATAAATAACAAAGATGTAATATGTTAAGTGATGATAAATGCTAACAATGAAGATAAAGTAAGAAAGGATATAAAGTATATTTCTGTGTAGGCATTGCAATTTTATTTTTTCTTTTTTGCAGTGGTGGAGATTGATCCTAGGAATTATGCATGCTACGGAAGTGTTCTACCATTGAGTGACACCTCCAGCCAAGGTCAGAGAGGAGAACTTTTGAATAAAGATCCCAAGATGTTAGCCATGAGGCTATTGAGAGGCAGAGTATTTCATGTTGAGGAAGAGGAAAGTTTGAAGGTCTGTTCTGGAAAGGCCAAGGACATTTTCCATGAACAGTAAGTGTACTATAGATGGATGAGTGAGCAAACAGGAGATAGTAAATAAGATCAAAGATGAGATGGGCAAGAAGTAGTGCAGGACAGTATTTTCATTGTGTGATTATAGACATGATCTAATTTACATTTTGATTGGATTCTTCTGACTGTTTTGAGAGTAGACTAAAGGGGAGCAAGTAGTAGACCAGATGGAGATGGGCTGCTACAGTAGAGTCAAAGATGACTTGAGAATACAGATGAAGGGCTGGTGGAGTGACTCTAGTAGTGGAGCTTGTGCCTAGCAAGCATAAGGCCCTGAGTTCAAACCCTAGTACTGCGGCCCCCCCGCTCCCCGGAAAAAGAATATAAATGAAATTCAGCTGGGCGCTGGTGGCTCACACCTGTAACCCTAGCTACTTGGGAGGCTGAGGTCAGATCAGGAGGATCGTGATTCAAGGCCAGCCTCGGCAAATAATTTGCAAGACCCCCATCTCTAAAATAACCAGAGCAAAATGGATTGGAGGTTTGGCTCAAGAGGTAGAGTGCCTGCTTTGAAAGCTCAAGGTCCTGAGTTCAAGCCCCAACCTACCCAAAAGAAAAAAAGTGCATAGATGAAATTCAAAGCTATGAGACTTAATTAGGTAACTAAATATGGAAGTAAAGATAGAAAAAATAAATGGTCTAAAAAAAGCCCTTTACATTTCTGTATTTAAAAACTTGGCAATTGAGCTTGGTTGTATACACCTGTAATCCTAACACTTGGGAGGTGAAGGCAGGAGGACCATGAGTTTGGGGTCAGCATAGGCTACATAGTCAGACACAAACAAACACACAAACCTGAGAACATAGGATCTAAAAGCAAAGGAGATAAGAGGAACAGCTCATGAGGTAGAACATCTAGGCAACTATTTTGTAAGTACTCATTCATTTGAACCTGCATTCAATTCTCCACCAGATATTAAGTCTAGACCCCAATATGCCTGGTATATAACATGCATTATGCCTGGTATATAACATGCATTATGCCTGGTATATAACATGCATTCAACACTTGTTGAATTATTAGGTGAATGAATAAAAACAAAAGTAAAATGGAGTTTAGACTCTGAGGAGAACGAGTAAGTTCATTGAATAGCTATAGCATTATGTGTTCAAAGACATAATGCCAAAGATAAATTGCCTTTTTGGCTAAATGCATAAACCATCCCCTTGTGTGTACTTTCTCCCTACAAAAATTGAAGGTTAAGTATGGATACTATGTTTTCTAGAAATTTTGGAACTTTACAATCAAATTATATTTAAATGAATAACTATAGTTTCATTTAAATATAAAACAATAAAAATAAAAGCAACAATCTTTGGTATAAATAAATAAATAAATATAGGTCTCCTCTCACATCTTCCCTCTAGCCACAAAGGCATTTTCTCTGCTTGCAATTTGTTGACTTTGTTCCTGCCTTTGTCCCCTCTATCATTCCTGTGCCCCCAGATCTTTGCATGACTGGTTTCTTATTTTTTAAGTCTCAAGTCAAGTAACACGACCTCAAAGAGGCTTTCCTGGTCCCCAGTCTAAGTAAGTTCCCATTATTTTTCTCAGATCCCACTGTATCATAGCACCTTGCAATCCTTTTCTTGTGACACTTTTTGCTGCTTGAGATCTCTTTTATTTTTAATAATTTACTTATTACTTGTTCCTCTTCTAGGATAGAAGCTCCTATTGCTTGCTCACTGATTTAATGTAATTCTCAAATAATGCTAGGCACACAGTTGGAGTTAGGTAGGTTTGTGGTAATAAATGAGTGAATCATAACTTGCACTGAGGATTTTTAAAATGTTTAGATGGTACTTTTTGGATCAATAGTAAAGTTTTTACTCAGGAATATCTACATTTCTTCACTTGTTTCATTTTCCATTTCTTATATAGTTTTTGCCTATTTCTATTGGATGTTTTTTTTTTCTCTTTCCTCAATTTAAACAAACTATTTGTCGGGTTTTGTGACAAGTAGTTTCTAATGTGTCTGCTTATTGATTTTGCTCCTGTTTCTTGGTCAGAAATTCTAAATTTTCAAGCAACCATTTGCTTAGTTGAGTAACAGCACTAAGTAGCAGTCAATCCTTTTCTTCCTTTCTTTCTCAAGGGATGCATTTTGAGGTTAGTTTACTTAGTAGGATTTGTGACTTAGGCAAACAGTCCAACTACTTAGCTACTAAATCTTCTGTTACTGAATCATAGCTTTCTCATTTATGAAAAGGTATAATGGCACTAAATATGACACAAAGTTGTTGCAAAGATTCAATGAAAATTAAGGATGTAAAATGATCCTGCAAGTGCACACATTGAAATCTTTCTAAAAGAGTATGGTTAAGAGCAGGTATTTCACTATTTTCATGTTGAGTTTTTCTCCATTCAGATATATAAATGTTCTCAAATATTTTAATTTTTTTTCTTCAGGAATTTATTTGGTGAAGCAAGCAATTTATTTTCATGCCTTAAAGACTACAGTAGTCTTAAAATGTCAGCCTGTACTGGAGGTGAGTCTCAATCGGTAGAGCGCCTGCTTTGCAAGCGCAACGCCCTGAATTCAATCCCCAGATCCACTAAAAAAAAAAGTAAGGTTCATTAAAACGTCGTTAAGTACGGAGGATGAAGAGCTGTGCGGGCTGCGAATGGGTAGAGCGCTCCTTAGCCTTGCCCCAGAGCCCCGGCCCCGCCCCCGCCCGGGCCCCGCCCCCGCTCGGGCCCCGCCCCTAGAGCTCCATGCCCCAGGCCACGCCTCCGCCTCAGGGCCCCGCCTCCAGAGGGCCCCGCCCCCGCCGTGCTGCCGGTCCAGCCCCAGGTTCCTGCAAACTCCCGGAGGCCCAGGCAACCTTGCGGACGCTATCTGCCTGGTCCTTATCCTCGCGGACTTCCAGTCACAAGACCCGCACGTGAGTATGGCCCTCTCCCTGCTTTGGGTACCGTGTGGCAGGGCCCTCGCACCCCACCAGCTTCGCGGGGGAGGAGGACAGTCCTGTTGGGGAGAATCCGGGCCCGCAGGCTCCGCGGCTGTGGACCCGTCTGTCCCGGAGTGAAAGTGCACCCTGGGCTTCGTGGGACCAGGGATGGGCCGGGTGCTCTGGGGACGATGTCGGCGGCCTATCAGGCCGGGGTCGGCTAGCGTCTATAGGAGGATCCGGGCTCGGGGCGAAGCCCTGGGCCGCGAGCGCGTCCTGGGCCTGGAGCTAGAGTACCTGGACCTCGGTACCCAGAATCCCCCTAAAAAAGGGAGGGTGCATCCTGTGACTCAAAGGAGGGTGACATGCCCCGAAATCCCCGTGCCACCTAGGAGGGGGGAGAGGGATGGGGTCACTGCACCACGCTCCTGGAGAACCAGATGAACCGGGCGTGCTTCAGAGCAGCAGAGGAAAGCCTGCCAGGTGAGATGGGAAAAGGTTGACTACTGATTTCGGATAAAGCAAGGACTTTGTGAGAAGGAGTATGCGAGCAGCCCCTGTATCTGTTCCAGCTTCCAAAGCCTGTCGAGTGATTTGGACTCACTACAAATGGGGCGTGGAGGAAGTACCGTTATATTTATTTATTTGAGTGAGCAAAGTGGCCATTAGCATTGCGCCTGATGCACTTGATAATCATCTATACTTTTGCTTCTCTTGACTATTTTCGTGGCTGCCTCTATAATGGATGATCAAATAGAGGAAAATGTGGGGTTAAATAAACCAATTACTGATTACAGTGTCCCAGAGCTACTGTGCTAGTCAGGTTTTTTTTTTTTTTTTTTTTTTTTTGGGTGGGACTCAAGGTTTCACACTTGGAAAGCAGGCGCTCTGTTGCTTGAGCCACACCTCCAGTCCTTTTTGCTCCATATTTTTTTTTTTTTTTTTTTTTGGCACTGTGGCTTTAACTCAGGGCCTACACCTTCAGCCACTCAACCAGCTCTTTTTTGTGATGGGTTTTTTTGTTGTTTGTGTTTGTTTTTTCAAAATAGGGTCTCACGACAGGAACTATTTGTCTGGACTGGCTCTGAACCATAATCCTCCTGATCTTTGTCTCCTGAGTAGCTAGAATCACAGGCATGTGCTTGGCCTTTTTTTTTTTTTTTTTTGCAGCACTGGGGATTGAACTCAGAGCCTCAGTCTTACTAGGAAGGTGCTATATGTATGTACGTATGTATGTATACACACACACACACACACACACATTTGCATTCATCCTGCTGTTGTCATTAATTGGGGTCAGCAAACTACAGCTCCAAGTGCTGCTAGCAACACCCAAACCAAATGTGTACAGGCCCTAGAACATAGAAGGAAACAGCAAAGGGTAGGAAAGAAGGGAATTGAGAACAGATGGCATATGTGATGGCAATTTCTATGGTACTCAGGGCATTTTTTTGCCTTTGTGAAAAATTTTAAAAAGACAGTTCCTTTTGACTGGTGAATTGAAAAATGCATCCCACTCTGGACTGAAAAATTTCAGAGTCCAGTCTCCAGGGACTGGACCAGTCTGAGGCTCTCTGGATGTGAGGTAGAATTGAATGTCTGGTCCTTACAGATTGAAAGATCCCTGGCACAAATCCCACAATTCTCTTTCAGAATTTCTTCTCTCTGGTCTAACCCTAGAAGAAAAGGAGGTTCCAGGATAGGAGAAACAAAAGGATTCTCTGCTTCTTCGTGTATCTTAATGATACCTCTCCTACTTTTACCTGTAACTGTAAATATTTTATAAACAATAGTCTTCTTTCCACAAAAACTTAAGACAATCTAACAGTTACATATTTTATTAGGCTCGATGCAGCTTAGTGTCAAAGTGCTTGCATAGCATGTAGGAGGCCCCAGGTTTGTTCTGCTAAACAAACATAAATAAAATATCTTATCAATACTGTTTTCAATGCTATCTTTACTGCCCTGAATACTTATTTCCTTATAGCACCCAGTTCATACTATATAGACTATTCATACTATTAATTCTTGGTGTAGGTTTTCAGTTCAGCTTTTGTTTGTTTGTTTGGAGTAGGATTTTGCTGTCTATCCAGGCCAACCTTGAACTTGTGATCTTACTGTCTCTACCTCCCAAATGCTGGCATTACAGGTGGACACCACTAAAGACCAGCAATAATTTTTTTGTTTTTGAGAGGGTTGCTGAGGATTGAACTCATGCACACTAGGCAAATGCTCTGCCACTGAGTTACATCCCCAACCCTTGGTATAGTTTTATATGTAGTTTTATGGCTATTTTTCTTTTTTGTTGCTCTCACTAGGCTTTTTTCTACAGTCATCAAGAGTTTTCTTTTTTTCTTTTCAAAACTTTCTTTCGTTGATGATTTATTATGCTAGAAAGTATGCCTGTCAGCAAAACTAAGAAAGATAATGTTGGATGAGAAAAATGATTTGAGACATTTGACCTTTAAATATTTATAATGAGCCACCACTACTGCTCATCAGAGCATATCTGAGGTGGATCTTTAGGAAGAATCAATGCCATGTCCATTGATGGTACTCAGCAGGTTTGAGGAGTCCAGAATGGGCATTCCTATCACATACCCTGCATTACCTTCACCTTACTTACAGTCTAGCTCCTTTCCCACCACTGTTTTTCCTTCATGTTCTTATTGATCTTGTAAGGATTGCTGGCTAGCTTTAAATCCAAATAAATTAGGCTATTTAATGGAAGATTTGATAAAAGGTTGGGCAGGAAGGTTAAATTTCCATCTACGTAGAATTTTTTTAAAAATATTATTCAGGTTTCTAATGGTGATAATCAAAAGCAGTTATTAGGTATTCATTTTTATAAGATTCTGATAACTATATTTAAGCAAATTATTCTTGTTTAAATGTATTTGAAAGCTGTTGGGAGTGGGCTTGTATGGATTCATTTGGAGAGGCTGTTTTTTCTTTTTATATGTAATAGCTTACCAAAAAATACAGTAGTAAGTTTTAAAAGACATGAAAAATCAGTGTAAATGGCCACATTTACCAATATGTACTGGGTGGATAATATATTAGTACAATTTCTTCATGAAAAATAAAGGAAATGTTAACACAGTCATTTTAGTAAATCATTTTGAAATGTCCTCTTACCAAATAGATAGATTGCATCTAGTTCTGCTGCTTACCAAAGCAGTAGAGGTGTGGTTGTAATACACAGTGCCATCAGGCTTCTTCTGTATTTTGAAGCTTTTAGTTTACTATAGTTCTAGACGTTAAGGTGATAATCAGTGCATGTTAATGTCTATCTACAAACAGAGAGAGGAACTTGTCTTTGCAAGGGATCAGAAATTCTTAAAAAGAAGTGGAAAGGAAAACAAATGTTTCCTGATGGTTGTGGCAAAAGAAGTTTATAAAGTATCTAAAGTTGTACCCCACCTTCAATACTTCTTGCTCCCCTTTCCTGCTTTATTTGTCTCCTTAGCCCTTCCCACCACTTAGCATTCTATGCTTTACTTATTTACCTCCACTGTTATCTGTTTCCCTATAGTGTAACCTCATGAGGGCAGGGATGTTTATCTGATTTGTTCATTGTTGATTCCCCAGTGTCTTAGACTAGTGCCCCCAGCCCATAGGAGGTGACCATAAATATTGGTTGAATGAATTGATTTAGTGCTATTAAACTACTCATGATTGGGAATCAAAGGAATTTGCCAGAAAGTTGAAAACAGCTGAAATGTATATGTTCAGCAAACATGAAATCAGAAAATTTCTAAATATCTCGAGTCTTTAGTCAATATACAAAGTATAATTTGTTGTTATTTTATTACTTATTTATTTATTAGTGCTGAGCACTAATAACTACTGAACTATACTGTCAACCTGACAAACTTTTAAACTTTGAGAATGAAACTAGTTGTTGCAGCTTTAAACCAAAGAAATTTTTATATCATTTTTTACCATGAATTAGAGAGGAGCAGATTATGACAGAATGTGAACAGCCTGTCTTATTATACATGTTCAGCTAAAAAGAGAAGAAAGGAATCCAAGTTTTAGAAAGCATACTGGAGAACATCATCTTAAGTGAAGTTAGTCAGCTCAGAAGGCCAAAAATCGTATGTTCTCCCTCATATGCAGACTTTAGACCTAAAACAAATGCAGTAATATTATTAGACATGGATCACAGGCTAAGGGGAGAGCATATACATGAGTAATAGGGAAAGGTAGGAAACCCAGCACTTGAAAGTGTTTTTGTCCACTGTAGAGGAGTTAATATAGTACCTTAAATGACAGAGGTCACTATGGGAAGGTGACCAGGAAGTAGTGAAGAGGTCTGGTAGAGATGAATTAATTCAGGTTGTAATACACTTGTGCATGGAAGCAATGCTAGGAATCTCTCTGTATAGCTATCCTTATGTCAAACTAGCAAAAACACTGTCTTTCTTATTATTGCTTATGTCTTCTCTTCAACAAAATTGGAGAAGAGGTTAGAACAGGTTCTGTCTGGAAAAGAGGGGGATGGGGGGGAGAGGGAAGGGGTGGGGCTTGGAGGGTGGGGAGAAATGTCCCAAACAATGTATGTACATAGGAATGAATAAAAAAAAAAAAGCACGCTTTCAGCGTCAGTGCATACTAGAATTGGGGGCAGATGAGAAGTTCTGAAGTCTGGTTAAACATCTTGGAGATTTTAGTTCTTAAAGTGTTTTTAAGCAGTATGAGAACCCCAAAGGATGTCAGCCTCAGCAAATAGATGTGCCAGGTAGCAGCTTCCAACTGAGCACCCTAGGGTTTTCAGCTATGGGATGCAATTCTGATTGTTATTGAGGATAAAAGATGATTCACTTTGTAAGTATGTATTTTATAGCCAAATTTGTCAAGCTGCTTATTTCATAAGGTGAGACTGTACTGAGGGGTTGTCATTGCTTAACTTTTAACACCGCACTAAGTGATCCTATGAAGAACTATTCCTTTGATAGGCTTGAAAATATAATCAGTGACATTTCTAACATGTATATACAGTAGCCAAGGAATTACAAAAGTAGTATAATCTAAAAATCATATTAAGTAAACTTTACTATGAATCATGGAGTAGAATAACACATCTTCAGGATTCTCTGGAGAAATTAAGGAAGGAGCCTTGATTTGTTGCTCACTTTGTAACAATAATGACAAGGTAAAACTGTACATACCTTTTGCTTTTAAAGTAAGAATGATCCAGTGTCAATGCTTTTGTATTAACCCTTTTTTCCCCAGTTGTATATATCTAAGTATCAGCAGTATTATCACTATTTAGATTTTACTCATGATAGTTCAAAGATCTAGAGACTTTTTTTTGTTGGGAGGGCGTGGAGGGAGGCGCAAAGGGTTGAACCCAGGACCTTGTGCATGCTAAGCACATTTTCTGTTAGTAAGCTTTATCTCTAGCCCTTGAAAATACTTTTTTTTAAATGAAGTCCAAAATCTGATTCTTTTTACTGTTATGATATGTGTTGAGAAGTTAATAATGTGAGATTCCTTGGATAATAGTAAAACTCACTTCCTCATTGTGCTGCATCTACTTCATAGATTGGGCCCTGTCTTTTGTTTGTTGAAGTATTTTTTTCACCTTCTCTGAGAACTTAATCACAGTTTCAAGCAAAGTTACCTAAGTAGTGGAAAGTATCTAGATACATATTTTTTCCTATAGAGCTTTTTTAGTAGTGGGAGATAGAGGATGAGTTTGGAAAACTTCATCTTTCTCCTTTCATTTCCAAATTGTATATTACCACTTCCTAAACAAGCTCCATATTCACTGTAATTAAATTAGAGTAGTAGAATATTAACTGGAAGAGACTTTAGGAGTTACCTAAAGGGATTGACTCAACTCTTAGATTTAATAGTTAGAAAAACAAACAAGTCCTGGAGAAGTTACAGTGCTTGCCCAATGCCCACCATCACCATATGTCTGACACAGCATCCAGCATCCATTGATTCTTCATGTTTGTCTCTTTTTCGTATTAAATAAACATGTCATTTTTTTTCTGTTTCATGTGCTTTTATGACTCACCTAATTCTCCATACTCATTTCTAGTGTCTTATGGCTAGGATTAAAAACAACAGGAAACAAACAAACAAAAACTCTAAGCATCAGGTTTTTCTTACTAAACACAAGTTCAGTTTAAATTCATTTAATGTAAGACTTTTATTCTCAAAGTCTGGGTATTTATTTATTTATTCTGATGCTGGGATTAAATCCAGGACCTGAAGCATGCACTCTACCACTGAGCTACAAATCCAGCCAAACTCTGGTTACTAGTGCAGTATATATTCCTGTTATGGTTTGGATCGTCAGTGTCCCCCAGGGGTGTGTTGAAGGCCTGGTCCCAAATGCAGCATTGTTCAGAGGGCCTTTGGAGGGAATTAGATCATGAGGGCCCCACATCATAATGGATTCATCCATTTTTTGGATTCATTACTTAATGGGGCTTTGTTATAAAAGCAAACTCTGTCTTTGCTGCCTGGCCACCATGAGGTGTGCACCTTTTTTCCTCTATGTGTTTCCACCATGATGGACTAACTTATCATACATAAGAAAGCTACTAGGCCAATGCACCGAAACCTCTGAAACCATAAGCTAAAATACACCTTTCCTCTTTTAAGATGACTTTCTCAAATATTTGTTACAGTGATGGAAAGCTGACTAACAGTTTCTGAGAATAAATTTTGCTGCTATAAGATGGTCTAGCTGTACAGGCATGGTAGATCTGTAAGTGTGGAGACATCTAGCAAGAAAGTGTTTCTTTAGCCTTGAAAACCTACGGGCTAATTGGCTGTCTTGAAGAGGAACTGCTCTTATATAAATATATACCATTCCAGTTCTTCCATGCCTTTGGAAAACTACTATTATTCTGATTACATTTATTTAAGAAAGATATTAATAATTATAGCTTAAATATTAACATTTATGTCTGTTACATTTGATAGACTATTAAACAATAAGGGAATCAATTAAATAATGTTGCTGTTGTAATAAGTAAACATTAATTAGAGGCTTTAATGCCCTGAAAACATTTTGGCATTAATGGGGAAAAAAAATCTGGGTTCTAGCTTTGGTGCTACATCTTATTTATTTATTTATATTTATTTTTGGTAGGACTGGGGCTTGGACTAATAAAGCAGGTGCTCTACTGTTTGACCCTGCCTTCCAGTCCATTTTGCTCTGGTTATTTTGGAGATAGGGTCTCAGAAACTGTTTGCCTAGGCTGGCCTCAAACCATGATCTTCCTGATCTCAGTCTCCTAGGTAGCTAGGATTATAGGCATGAGCCACTGTTGCCCAGCAGGTGCAGTGTTTAAACTTGGCCTATCCTTGAGCCACTTCGCCAGCCCTTTTTCGTGATGGGTTTTTTCAAGATAGGGTCATGTGAACTGTTTGCCCAGGCTGGTTTTGAACCATGATCCTCTTGATCTCATTCTTCTAGGTAACTAGGATTACAGGTGTGAGCCACTGTTGCCCAGCAGTGCTGCCTTTTATTAGCTTGCTGACCTTAGGTAAGTAATTTAACCTTTTTGAAGAAACTTGTTTTTTTCCCTAAAAGACACTATGTGTTGTTTTGAAATTTAACAATGTGCTGAAAATTAGCATATTCTAGGGTAACCAGTTCAGATGTTTGAATGTTTAAAACATTATTCTCGTAACAATGACCTAAGAGGAATACTCATTCTGCCCAATTTACAAGATTTTCATAAGGGTCAGAGAAAATACATTATTTAAAAGCACTTTGAGAATTGTAGAAAATAACTATCCAGATGAATGAAATTACTCACTCTCTTTCCTTTCCCCCTTTCACTGCTCACCCCCCCAGTCTTAAGTTTAAGGGTTAAAAAAATCCAAAGGTCAGTTACAACATAAAATAAATTCTTTCATAAGTAGAAGATAGTGGAGGGCACTTTGATTGCTTTCTGTCTGTACCACCCAGTTTTAATTTAGCATTTACATAGATAGCTAGGCATTTGTTTTGCTTTGTGGATGATCCTCCTATTCTGAGACTATTCCAAAATTTTGTACACTTCTCCTTGCATATCTATTGCCAGTGTAGGTTCGGTGTAAGCAATTCATTCTTCCCCCCTGACCCCCACATTTAGAACACTTAGAAGTTGTTCAGTAAATAATTGTTGAATCAGTGGATCTCCCCAACAAGATTACAGTGAGCTGCAAGGTCTTCCATTGCTTTATCTTCTCACCACTTCCATTAGCATAATAATGAGCACTCAATAACCTCTTATACTGGGACCTAACACTTTTATACTGGGACCTCCAAATAGTGTAGTAGCTCTTGGATTTATGACCATACCACCCTTCCTCCACTTTTTTGGAGGGGATACATTCTACTGTTTTGAGCAATACCATTTAAGAAACACTGTGTAGGATGTTTACTGCTGCTGATGTTGCTGGACCTCTTTCCAGCTGCCTCAGGGTAACCCTTGCTTGCTTTCGGCAGTCTTCATGCAGGGTGCACCGTGAAATAATAGTGAATCATGATATTGGAACTGGAACAAACCTCTGGAGTTATTTTAGGCTAGTGTTGAATCAAAATACTTAAAAAAAAAAAACCAGTATCTTGTTATGTATATCAGCCTGCCTCAAACTCAGGATCCTTCTGGTTCAGCCTTCTGAATGTTGGCATTGCAGGTGTGTACTGTTAGGAAAAACACCACTCACAAAGAAAGCTCATGAGAAAATTTCATGTCCAACAGCAAAATTTAATGGCAGGCTTGAACCGCCAGACTGGCCGGTGAAAGATGGCGCAGCACAGACTCTGGGCCAGGTGTGGCTTTTATAGAAGGGGGAGGTTAAGGAAGTTAGCACATGTGCGGTAGTCTCTGGTAGGGATGGGGTGTCTTAGAGCACGGGAATTTCTTTTAAGGGTTGGGGCTGCCATTTTTGGCTGATTCACAAAATGGAGACATTATTACTCTATCATTCACCCCATTTTTTCTTTAATAATGATGGAGGTAGCAGCTGAGGATTGGGAATTGGGGCGAAGCGTCGGTCTCTTAGCTTTAGCTTCTTCCTGCTGGCAGGGGATGCTGTATGGGGCAAGATCTTCAGACTCCTGCGTCCTGGTGGGGGCCCTCATAGCAGTCAAACAGTTTTGGAGAGGTTGATATCCCTGGAGGTACAACTGGTTTAACTTTTGATTAGCAATAGCAGACATGCAATCTAAAAGAAATCTTTGTACTGTTTTTATGATATAAGGGAGGAAGCTTAAGAATATGAGAGCAAGAAATATAGGCATTAGGATGGGCATTAACCAGGAGAACCAGTGTGAAATGTTATTCCCTAGAGGATTCCAAGAGTCTTCCAATCTCCATTTTTTTAACTGTTCCTTGAGAGGTGCTGCCACTGGGGGATCCCATTGAGCTTGACAGCAGTGGGTATCATGAGAATGACCAGATGAGGGCTGGTCCACCAAAGTCCCAATGGAGAAGGTAGAAGATCCTTTAGTAGAACAAGATCCCCGGCTTAACAGAAATTGTTATAGGGTGGGGCAGGATCTGATCTGCATGTTAACCTGAGAAGGTTAACATAAGGTCGATAGTCAGCCAGAGGAGCAGGGTCTGTTGGAGGCAAGTTTATTAGAAGGAGCATAAAAGGTGTCTGCTAAAGGACTGTATATCTGGGGATACAGATTCTGCAAAATCCTGTAACTCCCAAGAAAGCTCTAAACTGCTTTATGGTATGGGGGAGAGGGAAACGGAAGATTAGGTTGATGCCGTCATGACTCAAGGAGTGAGTCTGTCTCTTTAAGGCCACACCTAGGTAGGTGACCTGTGGGAGGCAGGGGCTGACAGGATTTAAATGTAACACTCTTAGATAAAAGAGAGCTCTATATAACTTTGTAAATGTTTGTACCATATTTTGATAAAGTATAGACACAACACTGTTACAAGGTGGTCATTTAAGACACATAAGCAAATATGTAAATGAACTCTGATTTAGTAGTACTTAAAGCTTGACAAGATCAGCAGAAAACACATGTACTTTAAATCTCACATATCAGCCTCTACTTCAAATATTAAGTCTTACTTTTATTTTATTTTTACCTTCTCCATTCCCTTCCTCTTCTCTTTTTCTCTTTCTCCTTCTCCTTTTGAGATAGGGTCTCACTATGTAACCTAGACTACCCTCAAATTCATGATCCTTGTCTCAGCCTCCCAAGTGCAAGAATTACAGGTGGGTACCACCCCTCCTGTTTAGATCTTAATTTTCAATTGCTTTGAATGGTCTGTGTTACAGTGTTGATTCAGGCAGGTGGAGTAACTGGGAGAATGGTTGATATTTAGTATTTCTAAGGGTTATTTGCATTTCCAAAGAATTGTTGGAAGTAAGCCATTTTCCAGATTCTGTAGTATGGCATGGTAATTGTTGACTAGCACTCTACCATTTGACCCATGCCTCCAGCATGCCTTAGTTTTTCAGATAGGATGTTGCATTTTTTTTCCTGGGACTATAATCCTACCTATGCCTCCCATGTGGTTTGGATTAGAGACATATACCACTACACCTACCTTGTTTCTCGAGATGGTATCTCTCTAACTTTTTGCCTGGAATGGCCCAGATCTCAATCCTCCAGACTTCTGCCTCTTGAGTAGCTGATTACAGGCTTGAGCTACCATGTTATCATCCTGTTCTTTAGGGAATAAAATTCATAGAACCATTCTTTAATTGTTCATACATTATTCTGGCAGGTCACTAATCTCGGCTAAATTACCTGTTTTCTGAACTCAAAGGGTATAAAATTTATTTTATTTTCTTCCATTATACTTTGTGGATGAGATACCCTATTGCTCTGTTAAAATTGGATATTTTGTATTGGATAAAATTGTTAGAAAGAAAATTAAAATTATTAGAAAGAAAATGAATGCTGCTATTAAAGAGGCTCCATACTTGAGTGCTTGTGTGATTTCTTCCATTTGCTAAGCCACAATGTATTTCTAAATAAAAAGGGAAGCACAGTCATAGTCCTGCAGGGATGGAAGAGGAGAGGGATGTGTTCTGTTAATAGAAGAAATTAGCATCCCGGCCACAGAGCAGTAATGTAACCATCAGCAATTTGCTAAGTAGTCTGTTTTGCGTGGTGTGCTGTTTTTGTAGCTTTTGTATGAACATTTTTAGGAGGAAAAGCACTGTTCTACTGCTATGGTGTCTCTTTGTTGTGAGCTTAAGACTTTTCTGGTTGCTGGTAGAGATTCTCTACCTGGTGTTCTTTATTTGTGTATGTATTATGTTTGAATGTATTATGTGTATGTGTTTGTGTGTGAATCTGTGTGTGTGACTGGGGTTTGAACTCAGGGCTTCACTCTTGCAAAGCAGGAATTTACTGCTTGAACCAAACCTCCAATATTAAGAGTTTTAGTGATCTTTGTTCACTTGGTGTTTGTTCACAGGATATTGCTGACATGCAGCCTACCAGACTCTAAATGACCTTCTGCAAAATTAAAAAAAAAATCCAGCTCATGTTTATTCCACAGATTCTGTGTTAAAAATGAACACAATATGCCTGCTGTATGTATGGTGGTTTTAGTTTACTTGAAGAATCTCCCTTTTTATTGATGAGCAAATTTAGACTCAGGAAGTTGAAGTCACTTATATGTGATTACACAGCTAGTACCCAAGGCAAGATTCAGCTCATGAATACATTACTCCGTTTTTGGTCTTTTTGAGACAGGGTCTCATTGTGTATCTCAGGCTGGTTTTGAACTTATGATCCTCTTGCTTCAGCCTCCCAAGTGTTAGGATTACAGGCATATGCCACCATGTCTGTCAACATTTAAAAATAAGCTATTTTGTTCTGTTATCTTTAGTTTGCAAACTTGCAGGAGCTAGCACCTTGTTACCCTCCCACCTTGCTCTGCAGTCTGGCTCTCAGAATATTCTAAACTTGCCCCCTGTATCTGTCCAGCTTTGCCTTCCTTCACATAGCTCACTTTTGTGAGCTGTCCTCACTGTGCCGCCTCCTCCTCCTCCTTTTTCTTCCTCCTTTTTCCTAATCTGTGCTATCTCCCATTTCACCACTTCAAATTTTCAAGCCCAGGCAGGTAAGTCTCACCTATACCATAAATTCTCCTCTAACTGCTTCATTGCTTTCTCTTTGTTCTTTTACACATATTCTCATTACTATGTATTATAGCTCTTAACCATTTTAATGTGTATTAGAATGGAGGAAAACAAAATAAAACAAAGCAAAATTTGAGTTTGTAAAGGACATACTTCCCCAGTATTCCTGGGGAAGGGATTTAGGAAGCAAATTGGGAAATTTGGTATAATTTTGTCATTTATTAAGGAACAGTTCTCAGGTGAACGTATACATATATAGCATTGTTTTTAAAAGGAATTTTCAGCTGCTATGAAGGATAACCTTAGCTCAGTCTTTATTAATTTAGTAATTTTAAGTGCTAGTATTGATTTTTTGTATACATTGAGGGTTAGTACTGTTTTGGAGCATCTAAAAACATCCAAGGAATTTTCATAAGATATGAGTTGTTTTCTGACGTTGTCAAGGACTTTTGTGGTAGTAAGTCTTATTTTTTTGTACTTGGTTAGGTATTTTATACAGTACAGAAACATCACTGCTATGTTTAAATATAACAGGATGATGAGTGATTTGTTCCTTTTTCCTAGAATTTCAGCTAAATGTAGAAGTGGAGGGCAAAGGACATCGAATACTCGTCCACATTCCAAGGATGCTTGGGAGGAGGTATCTTTACCTCTAGAACCTCTCTACCACCATGAACCCCCACTTTACTCTAGAAGGCTGGCTCAGTGGTCATCCAGCTGATGCAGTGCCTGGTTCCTTTTCTTGGTGACATCTGTGGTCCCTTTCAGAATCCTGCAAGCTCAGGGGAGGAAATAGCTCACCCTCAATATTCCATGCCCTCTTAAGGCCAGCCCTCCTCCAATGCTCTATCTCAAATCTTTTTTCATATGTTGGTTGATTGGAGGTTGGTAAGGAGGGATCTGTGAAATGAGATAAGTCTGGTGTTTCTTAGCAAGTCATGAGAGGAGGTTGGCCACACCAATTTGTTGGATGCTCACTGTAAAACAGTAGGCTTGCCATCCTCATCTACTGATTACAATTGTCTAAGGAGCTGATGCTCAAGTTGTACTCTATACCAGTTAAATGAAATGCCTTTGTATGGACCTCTGACATCAGCAGCTCCCAAAACTGCTGTTGATTCCTATAAGAGCCAAGATTGAGAACCAGAATCTGCAGAATATGTGGATCTTAGGGTGGAGTGGAGGCAAGGGGGTGCTTGGGTCTTACATTTATTTATTTATTTTTGGTGGTGCCGAGGTTTGAACTTAGGGCTTCACTCTTGCTAGGCAGATGGGCTACCACTTGAGCCACTCTGCCATCCCTTTTTTTGTGTTGGGTATTTTTGAAATAGTGTCTTGCTTTTTTTTTTTAGCCCAGGCTGAACTCAAACCTCACTCCTTCTAATCTCTGGCTCCCAAGTAGGTAGGATTACAGGTGTGAGACACCAGCACCCAGTGGTATTTAGGTCATTTATTTCTCAGGTTTGGGTCTCAACCAAAATTTTTTTAAAACAGAAAATATCCTATCCAGTACCTTTTTTTTTTTTTTTTTTTTTTTTTGCAGTACTGGGGTTTGAACTCAGGGCCCACACCTTGAGCCACTCCACTAGCCTCCTCCTTTCCCCTTTTTGGTGATAAGTTTTTTGACATAGGGTTTCAAACTGTTTGCCCAGGCTGGCTTCAATCTGCGATCCTCCTGAGTAGCTAGGATTCCAGGTGTGAGTCACAGGCACCTGGCCTCCAGTATCTTGTGAAATAATAAAAGTAAAGCTCAGGTTGTAGTTTAATATGTTTTACTTTGTGCCCTGCTTAGCTTTAAGGGAAAAGTCAAGATTGTGCTTGAATTTTTTCTCAAGAGCAAAGTATATAGCAACGTGAAAAGATTAGTATATATTAATTGCCCTAACAGGTACATTTTATTGTCACTTAGTAAATGAGTTTTATCTCAGCAGGAGAATAAAGCAACATCACCCAAGTTCCCAGGAGGTTTATAAACAATCTCCTTGTGTACATTCACTCTCTGAGCTTCTTTTGACACTTGTCATATGAATTCAGCTATTTCCAGTAGGAAAGAGTGTGTTTCTAAAAAGCACCATTTCACTTGCCTTCTCCTCTCATTGGCTTTCTCACAGCTCAAGAGATGGCTGCCCAGTGTGTCACAAAGGTGGAGCTAAATGTTTCCTGTGACAATCTTTTGGATAGCGATGTAACATCGAAGTCGGACCCTTTATGTGTGCTATTTCTGAACACAAGCGGTCAGCAGTGGTATGAGGTAAGATGAAGTACTTTCTGTGAAAAGCCATTTGAGTTGCTCTTTTGACAATGTGAAGGGTTTATTTAAAAATGCTAAAAATAATAATATCTCATTGGTTAGTGCAGGGTTTTTTTTGACAAGTGTATCCTCAATTGTGGAATCTTCATATACATATAGAAACTGCCTTTAGTTTTCATGCTTACATATAATTATGTTTAGTACATAAAGATTGTAAAATCCAAGTGCTCCTTTGTTCTGAAGAAACATTTTTGGTTTGCTTTTGTTTGTGGTGGGTATAGGTTGAACGTACAGAAAGAATTAAGAATTGCCTGAATCCCAAATTTTCCAAGACGTTTATTATTGATTACTACTTTGAAGTGGTTCAGAAATTGAAATTTGGGATTTATGACATTGACAACAAAACTGTTGAGCTGAGCGACGATGACTTCTTAGGAGAATGTGAATGCACCCTTGGACAAGTGAGTATAAATAGCTGTTAGATTCTATTTTGTCTGAATTTTTAACCAAAGAATTGGGTGTTTTGGTAAATGTTTATTACTTTAGTTTTTATAATTGAAAAGCATGTAATCACTTTAAAGACTGAATTCATAAATTAGTATGGTTGACTTGAACATATAGAATTTATCTATATGTAAGAGCATATTTTGTAAGAGCAGGGACCATGTACTTCTGGCAAAACCTGTTCATTCTTTTTAGTTAGGGGTACTTCATGGGGCATTTAAATAAATAATACCACTGCCCTGGCTGCTGCAGAGTTCTATATAATTTTATTCTTATGTTCAAGTCACAAATTCTGTTGAAGTATCATTAACTTCTCTGATGTTCTAACTAGCCTAACTGGTACTTCTTGGCCCCCAATGTCCCAACACCACCATTATCTGGCTTGTTCTTCCTGCACCTTAGGTGTGTCACTTTAAGACTCACTTCCCCCATAAACCATCTCTGAACTCCTAAACTAGTTTAGAGCCCTTCCCTGAGCTCACTTTGGTACTTTCTATTGCTTCTCACCATATTTTATTACAATTACCTTAGTCTGTCTTCCCAGTGTAGGATGAGCTTGGTCAGGGCTACGGGTGTGTCTGGTGGCTCACCAGTTTACTTCTAACTCAGTCTGACTTATAAGGAAATGTCATGACCATTTGTATAAATTGAGGAAATATCAGGAGGAAGGAATTTCTTTTCATTCAAATTTTTCTTTTATGAGTTTATTTTTCAGGGTTGAATTGTTTGGAGATTATGATGTTTCCTTTGGCTCAAGGGCAATATGGAACTTACCAGTTTTGTAAAACTTTCCTAAATGGTATTAAAGAGAATATTAAGTATTTGTTTTTTGGAAAAAAAAAATCACAATGTAGCCAAAATTCTGATAAATTTGAGAGATATAGCAATTTGAAAGTACCTAGATATACCATATTATTTTGGCAAAATGATATTTTTTGGCAGTTAAATATCAAAGTTATGTGTCAGTTGAAAAATTGATTCCCATTTATGGTATGTCCTGAGGCTCACCTTTTTCCTAGAAGGGTTTCAGTTCAGTGATTTCTGTAGTAAATGAAAATCTGGCCCTCTTTTCCCATTATAAGGAAGAAATTAAACTTTGAAACAATTAGTAAGGAAAGTAGTGGGTGGGGGAGATTGTATCTGCCTGGGTAGGCTTCTTGGAAATCTTTTCCAGTAAGTTTAAAATGCAGAAATAAATAGATTTTAGATGTCTAGGACCTCTAAATCTCTAAGGAATGGGCTTTAATGTTTCCATTTCTAATGATGTTAAGTGAATTTTATACTCAACCTTGTTTTCTGGAAACTATTCAGTTTCAAAGTTCACATGTTGAAGTGAAATAGCTCTTTGTGTTACTTTTTGCTTTTAACAGATTGTTTCCAGTAAGAAGCTAACTCGACCACTGGTACTTAAAAATGGCAGACCTGCTGGAAAAGGGAGCATTACGGTAACAATAGATAGTTGCCTTTTGTCTCAGAAGATTTAGCATAATAAGACATGTTGAAACCGTACAAATGAAACATATATTCTCTAGCCACGCTTTATCATTTGATCTCGAACCTTGCCTTATAGTAATCACAAGTTTTCAATAATGTGATAGGCCCAAAAGAGAAAATGCAGTGTGGAAATACCTTCTGTCAGTTTGTAAGTTGTCCTAAAAGGTCAGATGGATCTTGGTAATGCTTGTCTCTCTTCTATCAAAGTGTTAATTCCCAAGTTAGAGAAAAACTGCTTAATAATCTCAGTGGATCAGTTTGGCTCTCTACAAAGGAAGCATAACAGAAACTTTCCATAATGGATTTTATTCCAGATGGATATTATGACATGGCCATTGAACCTATAAACTCTTTACCATCACTTTTTATTCTTGCATTCTGCTACACATTGGCCCACCCATATTTTCCATTGTTGATTACAGTCTTGAGTAAATGAATATATACTTTATCATATTTTAGATTTCCAGTTATATGATGACAAACTTTTTTTAAGGGTTATTGAAATTATAAAATACATTTTTTTCTGAGCAACTGTTTGTCTGTGGGTTAGATTTCCAAACGTATAAGAATATTCGTCTACTGGGCTAAGCACTGGTGGCTCACACCTATAATTCGAGTTACAGGAGTCAGAGGTCAAGAGGGTCGAGATTCAAAGCCAGTCTAGGCAAACAGTTCGCAAGACTCTATCTTGAAAATACCCAACACAAAACAGGGCTGGCAGAGTGGCTCAAGTGGCAGAGTGCCTGCCTGGCAAGCAAGAAATCCTGAGTTCAAACCCTAGTACTGCAAAAACAAAACAAAAAAGAATATTCAGTCTGTCGGGAGTGTTGACTTTCATGGGACAGAGAACATTATTAGTAATTAGCTCTATTGCTCTTGGAACATGATAGCTTGGGATTTATTTTTTAAAAAGAATAATTCTTTCAGTTACATTGGATGAAACACAATGACCTGACATTTCAGTTTATGGAGTTCTTTAGTTAGTTTTGTACAAGGATATCCTTCAGTCCTCCAGAATTTTGATGTTTCTGTGGAATAGGAAATAAGCAGTTTGGGCAACCACATTTAAAAAGAAAATTACATAATGTAGATTTGGCATACTTGGGGAAAATATTTATTTCACACACATAAACGAAATAAGGGTAAGTCCTTCTTAATGGTATCATTTTCTTATTAAACATTTTAGAAGTCTTTTATAGTATACTATTAGATTAAAAAAGCACTTAGTTCAAGAGCATATCAGAGTCCCTAAAACAAATTTTCTTTCACTTGTGTACTTACAGGTTTCAGCAGAAGAAATAAAAGATAATAGAGTGGTCTTGTTGGAAATGGAAGCCAGAAAACTGGATAATAAGGTTGGTAGTATGCAGATTTCAACAAGGGTGTCAAGTTTTATCTCATAGTGATTCATTTTTGAGAAAATAATAATGCATTTAACATGATCTGCACTATCTGAGCGTCACATAGGGTTTTAGTTACTTCCAACCTTCTCTGTGTGTGTGTGTGTTTAAGCAGAGCCTGTTCCCTTCACCACTTTCATGTAGATGTAATCAAAGCATTTATCTAGATTAAAAGATGAGATGGACTGGGGTGTGCTCAAGTGCCTGAGCAATCACAAGGTCCTGAAAAGCAAAAAGTCCATGGTTGATTAATTTTAAGTCATTTGTTCTCTGTATATTCAAAGTTCAATTTTTTTGATGAAGGTTTAGTACCATTTTAGTATATAACATGAATTGTAATAATTCATTGAGTGACTTTTATACTTAATTCTGTAACCTAGTAAATATTTCATCATTTGCCTTTACCTTATAATTTAGTTTGAAAACATCTTAGTCTAGTTTCCAGGGACTTTTAAAAAAAAATTTACACATTTTATAAAAGAAAAGTATTTTAAAAGTTCCATGTTCCTATCACCCATCTTCAACAATTATAACTCATGGATAATTTTGTTTAATGTCCATCCCTAATTACTTTCTTTCTTCCCAGACACCATATCATTCACACAATATTTTAGTGTGTCTCTAAAGACACTTTTAAATAATGTAATTTCTTAACATGCCTCTGAAGTCGTTTTTTAAATCTATAAATTCTTCCTTTTTACTTCTTTCCATCCTCCATCCGTCCACCCACCCAAGGAATTTATTCAGTGAAGAAAATGATCCATAGCTGGGCACTGGCAGCTTATGCCTATAACTCTATTTTGGGGGCTGAGATCAGGAGGATCAGACTCCCTCTCCAAATAACTAGAGCAAAATGAACTGGAGGTGTGGCTCCAGTGGTAGAGCACTTTCTTTGCAAGCATGAGCCCTGAGTTCAAACCCCAGTCAATAAACAAAAAAAAAGAAAAAAAGAAACTGATTCCTTTGTCTTAAAGTTTCCATAGTTTGTATATGGGTAAATAAATCCCCTGTGGTGTCATTTAGCATGTTTTCTATCTTTAGTTTTATTTGTTGACTTCTGTAGGTAAATCTAGAGCTTTGATCTGGTTATACTTTCAATTGTTGGCAAGACAGTTTCTTCAGTGGTAGTGGGTTATTCCACACTGAGTTGTGTGTTTTGGGATGTTAATGATCCTTGATGGTAATTGCCTGGATATGTTATTTTATTGAGGGTCTATAAAATAGTAGTATTCTCACTGTCATTGTTTCATCATTTCTTAGCAATAATACTTGTATGGAGGAAAATTTTCCCACATTTATTCATTTTGGGGGACAGTCTATACAGGAAGGCAATTAAAGCATTTAATTCTCACTCTTACCATTTTCAGAGTAAGTTAGTTTGCTGGCATCCTGTAAATGTTACCATGATGCTTTTGTTTGTTTGTTTTATCTTTTTTAGAATTGCTATAAACTGATGAATTTTAACATTAATAACTGCAATGGGTCAATTCTTACTGATGCTAAAATTATTACAGCCTTGGGCTCAGGGTACCTTTTTCTTTAAGTTTGTTTCTGAGACCATTGGGCATGATCTGAAGAATGTTTAGATAGTGTCCTTGTTCTGTGGCATGACAAGATGTCCCAGGTTCATTTTATCGAATTTTTGCCTTGTCTTAGTGGAGTTGGTTGGGGCTACAGTCAAGGTGGGGTGCTCATCATTTTTTTAGTTACTGTTTCTCATAGTTTCTAGAGCTTTTCAGAAGGAAGATGCAGGAAAGATTCGATTTGTTTTAAGTTAATTTTTTTTTGAGACAGGGTCTTGCTATGTAGCTAGCCTGGGCTGACCCTGAACTCACTATCCTCTTGCTTGAACCTTCTAAGGGCTGGGATTGTACAGCATGTGCTACCCTGCCCGACGAAAAGACTGTTTTAAAAAGAATAGCTAAATGGCTTGGCATGATGGTACATGCCCGTAATCCCAGCACTCTAGTGGCCAAGACAGAAGGGTCACCAGTTTGAGGCCAGCCTGGGCTATATAGCGAGACCCCCCCCATCTCAAGAAAAAAGAACTAAATAAAAAATTGTACAAATATTTCCAAATCAAATAAAGAACTATGGAAATTGACTTGCTACAGAGTCAGCTTATCAAGACCTTATCTCAAAAATAATAATAAAATAAAATAATATAAAAGAAAAGATTTAAATGTTTTCAAAGCCAAATCAACAAAACAAGGTATATCTAAGAGATTTAACTTTTTTTTGGTGGTGGTACTGTGGTTTGAACTAAGGCTTTGCACTTATTATTCAGGTCCAGAAATTTAACTTTTCCTTCTGTCTGCTTTGCCATGTTTACTTTTTCCTCCTGGTGGGTAATAAAACAACTTAATGAACTTTTAAATGAGGGCTGTTTTCCAACCTTCAAAATGTTAATAAGGATATTCTACCTTTCCCATGGGATTTTTTAAAGATAAGTCACAGAGCATGTTAATGTGGTTCTGAAAAGTCAACTTATGTTAACTATGTAGAATTCTGTTATTAGTTTTAGAAAATGAAGGGCATAGTGATGCTGATTTCATTTACTTAAGATTCTTCTTAGAGATAAGGTTAAAGTTCTACATAATCTTTGTTTACAGTTTTCACTGCATCAAATATGTTATTTGCAGCCAGGCACCAGTGGCTCATGCTTATAATCCTAGCTACTCAGGGGACAGAGATCAGGAGGATCATGGTTTGAAGCCAGCCCTCTCAAATAGTGTGCAAGACCCTATCTTGAAAAATCCCATCACAAAAATAGGGTTGGTGGAGTGGCTCAAGGTGAAGTCCCTGAGTTCAAATCCCAGTATCACAAAAAAAAATGTTATTTGCTTGACATTAAATTTTGTGCTCAGGGAGGAAATAATATTATCTTGATTTTTAAATGCTGAGGTTAGTTTAAGACTAAAAACATCTTTAAAGACACATCTGCATGTGTTACTAAGAGATTAACAAGTGTTCTTTCATCTAAAAAAATAAGTAATATATACTTAGGAAGATAATGAAAACAAAATCATCCATAATTCTCACTTCATAACCTGTGTGGGACTTGTACATCATTCCAGAATTTTATGTGTGTGTGTGTGCACACATGCGTGCCCACCCATGCGGGTTGAGAGGGAATAAGAATACTTTTGACCACTCACTGTACTTGAGCATTATACAGGAATACTGGGATGAATTACAGAGAAAAAAGCAGATGTCTTTTGTGCGTTTGACATATTTCTATTATGCATGCTGTATATAAACCTCTGCTCCCTTGTATGTGTGGTAACAAGGTGTTTGATGTAGAAGGGTAGGATATGATGTCAAGGCCCAGTTAATTAGATATGTGATCTTGGAAAAGTTGTTTAACTCCTCTGAATTCATCTTCTCAGTAATAACTGCTTTGTTCCATCGAGTTAATGTGGCTAATGTTTGGGATATCATTTATATGAAAGTACGTAGTACTACGTAAACGAAAAATGTTAATGCTGAAAAGAAGCCAAAACATTTTATTATCCATTTGATCAGTATGTTTTTAAACTGTTGTGTTTTTAAGTAGTAAAGGTGTGGTACACAGGGTTACAAAGTTATTACAAATGGCTTCATAGTGTTCCCTAATAAACTTCGCAAGTATCTAAGTTAGTAAGAAAGTTGATGGGATTCTCCTTTACAACCCATATCCATACTATGGAGTAGGACTCAGATGATTGCTAGCATGTATAACATGTGGTCACACATGGTTTCAGAGGAGAATAAATGCTGTTTGTTTGTTTGTTTTAAATGTAGGATCTGTTTGGAAAGTCAGACCCATACCTGGAGTTTCACAAGCAGACATCGGATGGAAACTGGCTAATGGTTCATCGAACAGAGGTAAATATCTGATCTGAAAAGTGAAGTAGAAGTTTGCTTTGGAATTATTGTAACCTGAGTTTTTTTAAATCAAACATTTATAAAAATATTAATGTGTGTTCACAAGAATTCAGTCAGAGATACAAGGTCAGTATACTTTTTTTCTTTTAATGGTGAGGAGCTATTATGCCTAATTATTTTTTTTTTTGAAAAAGCTTAAACACTATAAAGAACACTAAATATGTCCCTGTGTATCCTTCACCTACATTCAGCAGTTGGTTATAGCTGTACATACTTGTCTTTTTTCTCCCTGAAGTCTAGTGCTCTCTCTCTCTCTCTCTTGCACACACACACACACACACACACACACACACACACACTTATGCACACATATGTAGGCTACAGACATTAAAACTCTTCTTTAAATACTACAGCAGGCATGTCTAAAGAATAGGGCATTCTACACTACCACACCTGAAATATTAGCACTGGCTTAGTGTCATTGTTTAGTATACCATTCATGCTTAGATTTCCTTAGTGTCCCACACATGTTTTATGTACATTTCCTTCCTTCCTTCCTTCCTACTGGGGTTTGAACTCAGGGCTTCACACTTGCAAAGCGGGGGCTTTACTGCTTGAACCACACCTTAATCCTATGTTTTGTACATAGTTTGATTGGTTTGTTTTGTCCAGGATCCATTGAAGGTATCCATTTTGCATTTGACTCCTATGTTTCCAATATATGGTTCTTTTGTTTATTTCCCTATACCTTCATGTCGTTGAATCTCTTTAATAAAAAAGACCAGAATATCCAACATACTGGATTCTTCTCTTTTCTCCAACTAGATTCATAGCAAACATTTCTGTTAAGAACACTGTATGTGTACCTTCCTTTGCATCATCAGGGTGCTTATGGTACATACTGCCCAATATTGATAATGCCAGGCTAGGCTACTTGGTTAAATTGGTGACCATGAGCTCTTGCCATGATAAAGTCCCATTTTTTTTTTCTTTTTGTCCTTAGTAAGTTCCATATGTTGCAAGACTTTGATACTATACACTCTAGCTTTTAACCAGTAGTTCTAACATCCATTGATGATCCTTGCCTTAATCAGTTTATCAGGGGCTATAGAGAGTTTTTTTTTCAGTATCCTTGTAAATTCATGGATTGTTATAATTCATTAATATCATTATTTTTGCTGCTGAAATTAATACAGATTTGACTAGGGAAAGCGCCTTCAAATGGCTCCTGGGTTCTTTTAACATGATCCCATTAGTCTTAGTCTCTTTTTCTCTCTCTCTCTCTCTTTTTTTTTTTTTCATTTTATGGTAGAGTATGTTCTTAGTTTATTCTGACCCAGACTTGGAATGAACCATTTCTCAGAAGGCACTCTCTGTAAAAGGTAGTAGTATTTAGACACCAAGATTTGAGTGCCAGATGTGCTAATTGATACAAGGATATCATTGCTTTTTAGGGCTTTCAAATTATGAATTTAGACTTAGTTCTCCAATTTAAATCCAGCACAGTATGGTTCTTTTTTTTTTTCATATAAGATGATCCTGTTTATTACAAATAAAATTTAAAAACCATATATTTTTATATTTGCTCATATGTACATAGCAAAGATCTAGGAGGCGATTCGCTGAATTGCTAGTTATGGTTATTCACAGTTCATTCTTACCATGCTTGTGCCTGCAGTGAAACTTCTGGTTTCCAACAATGTCAATAGTTTGCAGCTTGTTTTTCTTTTACTTTTCGTTTCTCCTCTACTTTCCTCACTCCTCCCTCTCTCTCTTTTTCATCTTCCTCCTGCTCCTCCTACTCTTTCTCCTTCTCTTGCTCTTCTTTTTTTTGAGATAGTTTGAGGCTGGCCTCAAATTTACTGTTCTGCCTCAGACTCCATGGGCACATACCACCATGCCCAGCCAACTGCAGTTTCTAAATATATCTTGTATTAGAGGGACATGTTTACCAGGTAGCTTTCTTTTTTCCTCAGAATGTAGCAAATTGGACAATTTATTATCTTTTAAATGTGACATGTATAATATTGTTCTAGCTAGTTTTTCACTGAAATAATTGAGTGGATGAGGAGTTGAGAGATGAAGGATGAGAATGTAGTAAGAACCTAGAAAAGATAAGAACAAAATGTTAATGAACTGAGTATTGTTCTTATATATCCTTGAATCTTCACCTTTATAGGTTATTAAAAACAACCTGAATCCTGTTTGGAAGCCTTTTAAAATCTCCCTTAACTCCTTATGCTACGGAGATATGGACAAAACCATTAAGGTAAATTGAAATTTATGCAAATGAGTTATGACTTTCAGTGGGGTTATATCTTGATAAATCCATCATATGTTAGGCTAGGGATGCAGCTTAGTGATAGAGCATGCTGTTAGTATGAATGAGGCCTTGGATTCAATCCTGGCACCAAAAGAATAAAAGAAAGTAAATATCATGCTAAAGATGCATTTAATGTACTCAACTTACCAAACATCATAGCTTAGCAACACAGCACACAATAAAGTATCAGTCACAGTCACCTTAGTGATTGTGACTGACTGGAACTTCAGCTTGCTGTTGCTGCCCAGCATTGCAAAAGAGAATCTTATCACCTGTTGCTAGCCTGGGAAAAGATCAAAATTCAAAGCTTAAAGTAGTACACTTTTGTACCACTGTAAAGTTGAAAGATCTTAAGTTGAATCATCATGTTAGGACCGGGATTTACATATGAAAGTAAGACAGATGTATGAAATACATACACAAATACACGTATGTTCACCTATTTTATAAAATTAATGTATAAGGTAGCATTTTTAAAAAGTAAATGATATAACAGATACCTATAGGAGTGAGTTTTATGTTTACACAATAATACTAAAATAAAAATGTATTACAGTTAATAAAATAGTTCATTTAAAGAAGTAGGCATGTTTAACTAAGATGTTGATCTAATGTTTAATCTAGCCATATAATTTCTATCTTAGTTTGTATATACATGCATATAAGTGTATATATATATATACACTTATATATATATATAAGAGTATATATATATATATATACTCCTGTGGTATTCTTTGGTTTTGTTTTTCTTTTTGTAATTGATATAATGAAAGTAGGAAAAGTAATGTGAGCATATAAGATTTGGAATCAAATCACAGTTCAAATTTGACTTAGCTTTTTAACCAGATAAGGGATGTTGGAAAGGTCATATAACTTTTTTACTTATGTGATAGAGAAAATAATTTCTATCATATAAGAAGGGAAAGGTAATATAACAAAAGTGAAAATTTTATAATCTGTTAGACACAGTAGAGATGGTATTACTATTGAAAACCACTTACTTTCTAAGCTACATAAGAAATTTTTCCCAGTTTATAGAGAACTTTAAAAATCAATCTCAAATATGATTTGTATGATATGTTAAAATAGCAATGAAAATCTAGGTACACTATAATTGTAAGAAAAAAAAAGTAACTCTAATAATTAGTTTTCATTCTTGGACCAAATCCAGAACTTTTGCTTTTCACATTAAAAATAATAAGTATCATTAAATCTGAGAAGGTAGGAAAGTCTAAGCCATAACTATTTGTTTATAATGGTATGCTAACAACAAAACAATGTTTCTAAAACTTTTTTGCTCACAGTGGCTTGCTTACAGGGATAATTTATTATAGTAAGTAAACTGATTTTTTGAGTTTTGTCTGATGAATGTCTTCCATTCTTAATAGTTTCTCAGTTTTTTGTTTTAATTGTACCCGACTTGGTTTGCCACATCATCACTGACTTTATTTCTCTAGTTCGGTATTTCTTTGTAAAATCAGATATTCATACATCTGTAATTTATTTAATGTTTAGAAATTACTTAGAGGCATAGTAAAAAACTACAGAGCAGAGAATAAAGTCAGAATCTTCAGTAGTTTCTTTGCTACAATGTGTCATCACTCCAGCTTCTATTGTTTCTATAAGATTAAATGACTAAGAGAAATAGCTGTGCATGCTGCCACCTTGCCTAAGATGGGAATGCCTTAGTGAATGTATCATTGTGGGGGTGTGCATTATTTTATATATATACATATGCACATATGTATATATTTAAATTTCACTCCTTCTGATAGCTGTGCTTATATAGCCAATAGTACTGGTCTTTGCATTTTTGAGAAGAAATTAAATGACATAAATCATCCTACTTTATCATAAATCATCAAACTTTATCTGAACATACACCAGCATTAAGAAATGTTATACCTGCTCTCAAAAGTTACAAGTAGCTTTCTCCTTTTAGTTATTGTAGTGAGTAATCAGAACTTTTAGTTTTAAAATGTTTTATATTTCTTAAAGATTCAGTCAGTCTAAACATATTTATAGTTTTAGTCCCTAATGAGGTTTCTTTAAATAAAACTTTGGCCTTATTAAAGCTTAAGCTTGCTTAGAGATAGTTTAATGTTCCCTGAATGAAATCTAAAATGTAAAGTTCTTGTGCATATTTGAAAAATGTCTGCTATAAAGTGTCTTATTAAAACATTAAAATAGTTTGCATTGTACATTATTGAAATTTTACTTCCTCTAAAAGTCTTTAATGGTATTAATTTTCTTTTCCCTTGACATATTAAAGAGTCAGGTTAAGGGGGTTGATTTTAAAATTAGATATTGAATATGTAGGGCAAGAGTCAGGCTGTCAGATTTGGTCAGTGACCAAAGTGCCTGCAAAGCATTTCTTTAAACAACCAAAATTCCTTTCCATTACTCACAATTACAATTCTAGAACTTGCCTGGTTGTATTCACTGATTGGCTTTTAGTGTTCCCAAAGAATAATGAAAATAAAATAAGGAACAAAAGACTTTCAGTTATGATACACACTAAGTGTACAGAACTGAGAAGAAAAACAATCACTCTACAAAGTGAACATGTAAAGTTCCTGAGCATTTCAGCTTGTTGGTTAATATAACTTTGTGAAGGACATCAGCAAGATGGAGCTCTCTATTGGCTGAGAGCAAATGCAAATTGCTACCCAGTCACAAGCATTTATTATGAAGTATAGTATCCTTATGTATGAAGTATTATTACCACAGCCTTGCTACACTGGTGGTGGTTGCCACACAAGTCATACTATCTTCTAGGACTTTTTATTTAATCTCTCTGAATTTCAGTTCTGCACAGTGGGAATAATAGTAACAGGGTTCCCACTCTGTCCCCTCACAAGGCTATTAGAGAATGTGGATGGTGCACATAGTAAATGTTCACAAAAATGGAGTAGTCTTTTGAAATTATGAAGTACTATATAAACATTGCTATTGAATATTCATAATCATTATGGGTAGTTTTCAACTTCCCTTGAACCCCTCAGATTGCTAATAACAGCCTTTTCTTCCCATTGGAAAAAATGTTTTAGTATTCTGGTATATAAAATTTTTAGCTGTATCTGTCAACCTGACAAAACAACATGCAAATAAGATAGTCTTTTCTCTCTGGCTTCAGAGAAAGTGAATAATTACAAGAGCCAGACCTGAGCCAAGAACTCACCTTGTCTTACCTGGGAATAGAGTAAATATGACTCAATACAAATACTTTAGTAGGCAGCTAAGTATTCTTGCCCTGGAATTTTCCTTTTTTTATAAGAGCTGTGATCCTCAGAATGATGCAGATCTGATGCTTAATACAAGCCAGTCTTAATGGCTTGCAATTAATGAGATACATTTCCCATAATTCTAAATTATCTAGGACTTAATTGTATAACTTTTAGCTGCATAGGATTTGCCTTCCTTTCTTTCTCTAGGATATGGCCTCTAGCCATCACATTGTGACAGTCAGGTAAAGGAGCAGATGAGAAAGCAGGTGCAATCCTTTTTGCGTTTTACTAGCATTTATCGAGGGCATGAAAGAGAAACTGGAAACTGCTTAATGTGTAATTTAAGCAGTATTTGGGTTTTTTCATCTGCCTGGGATCTATCTCTCTTAGAGTCCATTTTAAAAGTATTTCAATATTGCTTCTTTAGGAAGTCAGTTTTACTTGTCCTGATAAGGATTGCATATTAGACATATTCATCTATTTTAATTAAAAAGCACTTCCTGATAGGCCACATTTATTATAGCCAACACTTCTTAATAAAATATATTGATTTTTATTTTATACTTTTATTACATTTAATTCCAGGTAGAGTGTTATGATTATGACAATGATGGATCACATGATCTTATTGGAACATTTCAAACCACCATGACAAAACTGAAAGAAGCTGCCAGAAACTCACCTGTAAGTTACATCTTTGCATTTGTATATGCCATATATTTCAGCTGTGTTTATTTTGTTTTTTCCCTTTGGCATATACCATGCTTTTGCTCTATATTGCATAATTCCCTTAAAAAAATCTATAGATTTTATTTGTGTAGTATCAGATAATCCAAAATTCATACTTATGGTATGCATTTTGTTGCATAGAACACCAGTGCCAGGTGAGGACTCCAACTACATGGAGAAAAGTAAAGTTCATGACAACAACAGTCAGTAGGGATGGAAGTGACTTTTGCCCCTTGCATCTTAAAAGGAAAAACATAACACAGTCAAGCACTGCATAGAATAAAATTTCACTCACACAGAGAAGATAGAGATGACCAGCCTCTGTAGCAGGCATCAGTCCTCCCTGGCAATCCCCTTTGGCAGCCTAATCAGGGCAGATTATCCTGTGTACTCCCCGTCTTGTGCTTCAGTAGAAGGACCTTGCTCCTTGCCTGGGAGACTGAAATGTTGAAAGCTGGCCATGGGCCTCGGGTCCATTGACATAAGGGCTTAAGCAGAATATATACTTATTGAGTCTGAAACTAGAAAGCTATTTCTGCACAGATAGTAAGCTTAGCACAGGCTGTGTGGACTGTCATCTCTTGATAAGGAAGTGTTTCAGACCTAAGACCCATCCTGTGTGGCTAAGTAGGTATCAAAAACTACGCACGTGAGACTTTCTCACCAAGTTTATACTTGTATTAGAGGTTTGACTTCCTTTGGCTTAAGACAGCAAAAGATACGGTTTGATTGAAAATCAAAGGCTTTGGGCATTGCATTTGGTTAATATCTACAACACCAAATACCAGGACTTGAATTATGTATACCTATGCTACTCTTGCATAGGTTTTTACAGTCTGCTCTCTGACTTTTCTGACTTTTCCTTAACCACAGGAAGAATAGAAACTTAGTTCATAGTACTTAAAATTTATATAATATTAAGCTACTATCTAAAGGCATGAATTTCGTTGAGATGCTTTGGCTGCTTTTACTGCATTCAATTTATCATTTACCACCCCAACTTATTTATAAGAATACTTATGAAACTTTTCTGTCTCACTGTGTAGCTCAGGCTGGCCTCAAAGTTGCAATCCTCCTGTTGCCGCCTAGCTACATTTATCATAGATGTGTGCCACCTTGCCCAGCAGAGTGAAGCTTATAATTACTGCCATAACAGTACTCTTCTAGGGGCAGGGCCTGGTCTTATCTTTGTGTTCTCAATTTCTTCTTAGCACAGTGCCTGTCCCTTAGAGATACCTACAAAAGACTGAATGAAGGAGATGAAGTATTCTAGTTATTTTTTAATGAAAACTCTGTTTAAGGCATTTCTGCTGTTCTAATACATCATTCACTCTGCCCCTCCCACTAGTATCCCCACACTCACACTGTACTTATTTTACAGTTCTGTCTTTGGTTAGTAATATTTAAGTTGAAGTTCATAGCTAGCATTTGTTGCCCTTAACGCAGAGAAACTAAAGCAGATACCTTAAAGCAACTGAGGCCAATAGGAAAAGGGGACCAGGAACTAGAGAAAAGGTTAGATTAAAAAGAATTAACCTAGAAGGTAACACCCACGCACAGGAAATCAATGTGAGTCAATGCCCTGTATAGCTATCCTTATCTCAACCAGCAAAACCCCTTGTTCCTTCCTATTATTGCTTATACTCTCTCTACAACAAAATTAGAGATAAGGGCAAAATAGTTTCTGCTGGGTATTGAGGGGGGGAGCGGGAGGGGGTGGAGTGGGTGGTAAGGGAGGGGGTGGGGGCAGGGGGGAGAAATAAACCAAGCCTTGTATGCACATATGAATAATAAAAGAAAAAAAAAAAAGTTGAAGTTCAAAGGGGTTTCTCAATGTATCCTACCGTGTGTGTACTTTACTTTGGCCCATTCAACCCCTTCCATTACTCTCCCTTAGCCCTTTACCTCCCATCCCTTATTTTTCAACAGTTTTCAATACACATTCTTATATCCTCTACCTTTATAGAACTTAAGGTTTACGATATTAAATCTCTATCATTCTCTTTTCTTTTCCCTCTTTCCTCTAGTTCCATAGAACAGTTCCACTATTACAAACATGTTCTACATCTGAGTTTATATTTGATCATGTTTGTTTTGTGTATATGTTTGTCTTTGGGATTTATCTTCCACATGTGAGAGAAAACATGTGGTCTTTATCTTTCTGAGCCTGGCTTACTTCACTTAATATGATGTCCTCCGATCGCATCCATTTACCTTCAAACCATATGTCATTATTCCTTAAGGCTGAGTAGAACTCTGCTGTGTATATGTAGTACATTTTCTTGATTCATTCATTAGTTTTAGAGCATCTGGGTTGTTCCCAAAGCTTGGCTATTGTGAATAGTGTTGCAAAGAACATCAGCATACAGGTGTCTCTATTGTGTACTTATGTTCCTTTGGGGAAAATGTTGATTGTTAGAAAATTAATAATGGCTGTTTGTTGTACATAAGAGGCTTCATATTAACTAGAGGTTACTTAATCAAGTATTCATTAAGTGTATCTTACGTTCTTACTATTAGGCAGTTGAGTGAGAATTCATCTTTTTTTTTTCTTTTTCTTCTTTTTTGCAACACTGGGGTTTGAACTCAGGGCCTCAGGGCCAGTATTTTGCAATACTGGGGTTTGCCAATCAGGCACTTTTACCACTTGAGCCATTCCACCAGCAAGTTAGTGAGAATTCAAAGGTATAACTCAGATTATACCTTTGATTATACACTAGCTGCGAAGAAAAAAATACTGCAGTAAAACAATTGAGAATAATATAGAGTCTGTAGCTAAACTTTAATGGTTGTAGATGGGTGGCAGTCAGAGAAGATTAGAACAGTAGCGGAAGTTATAGTAGGAGGATGACTTGAGCCAAGTCCTAAAGAAGGGTGGATAAATAGGAGATGAGGGAAGAGCATTCTTTTTGGGGGAAGGAAATTCAAGGGAGAAGGATTATACCATCTTTAAATTAGATTTATTCTTAACACATATTCTCACTAGAAAGAGATGTTGGCTGCATAATTTATTTCAGGGCTGGGCTTCATATATTTCTGTTTTATGAGGTTAGGATTTTTTTTTTCTTTTTCTAAGCAACATATTTTTGTTCTTTGTGTTACTAGCAGCTAAGAGTAACATTTTACTTTTGTATTATAAAGAAGAAAATTTATTACTTAGAGTATTTGCAAGGAAAGTACCTATAGAGGCAAAGGTTATACTTAGAAACTATTTTAAGTTTTTCAATTTTTGGAATACCTTATTTGTTGGAAATTTGACCAATAAATATTTCACATACTTAATGCATTATGTAATTGTATCAGAGTTATATTTTGCAGCAGACCTATACCAGTAAGTGGTTTGATTCCAAGGAGAAAAGTTTCATTTAAATTCATTTTGGCATTTTGAATATTGCTAGAAAAGATTAACATTTTGTTTTCTCTTCCTACAGGTTGAGTATGAATGCATAAATGAAAAAAAGAGGCAGAAGAAAAAAAGCTATAAAAATTCAGGTGTTATCAGTGTGAAACACTGTGAGGTCAGCTGGCTTTGTTCACTTGTAATGGGTCACATTTCGAGTTCTCTGATCAGTATGGTTCATATCAAACAACTACTTTTGGCAGCTGAAAATCACATGAACATTTAGGGACAAGAAGAGTGCAAATAGTACAGAAGTATTTCATGAAACTATGCTTTTTTAGCAAATGACAAGCAACATCAAAGTTTTCCATTGTCTTAGGAAATGTAAGATCCATGGTATTTTTCCAGCCTGTTAATGGAACTAGCATGACCTAGTGCTCTATCTTGGTTATAATTTTAAGGTGAGATGTTATAAATGAAGGGGGAGAGCCGAAATTTCTTATGGTGAAAAAGTATACTTTTTATTATTGTTATTATTTTTAAAATCTTGACAACTATGCTTGTTAAAACTATCATGTTAGCCAGGCACTGGTGGCTCCTGCCTGTAATCCTGGCTTCTAAGGAGGCGGAGATCAGGAGAATCACAATTCGAAGCCAGCCTGGGCAAGTAGTTCAAGAGACCCTATCTGGAAAATACCCAATATTTTTTTGTATTTTGGGCTGGTGGAGTGGCTCAAGTGGTAGAGCGCCTGCCTAGCAAGCATGAGGCCCTGAGTTAAAACCCCAATACTACCATCCCCCCAAAAAAACTATGTTAGAATCATGCTAGTCCCTTAAAACTTAAATGAATATGTTTCATCTTTTCCAGTTAATATTCTAATCTTAACATTGCTGTAATTATCTGAAGTAAAATCTTACATGTTTGTGACATTTAGGGATAGGAGTTCCTTATACTCAAATGCAGGGGTAATTTACACATGTTTATATCATATGCTGTTCAGTTTGCAAACTCTTAAAAGCATATGTCAAGTAGCATTTTGTTTCTCTTCTGTAGTGGGAGAGCTTCAATTTTAACAGCTTGCTGTTTGTTTTTAGATTACAGTAGAATGCACATTCCTTGACTACATCATGGGAGGATGCCAGCTGAGTTTTACTGTAAGTATTACCCTGAATTTTCCAATATAGGCTATAAAATACTGCTTTTTCCTCCCTTTTGCAGTATTCTTTTACTACCAAAGTGTTTCATAATTTACACACTCTGTTTAGTATGCTGTCCCCAGAGACCTCAGACAGGTTGTCTAGATTCATCATGGACATTTTGAGTTTTTTGATGAAATATCTCTTTCTCCTGAGAGAAAGCATATATGCAGAAACCAGTGCTTTTATTTTATAATAATTAAAGGAATAGGAAGCATTAATCAAAAAAACTTTTAGTCTGCATTGGTATAGTGGTAAACATAGCTGCCTTCCAAAAAAACTTATAAAAAACAACCCCTAAGTCTGAGTCATGGATATAATGATTCAAGATAGCTAGAAACATAAGAGCAGCAGCTAGTTTCATGTTGAGGCTTTAATGGTTCAATTGTCTCTGGAAATACTGGTTGGTATTTGCTAGGAAATGGCAGGACCAGTCTCTGGGATCAATGTATCCCATCTCCTGGAGTTTTCTTCAGTCTCAAAGACAGGTGTCTATGCCTTCTCCTTAGTAAGGGCTGCCATTGTTATTTGGCAGGTGGGAGTGGACTTCACTGGCTCCAATGGTGACCCAAGGTCTCCGGACTCCCTTCATTACATGAGTCCTAATGGTGTTAATGAGTATTTGACTGCCATCTGGTCTGTGGGATTGGTCATTCAAGATTATGATACGTGAGTATGACTTTGAAAACACTAAAACTAGTGTTCGGATATAGGTGGTAGGATGAAGGTGCTAGGGGAGTAGCTTGTTTTTTTCTGTTCTCTTTGTGACAATCGTTGAGGTATAGTCATGAGGGATAAGTTCTTTGTGTGTATATGTGATTGAAGTCCAGATGAAACCTTTTATTAAATAGTAGTAAAAATCTTTTTCTTAACATATTTATTTCCTTGGCAGTCATCAAATTACGCCCCCCCCCTTTTTTTTTTGTAAAAGTGATGGTAAAGTTTATAAGGAAAGGAATACATTTTCAAGAGACTGAAAGTGGTTCATCTCTAGAGAAAGACCAAGAATGATCCAAATTATTTTTTAAAAAGTGATTTGCAACAAGGCTAAACGGTCAGTTAATTTAATCGCTGCAAAATATTCTGAATGAATTTACAACCATTGCATTTTGAATAGATTTGGAGACTGAGCATGTAACTAGCTCAGTGGTAGAGCATGTGTTTAGCATGCTTGAGACCTGATCTCAATCCCTAGCACCACAAAAAGAAAAACAAAAGAAGTAAAAAGATTAGAGTTTGAATAGATTTGAATAGGTGCTCTTGAAGGTTTAGTAAACAATAGAAGAAAATCAGTTTTAGTTTTTATTTTTATCTGAATCTGGTACAGCACAGGATAAATTTTCATTTGTTTTTGCCTATTGTTATCTTATGATAAAATTTCTTACACATTGATGGGACTTTTCATTAATCTGTCATGGCAAAATTTAGAAGCAGATTTTTCAGGTAAATACAAACAAATCTAAAGGAAAGGTAGCAGTTCCAATATATCTGTTAAAATTTAAGGCAATAATCATTAAATATAATAAAAAGTTACTTTATAGAATACTTTGTTTTCTAATCCCAAGTTAAAATATAACCATGGGCATATTGAATAACAGTATTAAAACATTTCAAGTTAAAATAGCTAGAAATATAATAAAAATTTAAAGGTATCACAATTATATTGGGATTCTTATACAAAAAGAAAATTTTCAGGTTTACTTTCTCAGTGTGCTACTTGGAAATTGATAACAAAAGGATAACTAAAGTAATTTTACCACACAGAAATGAGAAAACCCACTTAAGTAACTCTTAGATCAAAGAGCAAATCAGTGTGTAATAACAGACAATCTACAAGCAAAGGACAATGAGAAGACTATACCTGGTCCTCTCTCTAGTAAGGAAAGTTCTGGCTTTACATGCCTTTATTTTTAAATAAGGAAAATTGAGTGTAAATGAACTAGCTTTTGACAAAATAAAAGAATAAGAAGAAAATGTGGTTAATAATAGTAGATTCCTTATAACTATTAGCTATTGTGTGCCAGTGACCATTTAAAGTACTTCCTGTTTAATGTTCATCTGATTCGTATATTTTGCTGTGAGACGGGTACTAGTGTACAGGTGAGAAAACTGAGGCATGGGGATTTAGTTCACTTTTTAAGGATCACTTGGCTAGTAACTGGTGGAGACAGAATGGAGCCTGGGCCATTGGACTTCAGAGACACACTGTCACAGTTACGATTTTAAGAGATGATTCTTTGCAAGTTCAGCATACTTATGCAAACCTTTGGCAACACTGACTCCCAAGAAAGAGAGAAACATACGTAGAATATTATTAATGAGGCAAAGATTATAAGCATAAATTCAGAGAAAAACCAAAAAATAATAGTAATACTTAGTAAAATTTTATGCCATTATATTTGAAAATCCAGATTAAAGGATTTTTTCACTTTTTATTAGTGTGTATATTAATTGCACAAAATGACAGGTTTTATTATGATATTTCCATACATGCATGTAGCATACTTTGATCATATTCATCCGTCTCCCCATTAAAGAATAATTTTTTAGGAAGCTTTCAGAGATAGAAAACCTGAATAGACCAGGAACTATGGAAGGAGTGGGACAGGCGGTTAGCATCTCTTCTCACAAGGGCACTGGGCCAGAACAAGTTCATACAAATCTATAAGGAACGAATTCAAACCTAAAAAGAATAAACTGAAAAAATACTAGAAAGCAGCAAGAGTTTGGAAAACATAAGATAAACAATCTTTCTCACCAGGCATGATGGTACAGGCCTCTAGTCCCAGCCCTCCAGAGACTGAGGCAAGATCATTTGTGAGTTCGAAACCAGCCTGGGTTACATAGCAAGACCTGGTATCACTGTCCCACACCCGCCAAAAAAAAAAAAAATCACTTTCTCATTAGCTAACAATAGCAGATTAAAAAATTATAATAAGTCAGAATTTAAAATGCAATAAAAGTCAAATAGTCTAATAAAAATTGAAAATGAATTTAATAAAACATCTGTGATCTTTAATAAGGAAGACAATAAAATTGTACTGAAGAACAAAGAAGGAAACTTTTTAAATGAAAAGGTATATCACAATTTCTAGATAGGCAGAAATCTTATTAATAATGATATAATAACTATAATATAATATGATACGTGAAATTTCTTTCTGAATTAATCAATTTTAACAAAAAAAATGAAGTGAAACCTTGATAAAATTATTCTTAAAATTCTCTACAAAAAGAATGAATCAGAATAGCCAAGTAATTTTTTAAGAAAAGGAGAAATAGATGAAGGGGAATTTGCTCTAACCATTGTTTGTATAACCATGGACATATTTAATAATCATATAAAAACATTATTTTTTATTTCTTTTATTCATATGTGCATACAATGTTTGGGTCATTTCTCCCCCTTCCTCCTGCCCCTTCCCTTTGCCCCTGCCCCTTCCCTCTCCCCCCAACCCCCTCGCTACCAGGCAGAAACTATTTTGCCCTTATCTCTAATTTTGTTGATGAGAGAGTATAAGCAATAATAGGAAGGAACAAGGGTAAAAACATTATTTTAGAGCTAGAGGATGGAACTAGTCCATGACAGTGGACCAAACAAGTAGGCCAGAAATAGACTCATATGTACTCATATGTGAATTTAGCATACAGTCACCTGACCCCACCCAGCCCATCGAAGCTAGGAGGTTTAGTCGCCTATAACCTTCTGTTATTAAAGACGGAGGGAACAATATGGTCGGGGAGCAGCAGTTTGTGCTTCATATGCTACTCCAAACACTTTCCAGATGAATGAGAAATTTAATATCAAAAGCAAACATTGAAAGTTCTCAGAGAAAATATAATATGAATTGGTTATAAACTTGCAGCGTAGGGAAGGTCTTTAAGCAGTATAGCAAAGGAAGAAATCACGAAGGAATTTCTATGTATTCACATTCATTAATATTAAAAACCATGATGGGAAAGATATTCTAACCAATGTTAAAGACAGACTACAAGCTAGGAAAAATATTTCTGACATGATGTAAACTCTGTCTTTAATGTAAAAGGATCATTAAGAATTAATACATAGCTGAGCATGGTGGTGAATGCCTGTAATCCCTTGGAAGGCTGAGGCAAGAGGATTTCAAATTCAAGGCCAACCATTAGCCTGGGCTATGTAGGCAGCATAGTGAAACCCTGCCTCTGCCTCAAAAAACAAAACAAAAAATGGAACGACTACACAAAGGACATCTCCAGTAGAAAAGTTAGTAAGTTCATTTTGACATTTTATAATAGCGGACTGTATCAGTGTGGACATGGAGACTGTCTTTTAGTGGAACACTCAGCAGCCATTCACATGATGGTACATATTCAGATCGACAATCTCTACCATTCCTACCTGTTTAGTCCAGATAGCCAAACATTTTTCTGCGGAAACCTGAGGGTCTTATGATGTTAGGCATTTGTACAGTGTTTCTGTGGACAGATGTATGACTAATCATATTTTAAATGGTTTTATTGCAAAATGAGTTTGCCATAAACTAATGGAAAAACTTGTGTTTTTTAGAGCTTTTTTTGGGTTTGTTTATGCATTTATTCAGTGAAATGATGTACAACATTTAAAGAAAAAAGAGAAGCTTGTAAAACAAATATAAATTCCATTTTTATAAAATACATAGAGGTACATTTTTTTCTCTCTTATTGTACAGAAAAATGTTTAAAATGAAAATTGTCAAGTGTTAGCATTGGTTCTCTGTGGGAGTTATGGATAACCTTTGTTTTATCTTTATACTTTTTTGAGATGTTGAATTTTTTTTAAAATAAGCTCATATTGATTTTATTGTAATTAAAGATAAAAATTCTTTCTTTTGAAGAAAAAGCAGTATTTTACTTTTTTTTCCAATTCTCTTTTTAGTGATAAGATGTTTCCAGCTTTTGGATTTGGAGCTCAGATACCTCCTCAGTGGCAGGTGAGAGGACAACTCGTTGAAGCTTTGCCTCCTAGAAAAGCAAAACAGGCCTCATCAGTCCTTGTTCTGTCTTTTGACAGGTATCGCATGAGTTTCCAATGAACTTTAATCCATCCAATCCCTACTGCAATGGTAAGTTAAAAATAGACACGAAGACATTAAACTGAAACCCTCACTTGTTTCTTGTTTTTCCTTGTGATTTAAAACTGCTTAAATTTCACCCCTAGGTTTCATTTTGTGACACATTTAACTCTGTTCGATAAGGTAGAAGAGTTGTACCAGGTCGGTGTTTAGGGTGATAATGATAATTATGAGGCAAGTCAGTATTGTAATGATGAAGGTTCACCTTAAAGAGGCTTAACAGAACAAGAAAACTCACAATCTCAGGAGAAGATCAATAAGAATCACTATATATTAAAAGTGATTTTACAGATAAAGTGATTGTGCAATTCAGTATTTTAGACCTGTGGGACCCTTTTTCAGAGTAGTAGTCATTTTCTACAAAGTGTCCAGCTTCTAATTTCTTGCTGCTAACATAATATTCTGTAAGTAGGTAGGGCAAGTTAAACGAACAAAGAATTGAACTCTTGTAGCAGGTTTCTCTGTGTGAAGAACAGGAGGCAGTTATTGATCTTACATTTCACTTTTTTCTTTGTACCTCAATATCCACATGCTTTCTCCTTTTTTCCGCATTGAACAATCAACCTAAAATGCCAAGTTTCCCATTAAATTATATAAGACCAAACAAACTGGAGAAGGAAAGGTAGATGTAGGGTTAGAGGCATTATTTTAAATTCTAGACAGTAGGCTAATTTTCTGTAAAGGATCCTTTCAACAACTACAAAATATATAGCTTGCTAGTAGAATGTATTCTTTCTTTCTATTCCTGAACAATAAGGGAGAAAAGCATGGGGCCATTGGTTGGGGCAGTTTGCATGGAGATTTTTCCTTTGATGAAGGATACTTTAACACACTGATTCACTGTTCCTTTGAGGGACTTTCAGTGCTAGGTATAACCTCTTTTATCCGTAGTTATTTTAAACTGGGAATATTATTCTTTTTTAAGAACTATGCTTTATTCTTATGGTGAAACTGGAATCATTTTTTGAATATGGATGACTTGCATCATGTGACAACTCATTTTAGGAGTTCATTTACTCTGTAAGTAGTATGAGCTCATCTTTGGGCTGATCACCAAGCACGGCTTTTGCCATTTTGGTTTATAGGTTGGAAAAAGAATCAGTTCAATTTTAGATGAGAGAAATTCTGTATGGAAATAAAACACAGCCTTAGTTTAAAGCAAGGAATTTAAATTCCCTTTCTTAAATTAATCATTGAACTTAATTGTCTAGAAATAACCATACACTTGTTTCTTTAATGCAAAGAAAGGATTTTGGCATAATTCAGTTTTAAAAGTTAAGGAATTGAAAGGTGTGAAGAAATTAGATGTTTATACCTTCAGGTTGAAAAGCAAGCTGAGAAGATAGAAATGAAAGAAAATGTTGTTGTTATTGGCTCAATTTTTCTAAAGTGTATTTCCTTGCAGTGTGAGATCTTGCCGCTAACCAATGTTAAGGTTATTATTTTTATTGCTACTGGACTAATAGTTACAGCATCAATTTTTGTATGTAAAGTCACCTCTGTATGTAGATTAGGGATGTTCTTAAAGGTTGTTCATAAGACTGTTTGTTTCTACTTTAAAAGAGAAGTTTACTGGAACTCTTAAATTTTAAGAGGAGAGAGTTGGTCTTGTGAAGCTTTTAAACTGGTTATTGGTCCTTATTGATGTGTGTGTTCTGTTGGATATTTTAAAAATAAGAGATCTGACTTGGTTTACATTATAAGTTTTTTTGTGTGGCAGATTTCTGTGATGGTCTCAGAAAATATTGTAAGGAATTCTTTGAGATTTCTTATATTCTGCCTGCATCGTAAATTCTGTTAGTGAAGGCAGATTCAACAAACAGGTGCTCATATAGGATACAGGTTTCATCTGCAGTGTTTTTTACCCAGGAATGGTAGTCTACTTTCACTAGGTCAAGCTTTTTGTAATAAAGAAAAAGTCTCTTACAATGAATGACAGTAGTTTATTTCTTGCACACTTGTGGTTAGATTGCAGCTCTGCTCCATGTTTCTGTTCTGTTTTGTTGAGGCAGGGTCTTGTTTTTTGTTTTTTTTTTTTTAATTTATTTTTTCTTTTATTCATATGTGCATACAATGTTTGGGTCATTTCTCCCTCCTTCCCCCCTCCCCGCCCCCTCCCTTACCTACCCTGAGGCAGGGTCTTGTCATGCAGTCCCAGGCTGGTCTTGAATTCTTGATCCTCCTGCCTTAGCTTCCTGATTGCAGGGAGTACAGGTCTACACCTCTATGCCTGGCTCCCCATGTTTCTTATTCTGGAACTCAGGCTGAAGGAGCAGGTGCTTCTCTGGGATGCACTGTTGCCATGGCAGAGAGAAAGCAACAGAGCAGAGCAAACAGGTAGTAGTTCTTAAGACATCTACTTAGACACGGATGTCACATCCATTCACATGCATTGATCATAGCTAGTCAAATGTGCCCCTGGTAGGCCCAGGGGTAGTACCTCATAAACAAACTCATTAGCATTTCTACAGCAAAATGCAGTATAACTATATAGTATTTTTATAGGAACTGTGACCAACTATGTAAATGATTTTTCAGCTTATCAGTAATTTTTTCATACTCCTTTTCATCAGCCATATGATAGAGCACCTTTTTCATGGTTCTCTTTCCATCAGTCGTATCAAAATTATGCACAAATGTTAAAAAACTGTAGACTAATGAATAATTTGACTGAGATAACAATGCATGCCTCCTACTAGGGAAGGGCAGAGTTGTAGGTTTTTGTAGTAGAGCATAGCTATGGAGTTTTATAACAAAGTTCAGAAGAATTTCTAAATATAGAACTTTTAGCTACTTAAAGCACTATAAGTTGATAGATAATTGATTAGCCAGTACTGTGAATTATCACATTGTAGTGGGGATTTTTAATACTGCTTTTTTTTGGTCTAGGAATTCAAGGCATTATAGAGGCTTATCGGGCCTGTCTTCCTCAGATAAAACTCTATGGACCAACTAATTTTTCTCCAATCATAAATCATGTGGCCAGGTTTGCAGCTGTGGCCACACAACAGCAGACAGCTTCTGTAAGTGCTCTGTGATTAGGATGGGAAGAATGTGGATTGGTAGTTCCTCCTGGTGCCATATTTCTATTTATTTGGTTTGTTGCAATACAGACTCAAGAGCAAGAAGTAATGATGTAGTCATCATTGCTTTGGGAGTATAACTGTCATGGTTAAAATAATGATCATTAAAAATAAGACAACAGCAAAACAATGTTTACATTCGTGAATCTTTTCTGTCTTTTGAATAAATAAAGGCTGGAAGTCATCTACCTTTTTGAAGTAGATGTCACAAATGAAGGCTCAGGGAGGCTTGTATCCATTACTAGTATAAGATTAATTACTGTATTAAGGAGGTATGACTTGTCTATCCATTTCCAGTTGGACTTTGGGTGCCAAATCTTTCCTAGCGTCAATATACTTAGATGTAAGAGTAGGTGGTGGTGGGGAAGCAACCTCATGCAACTGTTGAAAGGGTTAAATAAGATAATTCATATAAAGTACATAGTGCCTGTGTCAGAGGAAACACTCAGTGCACACATTAACTGCTATTATAAATCTTATTCCCTGTCTCGATTTAGATGAACTCACTTGAAGTAATGTTTTTTTGTAACATTTCTTATCAGAGATGACAAAATGTGAGAAAAAGATTTGCTACTTTAAACCATGTCAACTTTTTAAAAAGTATAGTTTAGTTGGTGGACAGTTCTACTGCTTCCATATTTATTTGATCTTTTGAGAATGGAGTTGCCACTTGTTCCTTTGATCCATACTTTGACATATTTAATGTTTTAATTTAATAAAGATGTTTATTCCTATGCTTACTAAAAGGTTAATCTTTGACATTTAGATGCCTTGCTTCTGTGTATTTTGCCAGTCTTATTTTGTGGTATGCTGCACTTTTAATGTACCTGTAGTTTTTGTAAGAGCCAATTTCCTTGTTGTCAGAGAATTGTAGAATATTTTATGCAGATGGTGTCCTAGACAGAAACTTGCAAGGCGAATGAGAAAGAGACAGAATGATTCATCAGCTAGAGATGTCATTAGTCACTCTTTTCATTGTTTGTGAGCTTGATCTGCTCAGTGGTCATACTCTCTTTTTTGGCAGCAATATTTTGTGCTCTTGATCATTACTGATGGTGTGATCACTGACCTTGATGAAACCAGGCGAGCTATAGTTCATGCTGCCAAGCTGCCTATGTCCATCATCATCGTTGGAGTTGGAGGAGCTGACTTCAGTGCCATGGAGTTTCTAGATGGTGATGGGGGAAGTCTCCGCTCCCCAGAAGGCGAGATGGCCATCAGGGATATTGTCCAGTTTGTGCCTTTCAGACAGTTCCAGAATGTGAGTACTGTATCACCCTATTCGAACGCCTTAGTATTTGAACACAGTCCTTTGCTAGTCCACAACCAAGCAGTTGAGTAAGCGTGCAGAGTCAGGGGCCATGTGAGCGCTGTTGCTTTTTCATAAAGGAGCTCTGACTGGATTTGGCACTGTAATAATGTCTTACGTGCCTCTTGACGTCTGTGCAATATATTATTAAAATGGTACTGTTGTCAATGTCTTAAAATATATTTTACCTTCACCTTTGTAAAACAGGAAAAAGGAAAACCTTTTTATAGGCATATAGTGAATTTATCAATCTGGAAGTCAGTCTGATAAAAACCTTAGAAGACTGTTGGGTCTAACTTACTCCAGTGGTAACCTCCTTAGAACTATTGTGCAAAACCAGGATCTTTACAGTAACGTAATCAAGATGCATTGCACAAGGGTCCTTCATGGCCCTTTTGTGGCACAGCCCCTTCCCTTCTACATCTGTCCCCTCCTTAACCCATGGAAATCACTAATCTGTTCTCCATTTCTATAATTTTATCATATCCAAAATTTATATGAATGAAGTCATACAGTATGTGAACTTTGGGTATTGACTTTTTTACTTAGAATGATTCTTCTGAGAGTCACCCCAGTGTTGCATATGTTTCTGTTTTTTGTTTTGTTTTTATGATGATTCTGTATCATTTAGTCTTTCTAAAAGTCAGTGTTTTAAAGGATCTGTTCTACCTGTGCTGAAGTACTTTCCATTTTTTCCACACTGTATCAATTGGAGGAAAGCCTTATTAGTTGCTCTCATAACAAATAAATATGTAATGCCAGTTTCATAAATGCCCTATAATATTATAAAGTAATTTTTAAAAGCTAGTTCTGGGTTTTAGTTGTCATTTTAAAAGGAGCATGTAGAAATCTCACTTATAATGCTGTGTGAAATTTAATCTGATATGTGAAATTATAGAAACCACATAAAGTCTAAACACAAAGAGTCTAAATATTACTATTACCCAGGCTATCAGCCCCGTAATCAGCTAACAGCTATTCTAAAAGTCTGTATACATGTATCCCTTTTTATTGCTGAATAGTATTCCTTGGTGTGGATATACTTCAGTTTGCTTAATCATTCTCCCATTAAAAGACATCCAGGTTGTTTCTAGCTTTTGCTATTTTATGTGAAACCCATTGATGTATGGAGTGTAATGCTAGGGCCTATGGTAATTACAGCATTTTGCACTCCCACTAGCAGCAGCAGGGGAAATAGGGTGTGTGTGATTATAAAATGGTAATGTTAGGGATTTTGTGGTAATATGAACTGTTGTGTGTCTCGATTGTCATGGTAGTTACAAAAAGCTGCCCAGATGACAGAATTGCACAGAGCAATGGCACACACACAGGGGTGCATGTAAAATCAGTGAACTCTGAATAAGGTTGGTACCAATGTCAGTTTCCTGGTTTTGATATTACACTGTAGCTATGTAAGCTATTACCTTTAGAGAATGCTGGGTGAGAGGTACATAGTACCTCTATTATCTTTGCAACTTCCTATGAACCTGTAATTATTTCAGAATAGAGGTAAAAAAATAATTAATGCTAAGTAAGTAAAGACTCACATTTCAAAATTAAAGAACAACAAAAATTCACTAAATGTTAAAAGACTGGTGCCAAAGACAGAACTAGACCATATTAGTACAGGTGATAATAGCGGTCATAAGTAATATTGGTTACTCAGCTTATTCTATATTTTGTGGACTGATCCTAAGAAAGGATACAAGCCTAGGATTTGGGAATTACTGCTTTTTTTTTTTTTAATGGCTGGTGAGGTATCCATAGCCTTTTATCAAAAAGCCAGTAAATCTTTGGTGGTTAATAGTGACTTGGGTTTTGTTTTTTGAAGGCCCCTAAAGAAGCACTTGCACAGTGTGTCTTGGCGGAAATTCCCCAGCAGGTGGTGGGTTACTTCAACACGTACAAACTCCTTCCTCCCAAGAACCCTGCTACGAAGTAAAAGGAGCTGTGACCACTTCAAAGAACTTCTTATGCTGTGAGAAGCAGTGCCATCTCTTACACAAAATCATGTGTCTACATTCTATGTACTTTTTACCGCCAGCATGTATAATGGCAACCTAGCTTTTCATTTATTATATCTGTTTAAAGCATAGTTTTTATACTTTTGAGGGGGACAGTGCCTAGTCCATCTTTGCTCAATCAACTCACAATTGCTAGTGATTTACAATAATTGCAGTGAAGCTGTTTGAATTAGAACTTAGTGTGGGGAAAGATGATTTTTGTGGTTTTGTTGTTTACTTTCTTTGGATGAAAATGCCATTTTTATATGTTGCTGGTAGAAGGAATGGAAAATTGTTAGGGCGATGGGATTTGCAAATTGCTGTACTTTGTACTTTGTTCATAGTAAATGTTTTGCAAGCCATGGCCCATGTTATTGATTGAGAGAGCTTCTTAAATTAGGTAATACTGAATTTATTGTTATAACTATATTCAGTCCTTTTCCATGGGGAAAACTTCTTTTACTTGGCACCTATTTTTGCTGCAGTTTAGATACTGCGTGGCTTACAAAACAGCATGTATTCACATGGGACTTCATGAAAAGAAAAGGCACATACTCAATTCTTTAAATGTATTGTAAGTAAAAAGATCTTCGTGTGAGTAAATCATTTTTAATTTGTCTTTCTAGATCTTTTATTTTCATTGTGGAATGCTGTAAACATGGGCACATTTTGCCTGTTCTTTCATTGACTGAATGTGACACTAAGGATTCTGTAGATGCACAAATGATAAGTTGTCCCAGATTTAACATTATTAGATTATTTTAATTGGGGTTTTCTAAAGTGGTGAGGATTGCTTTGTTCAGGAAAGCTATGAGGACCAAACATACAAGGTAAAAACTCAGAATTCCATTTTCCTCTAACTGAAGACTTATTTTTTTTAAAGTAGTTTTTATACCTTCCTTGCTAAGATCCCATACATTGATTTGTACAGATTTACTTAGACATTTGCTCCTTTTCATAAAAATAGCATTTTTGTTTGCGTTTTAAGCTCATTATACTCATTATGTATTAATTAAAAATCACATTATGTATTTTAACAATATGCAATTTCATAAGTACAGAATGTATTCTACTAAGCATAAAACAAGCTATAACTTAAAAAAAAAATTAAACCAAAAAACCCTTTTCTAACTGCTGCATTTGGATAGAGTAGACTTAATATATTTTTTTAAAGTAAATCTATTTTCCTATTATTTCCCTTCAAAAATATTACTTTATGAATATTAAATTTTCAGAATAGATTCAGTAGCATTTGATTGAGTACTTGTGTGACAGTCAATATATTGGCCAATTATTGTTAACAATTTAAGGCTGTGTGCTTATTGCCTATCCTTTAGTGGATGTACAGAGTACCAGGTAAGCTACCCTCTCAGTGTTACTGAAAACCTGCAGCATAGCCCATTCCTCTTGTTCTCTGAAGTGTGTGAAAGAAGTAAGCTGTCAGCCATGAACAGCTTTGGGTTCTCAGAGACAGCTCATTGCCAGGTCTGGCTCAGAAGGGACCTACTTGTTGTCATGGTTGCCTAGCCCAGATGAGCCATTACCACCTTCCCATTTAGCTAGCTGGCCTCTGGGTATGTGCTGTTAACCCTATGGGACCCACCTAAAATAGGCTGCTAGTCTACAGTATGGCTCATTAGTCAGCAAGTCATTTCAACATACTCAATAAAGGGAAAGAAACCTGATCATTTTCTCTTTTTTTTGGAGCCTTCATTGTTTCAGATGTCCTAATTTCAGTACTCTTTGTGTGCTTGAAACAGCTTAGACGTGTTGCTGAGGTTTTCAGAATTTTCTTTTTTAAACATTGGAATCCTTTTAAGAAATGACTTACACATATTCTCAATGAGTGGTAAAGGAGGTAGAAGTGGAACTTCTCTGTATGCTGCTGAGTCTCAGTGGGCCTGCTCCTCACCCTTCCTCAGTAATACCTGAGCCACCTACCTGTACAGGCCACCTGGGAACCACTGGTCACGAGCATTCATTGTTTTCATTGGATGAATAGCAGTCACCACTGTCTTTTTTGATTTGGTCTTCTTAATTTCATATTCTGGTTTTACCAGAATTGTTTCCTTTAAAAAATCTTTTTGTTTAAATTATTTACTCTTGATCATCAGTAGATGTGTTATTCATAAAAACTATGATTCTAGCAAATTAAGGTAATTGGTACCTTTCTGCAGTTTGAAATAAAAGCATTTATAATTTCTAAATTATTTTTAAAGTTCTTATAGTTTTAACATTCAGTTTCACTACATGCTGTTTTAATATTGTTTTACATGAAATAATCCCTTTCCTATTGTGCTACCATTTGTTCAAGTGCCATTCATTCTTAAAAAGAAAAAAAAATCCAAATTGAGTTTCAGGCCTCATGTAGTCAGTTGTATTACAAATGTGCATTAAGTGACAGTGCCCATTTCTCACATAGACATGTACTGAGAAAATAATATAAGCATTGGCCTAGTCATACCATCTTGTGGTTAAGACCAGTTGTAAGACTATCAAACAATTTAAAATCTGATCAGGGATTTACAGCTGCTTACTTGGGGTGTGCCTTAGGTAGCCTTTCCAAAGTGAATTCAGGGGCTCCTTGCTATATATGCTATATTATAGCACACTTTGCATTTTGTAAACTTACAGGAGAGCCATCTTTACTAAGTCTTTCCTACTCTCTATTTCTTTATGAAAGTGGCATATAAAGTTTGGTGGAAATTCTAAGAGATTATTTTGTATTTTTAGTATGTGTCTAATTTACTAATATATGAATTCCTGTTAACTACATCTTCCATGTGAATTCCTTTTGGATAAAGTTACTTTTTGTTGTGACACAGTAATATTTTTGTTTTTATTCTTTCTCTGCATCTTATCAAGTTAGAAATAAAGTATCCTTTTTTTTTTTTGCAGCACTGGGTTTTGGGCTTCATGCTTGCACTCTTACTGTTTGAGGCACTCCACCAGCTCAAGTATCTTAATCCATCTTCTGCTGCTATAACAGTCTGTTCCACAGACTGAGTCATTTGTAAGGAATGCAAACTGGGAAGTTCAAGAGCACAGCACAGCATCTGAAAAGGGCCTTATATTCTTTGACCTGTAGGAAGGTGAAAGTGAGCACATGTGAGATGTGAAGAAGAAACTGGGCCACTTCCACAAAACTGACCCACTCCTGTGATAGTGACATTAATGCATTCATTAGGGTGGAACAGTGCTAATCACCTCTAAAAGGTCCCCCCTGTTAATAGTTTTACAATGGCAATTAAATGTCAACAGTTTTGGAGGAACATTCAAACCATAGTATAAAGTGAATATAGAGTTTTAGGTAACCTGTACGCCACATTTTACTAAGTTAAATATTTGGGGGGGGGGTGTTGTTAGGGAATTTTTTTGTTTAAAAGATAGGAAATGGAGGGGAAAGAAGAGTAATAGAGGGGAATGAACTTCATTAAAGCATGTTATATGAATGAATAGACATATCACAATGAAACCCCTCTGTTGATTAATATGCAGTAATTAAAAACATTAAAAATGCAGGGAAATGGATGGAACTGGAGAACATCATCTTAAGTGAAGTTAGCCAGGTTCAGAAAACCAAAGCATATTTCTCTCATGTGGAATATAGGCCCAATATAAATATAAGCAATATTATGCATGCATGCAGAACATGTATCCAAAAGTGAGACAGGTGAAGGAGACCAAGAGAGGAGGAAAAGAAGGAAAGAAAGATAGTGAATAATTGTGGGGAGCAGATTATGAGAGGCCTGTGAGAACTTGACATAAGCACAGGTGTGCCCAACTGAGCTGTGGCCCCAGCCACAGAAGACTGCAAAATGCAGCACAGCTGCTTTTCCTAAGCTGTTTAAGTTCAGAGAAGTAGGAATGCAGGTTTCTCTTGTTACAGTGTCACACCCCTTCTTGAGAACTGTTGCTCCACCTTGTTTTGTTTACCACTGGATAAAAAAGACTCACTGAAGAGGAGTGGGTTTTTTGATGGAGGTTTTTTTAATGGGGGATTTTGATTGGCTGCCACTGCCGCTGCTGCTGGCTGTGGGTCTCCACCAGAGTAGCTTTCTGCACTGAGAACTTTATACATAGGCTTTAGAAAAGCTAAGTTAAAGAAAAGCTAAAGAGAACATGGGACAGTGCAAGTCCAAGGACTGAACTTTAAGAGTTATGCTGTTGCAGTTTTTAGATGTGGCTGCTCTTGTCTGCAAGTCTGAGCACAGAGACTTTAAAGGGAACATGGGACAGTGCAAGTCTGAGGGCAAAGACTTTAAGAGAGGTTATGCTAAAGAAAAGCTAAGAGAAAACATGGGACAGAGCAAGTTTAAGGAAAGAAACTTTAAAGAATAGAAAAGAAGACTTTAGAAGCAAGGTTTTAAAGAATAGTAAAGAAGCAAGGCCTTGAAGAATAAGAGAAAAGAAGCAAAGTGAAAGAAGAGAATAATAGACTAAAAAAGTAATGAGGTTGTCGTGCGTATCCATCTGAGTGCCCAACACACCCAACCCCAGCTTTACGCATGTCTGTCTGTCTATCCTTTGTCCTTTCTGCAGCTCCAGTCATCCCCAGTTAGTCCAGTTAGATTCAGTAGTACAGGAGCGTGAAAAAGCTTGCTCCAAATAATAATGAAGTACATCACATCTGTGTAGGAACAAGACACAAGGAATCACTCTGAAAAATCATTAAACAACACAGGATAAGGGGAAAAGGGTGAGAGTACAGTGGAGGGGGTTACATTGACTTAAGCACAATGCATGTATAGATATAATACCTAGGCAAAAGTCCCAGTGAACAATGAACAGACATCCAAAAAATGAAGAAAGGATCATACCAAAGGGAGGGCACTAATAGGAGAGGGAGAGTAAAAGAAGAAAGTAAAGAGGGTAAATATGGTTTGATGTACTTTCTACAACAAAATACATCATCAGAGAATGGATATAGAATATTTGAACCTGTCGAAATCACCATATGAAGGGGACAAAGGTAGTAAGGAAAAAGTTGGAGGGAATGAACCAATTCAGGATATAATACATATATCCTTGGAAATGTCAATGAAACTCTGTATAGATATTTTAAACAAACAAAAATGTCTGTTTCAAAAATGAAGGACAGAAAGGTAAAAGGGATCCTGTCTGGGGTTTGGTACCAATGGGAGGAAGGAGAATATAAGTAAATAGTGTAGGAGGGTGAAAATACTACGTACTTATGTATGAAAATGGAAAAATGAGACTTTTGAAACTATTCTAAGAATGGGAGGAGGGGATAAAGGAGAGTGATAGAGGGGGTGAATTTAACTAAGATATATTGCAAGCACTTTTGTAAATGTCACAATGTACCCCGGTACAACAATAATATAATAAAAATTTTTTAAAAATTAAAAAAAGATATCAAATGGATCCCCTGATACTTTTTTTGGAACAGTAAAAGAAGAAAGTTTCTCAGCCGATAGCTAGCATGGCATGAGCTATATGGCACTTACATTTTATCAGTTATATTAACTAGGATGTTATAGCCACCTAACTTATTTTAATTGTTTCTCTTATATTCCAGGTACTGGGCAGGACTTTAGTAAAATGATATTACAAAAAAGCAGTCACAATTGCTGTATTCACAGGAATAATGGTCTAATAGGGGAGGGAAAACATTAAGGAAATAATTATAGAAACATGAGGTCATTGTGTGAGATAACATACAGTAGGGAGAAACCTGAGGAAGTGCCATGAAAGCTAAGACTAAAGGGTGTCTGTTGAAGAAGGCTAAAAGCACTTATGAAGGTGTCGAGTCAACAGCAAGGATAGAGTTGAATGTTTTAGGAATGGTAGGAAGCTTGAGTCTGCTGGAATGATAGGTGTGAAGGAGTGATGAAAGAATAGAGAGAAGATGTGGAGTGGTTGGTGGGATTTACATTCTGGGAGGTCCATGGAACCCTGTTGCCAAACTTGAGTCTGGCCAAGA